TTTAATGATGTTGCCAAATTTATATAAGATCATAAAAATAGTTAGCAAAATGCGATTCAACTGTGGAACATACTTATTATGTGTGAACTGAATTTACATGGCGCAAACAATAGCGATCAACAAACCGCTTCTGGTAATTGAGTATAAGGTGCAGTCCTAATTATCCTGTTACCAACAGTAAATTTGTTGTTTTCGCTTCCTCAGATAAGTGTTATCCAGCAAGAAAAACATCAAAACTTGAAAATTAAAGAGCATGTTTGGTTTTCTTTTTTTTCGCTCGAAAATTTATCCAATAACTGTCAAACCGGTCGTTAAATACATAAATCACTTTAAGTGGATCGATCAGCGCTTAAGCTTGAAGGAATACGTTGTCTTATGCTGGTATTAACGGCATTCAATCAAATCCGTTGAACAAAAAAAAGAAAACTCATTGTTCAAAATAATTGTCAGCTTTACTGTCATTTCAAAGTTATAAAAGCATTTTGTATTGTATCAATTCTTTCGTAAATATTAATATAATGTGACAAGTCATAGACAAATTTCATGTCGCGTTGATTTTTAATCATGATAATATGTAAAAAAGTATTAACTTTTTTTTTTTTTATAAATTAACAACTTTTTTCTACTTTACAATAAAACGCTCCATTGCTCAAATTTCTATCCACAATCAATACGAATATCGTAGGGTTATCCAATCTCGCCTATATTTTCAAAATGGCGAAGTTTTGTTGGTAGTTTTGTTTGGCGGATCTTAGCACAAATTGACATTTCAAGATTATGATTCATATTTAGTTTTGCATTAATTTCATAATTGGGTATACTTATATATATTCACTAAACATTCGGATGTCATATGCGAGAGTCAATTTGCCCGAATCCTAAATTGATGCCTCTTATATTCTTACTGTAACTATTTTCATCATGTTCATCTATCTTATGATAAAGCATCCAATCTTATATTAAGCATATACACCCATTTCTGGAAAATAAATGTTTGTGTCAGTGTTTTCTTCTCAAATTATATTTTTGATGTTAAACACCTTAAAACTATCCGAAACTGAATTCAAAGCATGGAAGCATATATACGTGTGGGCAACTATATAGCTAGTTCACCTGAGGCAGGTCACCCGGCTACAGGGAAGTCGATTGGTTACCAAAGATGTACGGGGTTTGTAGGCCATACCGATCCGGAAAAATTGTGGTTGTTTCACTCCCGGTGGGTGACTGCTTGCTAGACTCAATGCTTTAGGTAACTTTCTTTTGAATCGTCTGTTCAGTGAAATTATGTATACGTACTTATTCTTTACATATGTACCGAGAACGGAAAAAATTGATCCCATCCCATGGTAATTCATTAATTGTGAAGGTATTGAGATCTTTAGCATTCAGTCAAGTATGACTGGGCGATGAAGCTCCCCATTAGGACGCCTGTTCTTGCTTGGCAAAAAGTTCACGCTTACGTTTTCAATGTATTGTATATACAATATTCTTTCGGTGACGGTTTTGAACTATCTCAGTTCCACATGGCTGCGAGAGTAATATTCTTTACATTAAAAATAATAAATCTAATAATAACTTTCCAACAAAAGAATTTGGATTTAGTTCACAGATGCCAATTCAATTACCGAATTTTGATTATATTTAATGGTGGGTTCCCACGAATTTTCCAAGAACTAACTCACCATTATTCCCCACTCGTTTTAACAATCGTGATTTTTATATAGAATGTAATTCTGTTGCAAACACATAGCAATTTTTGTGACATAGCAACATATTGACCTAAAATTGATTTGATTCAATTAAAATGCACTTTGTGAGAGTAGATTTTTAAGTGTATTCTTTTTGAGATTCAGCCAAATTATAATTCTCAAGCCGAGATCATGGCACAACATTAAATAGACTCTTATTATATATAGATTGCGTTGATCAGCTTCTGTCAAATCAGTAATCACTTGCGGATTTTTCGGCCGTATTTATCTCCCAGCGGAATTTTGTGACTCTATGATTAAAACAAATATTCACATAAATCGGCGTGGAATAGTGTGTTCCATCATAATGCCTTAGAATCAAATTGGAAAATAATTTTTGTTTGCAAGTTACAGATGGTTTTGAAATTGGTTGTGAATAAGCGACGAGAATCGCCGGACTCCATGAGGCAAATATTACCGTGAAGTTTGACCTGAAAATTAGGGCGAGTGACTCTGCTTAATCCGGGTTGGTTAGCCATTAATGGGCTATTATTAATTAATGAGTACCGGTATATTGATATTTTGAATCCAAATCCAACTTATGTTGTAAAATGACACAGGTCTGTTTACATCTTAACTACAAAAATATTGTCCATGCTTATGGAAAACTCCCCATACTGTTGTCAAAGTAAACTTTATTCTAAAGATCACATTTATTGTTTAATACAAATTAAATAATTCATGAAGCAAGGGTATACTGGAATTTATAGCTCCGACAAGAATGGGGGATAGATGTACAATGACCATAAGCCTCAAATTGGTAGTATTCCATATTTGAATAAGTTTGGCACGAAATATGATTGTTTCTGCCTTGTATAGACGACCACAAACAAATGTACGTCGGGTCAAAGCTACCATCGTCATGACCAAGAAAAATGTTTATATTATTGGAGCTTATTTTGTCAACTATGAGTAACATCTTAAGTGATATAAGGGTCTTGAATCTTCACTCTCTATTCACTCTTGCTATACAGCATCCTCACATTATATACGGGCCCACCATCACATAAGAAAAGAAGAAGGATAAGTCGTTAGTCCCACTGGAAACTCAACCCAGGGTATAGAAATATGACATGTAGCTAATATGTCAACAACATGATAAATTTTGTCACCAATATAGTATCTTTTGCAGGTACAGTTAGATTGATTTTCAGAATTTTGTGGTTTTAATCAGTTTTATTGAAAAAATTTAATCAAAATACACTAGAAATTGAAATTCGATACCCCCCCCCCAATGTTCAAACCTTAGAGCAGAAAGTTTAAAGGAAAATCACAGAACTTCTAAAAAAATTCTATGTAACACAAGATGAATTGAATAATCATGAATTGTTTCTAATATTAACTTATTAAGAAATCTCACATAGTATTTAGACCTATACCTATGTCTAAAACAACATTCCATTTTTTTGTTTTTCAAAACTCTCTTTCATCTCACCGCTTGTGTATTTTAGATTTTTGTATTATAGCCAGTACAAAATAAACTTAAATAGAATTGTTGAATCAGAATATGTAATTGTCATACTCGAATAAGTATTGGCAGTAGATATTTCAGGCTTCCGGATGCGATTAGAACTCGGCCATTTTCTGATAGTGTAGTGAATACCTTTTGTCCTAAACACTGGGCTAATTCGGGCAGAAACTTCTGAAGTGGAATTGAAGTTTTTACAAAGATCACAAATTCTGAAATGAACAGTGGAATTTAAAGCAAATATTTCTAATAGCTTAAACCAACAACGAAGAAATTGTTTTGAAAGCCTTTTAGCTTAACCTACAGAAAGGCTTAATATATGACTTCTTTTTCATGTGTAATTGCCTAACGGGAATAATGGTGATATTGAAACTGTTCATAATTAACCCTGTCTGTATTCGTCAAGTAAATACTAGAACTTGTAATTTGCGTTGTTGCTAGCTACATTTGACATACATGAGGATAGGGACGATATTTTTAGCGGTAATATCTGTACATTACTAGGTCTTGAAAAGCAGACAAGATGAAGAAAACTCCTAGAACACACTTCTACGACAACAAAATACGAATCACGCTATGATAATATACAACGACAATTTATGATATAGCAGCAATTCGTGTTTATTTAGAAGCACCATTCTTCAGCTGTGGTCGATTAGGAAACCACCAAAAATCAAGATCTCGATCATATCTCATGAGATTCGTATTTGTGCTCTCGCTTAGAAATCACTACTGTAGTGACGTACGCAACCTGAACCTTGCGATCGATTCAGGGTTATATATATATTTCTTGTTGAAGAGTACATGACTAAAGTTTACAAATCTTAAACTGGTAATAGTGTTCATCACTTCCTATTCAGCACGTCCCTATATAATTAATCATTGCGAAATGTCTAAAACAGAATTTGCCCCCATTTCTAAAACCATATTTCTTTGATGAAATGATTCTGGTACAAGCTGGCTTGGAAAAAGCAATGTGCCATGTGTGGATCTTTTCATTCGAGTTCGCTGTAGAAGTTGTTCGAGTATGTTATGTATGTATATGTGTCGGATACAAAACGCATTGAAAGTCATTTTCTGCACGGATGAATGCAATATTAAGTACTCAATGAAAGCGTAATGTCGTCTGAAGATGACTTTTCAAAATACTAGAAAGTGATATATAAATACTATTCACTAACATTGAGACATTATATATATAATATTGATAGTTTAACAAAACAAATTGTAAATGAAGTCTCTTAGTGCCTAATTTGCCAAGCTCATACATCAGAAAACAGCCAAAACTCTCAATGAAAATTTTAATAGTGAATCTCCAACATATGAGAAAACTTGGCATTGTGTATGTGTAAACTTGAATTTTGCGCAAATGTTTTTTTGTATTTAACGGTCTGAAAAACTAATATCGCGAAATCAGTCAAAACTGGATTTTTTCGTGTGATTTTACTTCTTTCTATAACAAAAAATAATAAAAGACTTTTCTTTAGCCCTTACGTGATCCTGATGCTTATCTCGAGCCCTATTTGGGGCAAACGCATGAATCATTCTAGAAAATATATACCCAACATTATTTGTTGAAATAAAAAAAATATTTGAATACATACTAGCATTCAAGAATGTATGTTAATTCCTAATTAATTGTATTTTGCCAAGCCTAGTATCACGTTTTGTTTGAACGCCATAAATAGACTAGAAACACAAAAACGTTTCTGGCAAGATAATTAAATTATCAAATTTGGATGTAACTGGTATATTCAATTTGTGGTTCATGTTACTTTTTCCAGTCGGGCAATTCTCAAGAATCTCAATGTCCGAACCTCAACACCACTGTATAATATTTTTCTTGATGATTTCTGGGGAACGCGGATGACACATTCTGGAAGTCACAAATCTTACAGACCAATTACAACATTGTCTTTCAGGTTAGGCTGCTTTCTTTTTTATTTATTCTTTGTATTGCTATTTTATTATTAACTCTAGTCCCTTTTTTGTTATGGGACACGAACTGTATGTACTCTTGGACTAGGAAGTGTGGAATAGATGGAACAAGTGGGACAAGTGTGGGATTAGGGGGATGTGTGGTACAAGACATTTTTGATACACATCAGACACCACTTTGTTTTATGTAATAGTAGTCGTCATTTTAACGATACTCCTCGTTCCATATATTTGTGCAGTACTTAGTACTTTTTCAACATCATTATTTATTCTCATTACATGTACCATTTACAGGCTTAACTATTTTATATCTGGATTTGAACCCTGGTCATATCACTCAACAAACATACTTCTTCATGCAATTTCTACGTGGTTATTTGTCAAATTCTTGAAAACGAGAATCTTCAGCATGGAGTCATCAAATCATTTCAAGTCCGTAATAGCAGGTTTGTGAAAATCCTAAAGATATTGTTGTTATGTTTTATTTTCAAGACATTTTGTAACTTTATATCGAATTCACAGGACTACTTTTTGCCGTCCACCCAATTCACACAGAAGCAGTGGCTGGAATTGTGGGAAGAGCAGATATACTTTCATGCATTTTTGTCTTGGCAAGTAAGTTACATCAACCATTTATAGTGAGAATATACTTCAATCCACGTTTTTGTACGACTGGATCCTCATGAAATCTGTATACCAAAGATGCTTGAGAAAGATGAAGGTAAACTTCATGGGAATGAAAGAGCACAATGCCATTTGATCTATTGCTTTAGTACATTTTGAAACTTGTGTTATCTGAATAACATTCTGCTTTTAAGTTTTAAAAACGTACTTCGCATTTTGATTCCAGAAGAGCAAATGTTTCTAGACTTCCTTCAATTCGTATATGGATATTAAATATTCATAATCCATTGAAATATTTGTAATTTTTCAGCATTACTGTCTTATACGCGACACTGTGACGACTGCAATTACAAACATGGTCAATTAGACTCAAAGAAGAATGATTATTTGCAAAATCAAAAGAAAACTGTGACGTCACACTCAAATGACATTCCAAAACAAAAACGTAGGGTTAAGCTGAGGTGGAAAGACAAAAAACGAAATCACTGCACTGATTTTACAAAGACATCCACGATTCCGATCGAAAAACAATACAGCAATACTGGGAACAAAACGGCTGACCAGAAGCAAACATATTTTAGAATTTCAAAGCAAACTATTTTTGAACTGTTTCAAAAGATGCTATCTCCTACAGGGAATATTACCGCAAAATACACGGTATCGTTATCGTACGTTTTTGCATTATGTGCGATTTTGAGCAAAGAAAATGGAGCCTGTGCTTTGCCATTATGTGCGATCTATGACATCTGCATCTCCAGCAACATGGGAATATCGTCTACTTTGCAAGTGATGCTCTGTCAGGTAATTTTCCTACTGAAAGGAGATTTGTAATGTATGAATTAGATAGTACACTACTATAGTTTCAATTGTCATATTACATGATTGGATGAAATCGCTTGGTGCATGTCACATTGTCACCACATATCACAATATTCACAATAGTATTTGGTGATATTTTGAGATAGATGTTGTTTGATGTCTTGTTGAGCATGTAAAACATATTTCTGGAAACATTCTTTATTCAACTCCTTAACTTCTTTAACAAGACAAAAAAGAAATTGAGAAAGTTGGTTGGAATTCAGGCGAATCAATCAAACAAACTCGAATTGACATCCGATTTGTACATCATGTAGTAGTATATTTGTTGTAAAGTAAGATAACAATTGCGTAGTCACTACATTTTATTCGTACTCAAAGATCAGTTTAAAACGAACTTACCGGTATACATGACTCATGATGGTAGAATTGCTGTTAACATAGTCGAGTTTTTAACAGTATAATCAATCCATTCAGATGCCATAAAATCTATCAGCAGTAAGGTCAAAATTCAACGTATTGAAAGGCCAATGTTTGCCTAACTTAATGCGCTGGATTTCCGCGGCTGTGCTGCGACGCCACCGGCGTCTCATTAAGTGTTGGGAATGTTTGCAGGTGGATTAATACGAACGTGGTTTTTTAGCGATATCGCTCAAACGCACCTTTGTCAATATAGAGGGAACTTCTAAGATGAAATATCAGATTCTATCGGAGTAACAACAATGTTTTGATTTATTGTTAAATGAGTTATCCCAAGTTGGGATACCCAACATCGACTTCCACTATAAAACTCATTCGTTGCCGAGCCTTATATACGCTAATACAAAACTTACAGATTTAGATTGAATAGGTCATTTACATGGTATAAACCTCGCACTGATTTGTTTACAATGCTTTACATTTTATGTATATTTGGACACGAAATGTACATATGGATCGTCAGGCTGTTATGTTGTTGTTATTGTTGATATTTGTCTTCTCATTGTTATGAAAAAATCACCTTTCCATTTAACTACAGGACCAATTGCTTCTGAAATTTTTAGTAGTTGAAGATTGTATTTTTCGCTAAAATGCTATTACTTTTATTTATTTCATAAATTTCTGTGGGCTATATGGAATTCGCTTTTTGTGTGCGAAGATGAATCAAAAATCGCGCACCTTGTGGCGGTTCCGCTTTTGCATTATTCGTGAAGACTGCCGTTCTACCACTTCGTTTTGGCTTTCGTTTCCATATATTTTAAGCATCGTTTACTTGTCTTAATTGAAATGCTAATGGGAAGTTAATACGATGACTTGGTATTTCGAGCCCGTCTCACATCGACGCACATCTATAGGACTGTTGCATATATCCAGTTGACGTAAATTTCACCTTATTGAGAGTGTGATCTTCCGAAATAACTATATATATGTGACTGGCATTAAATATATGTAACGAATTCTGACATTGGCTCTAACGATGAAAAAAAATTATCATCTTAAATGTAAATATGAGAAAAATATCGGTTTTTCTCAAATAGATCATTACATTTGTTCTGTATAGCGGTTTTTGAAATCAAAAGCACAAGAATGTGCGTAATTTGCTGAAATTAATCCTGGACCAGTCCTCACCCGTCTGCCCTCTGGCTATGGAGTTTTACTGGGACTTTCACAACGTGTATCACACAGGTACATCAGTACAAGTACGCACACATAAATGTACATTTATCCCATATATTTCAATCCTTATAGCACAACACACAAAATTTAGGTTCCTCCCCAAATGTGGGTGCATAAATGTACATCTTATGTATCGGTTTCAAATATGGACAATCGAAATCGTAAGCACTGACTTTTTGCCTTTTATTTGCCATTACAGTAATGACTTTCGACAGACTTTTTGCCTTTTATTTGCCATCTGTACTGCATATAAATAGGTTAATTATACTTACATTTTGATTATATTTTAGCAGATTACTCGATTAAATCTAAAATATATGACCATACTTAATGCTTAATGTAACACTTAATGCTGTGTATGGTCGTTTCGAATATCAGGGATGTAACTGACTCTTCCCATTATTTATTTATACGATACATTAAGCTTTTATTACATCGTGCTTTACACAATTCTACACTCTAAGAAATTTCCATATGAAATATGGATGGTCATAAAAAGTTCTCTTCCCTTTGTTTAAATATATTTGAAAATATCCAGTAAAATACTAATTATTAGCTGTGAGCCTCATTGGTCTGGCAATGCTGACTATATTCATCCATGCTGTAGTGAATTTTTCGACTTGTGTAACATCTTCATAAACATATTTATGTATTGAATTATATTTTGGTCAAATATTTTGAAAAATAACGCAAAGTTAAGCAAAAGTATGATCTTTTTTAAATTTTAGATTGAAATTGGACAATATTATCCTGTTTTCGAATCCCCATCCAAAGCTCAGTACAATGTAAATTATTTTCAATTCAGATAAACTCAGAAAGATTCCGTAAGATGAGACTACGTGTACGCAAACTTGTGATGGCGACGCTACTAATATTGATGGTTAGAATATCACCATGGTATATATTCTCATCATCAACTTCTGCTTCTCTTCCATCATTCTCAACAGCTGATAATCCGGCCAGTACTAATGAATCTATTTTGACAAGAACTTTAACTTTCCATTACTTAATAGTCTTCAATATGAAGTTGCTCATCTGTCCGACAGAACTGAGTTACGATTGGGGAGTCATATCTTTGATTGAGTCAGTTTGGGACGTTAGAAATTTGTCTACAATTGTTTTCTATTCTGGATTGCTTCTGATAGGAAGACATTTGTGGAAAACGCTCAGAGAAAAAGACAAGGCAATGATTATATCACATGGAAACGACACACTATCTTTGTTCCATATTGATGAGTATTCCAAACGGAAAAATAATGCCACAGAGGAAATCTTAGGTAAGTCACAGAATGCTGATATGAAGCGAACACTTGGTAATGAATATGTACATTCGACTGCTCTTCTGAAAGCGCTTCTAAACAAAAGCGATATTGATTCAGTAGAAATAAACGATGAAGGTATACACATGGAAAATACAAATTGCTCGATCTGGCCTAATGAAAGTTGCAACGGTTTATCTGTCAAAAAAGAAAATCTACATCCATCAACAAAACATCTCACAACTGATACGCCAAAGTTATTGTTGAACGTTTCTGATGCAAAATGCTTGCCTTGCGACTTTCCCGAATCAACAAATAGTTCAGGATATGCAACAGAAAGTGGAGAAGAAAGTCATGAAACAAGAGAACGAAGGAACCATTCTTGTAAAAAGGTTTGTATGTGTTGATTATGACGAATAAGGGTCAGAATAAGGGAATGGTTAGATTTTTTTTATGTTTCTATTCGACGTCTCCACATCTAATTCTAATCTAATTTAATTCAACCATAATGATAAAATATTCTGAACGACATACTTGTTGCTTGGGTTAAATACGAATAACATCGTTAACACGGCAAATTTCCTTCAATAAAATAATCAGTTTTGTTTAACAACAGTACAATGCAAGACTGCCACTCTTCTTGAAACAGATACATATTTCATTTGGGCAAGTTAATTAGTGGCCAATCAAATACAAGTAAAATATGAATAATGAAAACTTGTTGTTAGTTACATTACTCCAAACAAACTAGTTAAGTTGTTTCCAGAGTCTCGGAAAAAATGTTATATTAGGAACTAGGAAGTAGTTTGGTTAAACAATTCTTTATTATTTTGTAGTCGCAGGTTTCTCTCTCACTGTTACCTTTTCATAACATTTGAAAAATTCGATAAATTACAAGAAAATTCACTTTCGCGTTTTGTTTTCTAGAGTCTTCCAGCAAAAACACGAGTAGAGACTTTGAAAACCTTCCACACGCGAGATGAACAAATTTCACAATATTCTTCTTCAAAATGTCAAAACAATGCAACACTTATGGGAATCGCAATAATGATTATTTCCTTCATTCCGGCAACAAATTTGTTTTTCTACGTCGGATTCGTAATTGCCGAACGGCTCTTATATCTTCCGAGTGTTGGATTTTGCGTTTTAGTGGCAGAAGGACTGGGTATTGCTTACAAGAAGATTTTGTCTAGAATACCAGAAGGCAATAGCAAACTTAGGTATGTTATCAATACTCAGCCTATTGGACGTTAATAGCTACTTTGCTGTCGTAGTGCTTGTGATTTGTGGAATCTTTCAGGTTCGTTATATATAGCCCATCTTGAATACCGTCATCACCAAGGCTCGAACCTGCGATGTAACACATTGAAACTCATATTCAATCCACTTAACCGTCAAATTTTATATTTTTGGAGAAAGAAAATTTTTCTAATCGACACGTTCATCACTTTATCGTATCACTTCATTTAAAGTTGTGAAATTTAAGACATCCTGACTGACCATAAAACGTTTCATATTAAGAATAGCTTTCCGAACTCAATATATCAACATTGTAAATAGATATTCTAAATAATATGTTAGGAAATCAAAATCTCTTTCCGAATTTAACTATTCTTGTTATGTGTAATTATTGAATTTGACGTATGATGTGTCATATGTAACGTATGTAGTTGAACAAGAGTTGAAAGTAGGACACGTTTAAATCAGCCACAAGTTGGAACAATACGTCCGTCCACATACGATTTTTAACTTCGACGCAAGTTGTAAACTCCTCCCCTGACTCCTGTAGACTCCTCAACGTTGAAATACCCTTCGGAAATCGTTGAAAAAAGTCTATGATTAACATTTTAGAACAGTTTAATTTTAACGTTTGATTTCAAATTTGAAAAGACAATCGAATGTCTCGAATAGGAGTTCGTGGCGACTGGCCAGCTGTAGCCTGCATATATAATTTTTTTGCTTTCTTTGTTTATTTCATAAAAGACATTAATGTGCAATTCCTATTCTTCATATATTATTATTTTTTAGATTCAGGAGTTTTATAAAACTGTGTGGACTGATGTTTCTTCTGGCATTGTCATGTAAAACTGTTATCCGAAACAGAGACTGGTCAAACGAATACAACTTGTACAGGTGAAGTCTTTTTACGAGTTCTATTCAGATGTTGTGTTTATACTATACATTGTGGTGTCGATGGAGTATGAAATTTATATGACGTCGTTATCTATGACGTAATTAGTATTACAAGAAAATCTCAGAAAACTGCTTGAATGTCCGCAGAATTTCATTTTGGCATAGTGACTTCACGAAGTTGTTACAACAACAATAGAAATTTGATATGAAATTCGTACCAAATTGACTGAAAATCAAAATTCTATTCGCGTTAAGTGTCATCCATCGCTCGTTTTCATTTATATTTTGATACATTTTTGAAAGCTGTTACACTCTGAGTTGGAATTCATGTTGATGATGTATTTTTTTTTAGATCTGGCGTGATGACATCACCAGCTAAATCATGGGCAAATCTTGGCAACGTTTTGAAGGTTCAAGGAAAAATAAAAGATGCAGAATTTTCATATATTCAAGCATTGAAAGAAAGGGGAAATATGGCTGATGTTCACTATAATTTGTAAGATAATTTATAATTATTAAAATTTGAACATAGTGCTTGGTTTTTATTGTGAGGCTTTGTATACTTCGATTTCTGTATGGACAGCACCAGTGGCTCTTCTTGTTCACTTGATTTCTGTCAGATGATTAAAAAATGAAACTTTCTCCAAGTAAGTATTTCACCTTATTGTGGCGCCTAGTTATTATCAGCAATCAAAACATTTATAATTTCCTTAGTCGGGAAGACATTTTGATGGTGTTTTATGATGGCATCATTATGAATCCATCACTACAGATTTTTCCTATATATTCATGCTATTTTAGGACAAGATTTACGATTCGAACTGGGTATCTTTGGCAAACGTGCAAAACTTGCACGCTAAATTTGATGCAGAAAAATTACTGGCGCCAATGACAAATTGTTCGTGCTAAATTACAGAAATGTCCAGTCCCATGGTAAACATTGGTTTACCTGGTCAAATAGTATGAAAATTCCACAAGTCTGTGCTCTTTTGGTCGCTGGTTTTGATTGCTTGAAGTCAAAATGTTGGTCCTTTCAATCATCACCTAATCGTGATTTTTATGGTATCGAGCCAACGAAACTATATACATTGGTATATTGGGTTATAAATTCACAACATGTTTCATTGTCCAAATTCTAAATTAGTGTCCTATAATTTCTATATTTTCGATAGCTGTATCAAAAATAATTTTGCGTATCGTTGGCCTCCGGGCTGAGTTAGTAATCAGGGCCGTGGATTACAGTATTGCTCCTGTCTGATTATTATCTGACAGATTTAGTAAAATGAGCTAAATGTGTAGGCATGTAAGACTGTTGCATAAAATATATTGTGCATATTTATAAAAAGTTTGAAGGAGGGAAAGTGAAAGCGTAAAAAGACGATTTAATGAGGTATAATCATACGACACGGTTCATTTAGAAATTGTACGATTTATCGCTCAGTATCAATATACAAGCTCACTGTCAATACCACACCCAACTACTGAATTGATGTACTTTTATGACAGTGAAATCGAATGTGTTGTAATGTGACACACTATGGCAGTTTGATTCAGATCTCATCCGGGTAAAACTTCACTGATGAAGTCACAGAAACCAATTACGTACGCGCAATGATAACACTCACGCAAAGATTACGTCGTCTGTCAACACGTCGAAATTTAATTCCAAAAATATTGACTTATGTTTTAAACCCATACATGATTAAGCATGGAAAATGGAAACATCAAGGCTTTCAGTAATAATTTATTCGAGACACAGGCTTGATCGAGTTCGAATTGATTACCGTATATTACTCTTTGAGTGATATTCAAAAAAGACCCCGACCACCTGTGGTGCAGAATGATTTCAAGTACCGAAAAGTCAGGGAAGCGTACCGTAGATTTTTTCTGCGTGGTCAATCGTAAAATTGCGATGACCATTATTGTTATTGTTATCATCCAGAAAGTTCAACTTTTTATGATTCAATTTGTATTTTAGTTACAATCCCTAATTACCCACGTCACAAATTTTGAATGAAATGATTTTGCTGTAATTTCATGCATTTCTTCTAGTTTCAATCCTCATCCACGTCACGAATTTAAAGAAAAGTAATTTTAAGTTGCTATGAATTTAAAGAGAATTCATGTGTACGATGTTGAATATGGTTAGCACTGTAAGAATAATATGCAAATGTTTAAATATACCGGTATCCGACAATCCAGTTTAAATTTTTTTTCATAATACGATATAGTGATAAAAGATATTTCAAAATTATGTGAGGTTCAGAACTACGCCAGTTTTGTGTATTCTTGAGATTAGCCCCACTTGACCTGTTCAAGAATTGCTTTTATAAGGTTTTGATTGTTTTAATTTTTCAAATTTGCATTGAAAAACAGTTTTTAAAATATTCAATATCTGCACTTTCAGCTAGCTATATAAAGTTTTTTTTTAATATTTAATATTTATAGAAACAGTTATGACTCCAACGTAACCCGCCATTTTTGTGTATTCAGTTTTCCCCCTGTCTGTATTATGGTGGAGAAAGCTTCAACATCTTTTGGATAAGCCCCACTTGACATATTGAACTGGTAAGGCATTTGTCTGAGTGTAATAGAAAACAGAATTTCTCGAATATAATGATGGATTTGATAGATATATTGCTATGTTGCGTGGAAATGAAATAATGCGGTTTGAGAAAGCAATATTTACATCACTCATCTCGTGTTGTAAATTCATTTTACGACAAAGAAATAAAACTGGTTTATAATAGATTTTTTGGGTTGCTTTTGTGTTTGGATTTTGATTCAATTTTTGAGGGAATTGAAAATATATTTTTAAGGTAAAAAAATTATGTCGAACGAAAACCATTCATCTTTGATTCTCTGACGCAAATTCATTTATTTCTTCTTTTGTTGCGGTTCTCATTGTTGCGGTTTTCATGTTTATTAAAAGCAACTTAAAATTTATTTTGAAGAATCATCGTTATGTCTACTCACTGAAGTTGCGAAAGTATCAAAAACAAATAAAATTACTCAATTAACTTCATTACGAATTATAAAGAAAATTTAAACAACATACACTCAATTCAAACCCTGGTTGTAAAAGGGGGATTCACGCAGGACGAAACACCACATTCTCATGTGGTAATAATGGCGGTCTAGTCCACATCAAAGTTTATCTTGAAACTAATCAATGTTGAATATCGAATTTGTCACGTATAGACAATATTACTCACAAGTTGTCCGCGACGCTGGGGTATTTTTGTAAATTTATTCTGCAATGCTAAAATTTTTATGTTCGTAACCTCAAGATTTATACCTAGCGATTTTATCATGGTCGATCGAACATGTATTATAGTATAATTGCACAGAATACTCGTGGTTTAGCCATGATCCGTGTCCAAGCATATCTTTGGCTCGTTTTCAAAACTGAAATATGAGACTGTACAAATCGCTCTTTCGATTTCGTTTTTTATCCCTGTAAAAATGATGTCGTATCATACTCGGCTTGGCGAACCTAATACATAAGTCACAGATAAAACTGTTTGGTGAAGTTTCTAGGTCGGTGAATTGTCGTAAAAATACATTTCTGTCGAGGCGGACTGTGTTCCAGGAAATGAACAAAAATGTAATTTGTTACTGACGATTTCCGTGTTTTTCTACATTTGTACATTGAAACGCTATTGTTTTGAAACGCTGGTTGAATCAAAACTGCAATTCTATAGATTGCTCAATAAGATAACAAAGTAAATAAAATTCTATAATTTTTGTTGCGATTTCTAATTGGATAGAAATGCTGAAATTAACGATTCTATTCATGTTACTGAATCCAATGAGATTGTGGCAACACCAGCACAGTAGCAATCACGACTTATCCATTTTTTGGTACTCCTGAAGTATGCGCATCAAGATGTCGCACAACCTGAACCCTGACCTTGTACACAACCTGAGTTCAGGTTGTGCGCCATCTTGGTGCGCATACTTCAGGAGGTCCAAAACATTTTTCATAACAAATTTGCTTTTGATACGCAAAGAAAGTGTTGTCTTTTTCCTGTTTGTTCAACCGTTGAATAACTTCCAAAAACAATTATGCAAATAACATCACTTACACTTACTGTGAAACTGTATCTGAGAAGCACAAGTAAAACATGACAAGAATTGAAGAAAAATTATTATTTCATGATTCAATTTTCCTGATTTTATACATTTTTTGTGAATTACACTCATTTCTAATGTTTATATGCGAATAAAAGACACTTTTTATTTTGCATTGGCACATGAACATGCACAAATGGATTTTTTATAATATGTGCTTGAATCAATTGTAATATTTATTTCAATACCAATAGGCGATTTCATTTCCGTTCGAACCTGCTCAATCAGACCTTGAAAAAATAAAAATAAGATTAGTTTGGAAACTATTTACTTTGCACTGTAATTTTTGTAAATATATTTACTATTTACTTCATGGAAGAAGTATTTTTAAAAAACTTTCGAGAACTCTCATAGACGAGAATGCTTATTCTAATTTAAAATAATCATCAGATTTAATGCAGGATCTTAAATGTGAGGTAGATAAATTTTTTCATTTTTATGAAGTTTTTTATGGCCATATTTCGTCGAACATAACGTCTCGCTCAATTTCTCCTCCGATTTCGCATTGTTTTGTAATGGTTGACGTACATAAGCTGGTTGTGAACTTGGTTCATTTTAAATGAGAACGTTCTAACATGTATCGTAGATAAATTTAACTTGGATAGCTAAATGTAATCATTGACCTTGCCTGATTGATTATGATTAGAACCACGTTTCGTTATCAAAGAACTAGTAGACCATTTTATTGAGCAATTTCAAATCTAAGATTGATTGCTCTGAGTATATGAGCACAAAATGAAGTTGATATCCAAGCAACAACAAGTTCCACGGAAAGTATTACATAACTGTCTGCGATAGCAAGTTACATCTAAATATGAGACTGAAAAGTGAATCTAAATTATACCGAATTCCATTGCGAGTTATACTCGTATGAAATTACAATTCTAGAATCTCTCAAATACTTCAAAATCCTATAGCTGTAAATTTACTATCATTTACTTGCCAATGAGAGACTTCAATATCTATCTATTGTGAGATTTTTTTTATATACCTTATATTTGGTATACGTTCAATAGAATAATAACTTTATGAATTCTGAGGCATTGTAATTTGATATATTTATACAAACTCGAACAATTATTATATAACAATGATGATATACATTTTACTTTAAATTTGCTGAAAAAATTGAAATCAAACATATTTTCCGCTTTCATCAATCATTTTGACTCAAATTTTTGCAAACGGGGTCACCTATTTGTAATTCTATTTATTCTGAGGAAGGTTACAAGGCGTGTTCAACCGAATATCCCAACAACAGACAATGTACCTCACGCACGCCATAATCTCATCATTTAAATTAACCCCTCTTTTTGGATTAGTAACATGGAAAGGTCGACGTGAAGTTTTTCGACCATAAGAATCAATAAATTAGCAGTCTTTCCAGCCTTAAAAACTCATAAAAACAAAAAAATTATCAAACGATAAATCAACAGTAAGTTGCTTCTGATCAAGGCGCTTTGCACACGAGATTATTGGTACAGATAAGCAGCATCAAGTCTCGTTGTGGAAATCGGGATTGTCCTGCTTATTTAATCAAGGATTCAAATCGAAATATTACGTTTAAACAGCTAAAATCGAGAACTTGAATGGTACTATCTAGTAATTTGACTAAGTTATCTTATAACTATCTTATATCCACAGAAACACCTACAAGGAAAAAAGAAAAAGGAAAAAATAAATTTGTTCTCCTTTTGCTTCGGAATATTTTTTGTATGCGTATTGTTTGTGATGAGCTTTCTGTGATTTTTCTCATTTTCCTTGTATTCTGAACGTTGCAACTATATAATGAGTTCTCATCTCACATCATTTTTTGCTTATTAGTTTGAAGTCGCATAAAATGATTGTAGTTTCACAAAGAATGGAGACCAATGAGTTAGTTTTGGGCATCGGCTTATCTACTAAATTGACCTATTGATCGATTCAACCAGGTGGAAATACCATCAACATGTTGAACCATGTTTTCAGCTTACACTGGAAATCTAAACTCACACAGGATAACTATCAATCAAACGTCTACCGTACCTAAACTGAATATGAATGGGGCGGGTAAAGTATGGTTTATATATGATCTGTCATACTAGGGAATAACAATTCACTCAATGTCTCCACGCACCCACCACGTAGGAGGAACATTATTTACCCACTGGTGAGCTATTGTCAGCTTGTTTTGGGTCTTTTGCGCATCGACGAGTCGAGGAACCCATCATCAGACCCATAGGCGCTGCACATCCTATTTTTTGCGTCAATGATCCTCAATTAACTTTTCTTTATTGTTTTCGTCGTCAACAGGAGATCTTGCCTGTATTCAGTTGTTCAAATTTCCGCAACCACATATTGTCCATTTTACAAGTTATTCTCTAGTTGAGAGTTGTGTGAAAGTTCAGGTAGTAGTCGAAAATATAATCCTAAACTTTGTCTAACTTGCAAATGTTTCATTAGAAGCTCGAAGTCAACGGAAAATTATAAAAAAAAAATAATTAATTTAACTTCTTTGTCACAAATTTTATTGAAAAAGATAATCCGTAAAAATTATGCTTATGTGAGTTTTTTAGTTGTTTTTCTGAATGAACCTGATGTAGGTTTTTCTGTAGAATATTAAATCTTTTTGACCCATTTTGATATTAATTTTGAACCCCCTAATCGATACATTGTGTTAATAGGGTATGCGTTGGAAGCGGTTTTATTTCAACATTCTTGGTCAGTTATTTTTAAGTTTTTGTGCCAATGAAAAGAATTCTAGTCTAGTCGTTAACGATTGTCTCTGCCGTCGTGAAATTGCTCCTTATTCAACTCATTTTAATTAATAATGTTCAATATTACAGCAATTTAATCAATTACTATGAAAGTTAGTTCAATCAAAAAACGAGTTTACCATTCAGCCTCCGTTCATATTGATATAGTCGAATAATTTAACTCTCGGTTACCATCTAGCGTTCACAATATACTAAATCTGATTGAACAAGAAGTCGCATCGAAGTTTTCCAATCACCTCACCAAACTGTTTTAGTGGACACCGATTTGACCTGTGGATTGCTATGTTAAATTGTTGTTGTTGTCGTCTTTCTTGTTGGGGTATATTTCGGTACTCCTGAATGATGCGCACCAAGATGTCGCATAACCTGAACCCTAACCTGGTACACAACCTGAGTTCAAGTTGTGCGCCATTTTGGTGCGCATACTTCAGGAGGTCCCAAATTTCTGTGTTGGCCAATTAGACAATTATAATCTAGAATTGTTCTTTTGTTGTACCTAAGTTGACTAGCGTGACCGCTACGTCATTACAAATTCGCTGCTCAGCCACATTTTCGTGTCAGTCTCATAGGCTACCGGTACCGCGACTAGCTATTATACTTATTGGATCTTCATGTTCCTATATTTTAGCTTTGCTCTCTTGTTGTGATTGCAATAAATCAAATTTAAAATGAGCTGTAACATACTCTTCTGCAGTATTGAATTGTACGCAAAATGATCTATGAGATCTTATTCACGGGTGCAATGTTTTCTCAAAAAATTAGGAATTAGGCCCTTATTTAATACTGTGAACCTGCATTTCAGGATTTTAATGTTGACTTTATATTTTGTATGTTCCCATCATACACCTAATAATACTGCTGGAAAGTTGTTAGAATACATGACAGCAACTTGTTAAATATATATAAACTGTAAATATGTTACGCAACATATATTTAGACAACCAACGCAATGAAAGCAGCTGCCCTTAGAGTTCTCATCTCATTTATTCAGGGGCCTTCTATATCAAGAGCAACGTAGATATGAAGAAGCCATGCACAGATACAAGAGAGCAATACAATATCGACCTTCCTTGGCAGTAGCTCACTTGAATATTGGAATTATTTTGGCAGAGATTGGTAGATATGAAGATGCGGAAAAGGTTAGTATGACACAGTCATAAGTGGCGAGTCATAATATGTGTAACGCTATAGGACCCGGAGTAATGTATTTTATAATCAGCTTTCTCAAACGCACCTACCGTTTTTAACCTCTTGAATACGTTCTACATATATTATATAGCACATATTTTGCTGGACATACAGTCACAGAAAGTAAGTGAGGCGGCAGGTCGTATAACTTTCATTGTATAAAACCTGTGTCACCTGTGCGGCAGACAGCAAAATATCCTGCTTATATCTTTTGCTACCGTTAACATCAAACGCAATCAGAAAATGATCAGTCGCCGTTAAAAGGGAAATCGAGCAAATGGTGATATTTAACTAGGATTCTCATGGATCCCACGCTAGGAAACAGCGGCGATAGTATTTCTAACGTAAAGCGCAACAAGCTGGTCGTACAGCTGCTGAAACCAAATATGATCATCAAAAAATTGGATTTTATACGGCATAATCTCCATAGTATCGTTTCGTTCATATATTTCTGATTATACATAATTTCTTTTGTAATGTTTAACTACTGCTGCTGTGCATTCTGATATCTATAAACAAATACAATCACATAATGTAAGTACTTTTATATAAACTTAAATAAAACGTCACGTAATAATCCACAAAAAATAAAAGTCAAAAGAGCTTCAAAAAATGTTTTTGGAACAATCAATATTATAAGCTATATATATATAATACTTTACCAGAATCTGGGACATTGTTTGTGATTTTAAATACAGGCTGACAAAGTATGCTACTGACTGTAAAAATTGCTGTATTAAAATGCCTTAATTATATCGAACAGGTCATGTACTTTTTCGACCAATTTTTATTGGTAATTTAACTTTATCAGGCCGCTCATATGTTTGTTGCCTCATTGTTTTCACAAGGGCAGATTTTCCATGACTTAAACCACTTTTCCGATCTCTTGGTTTCCGCAAACTTCTACGAGCATCTTTATAAATTTTTCTATATTCCTTCCTGTATTGTGGATTCATAAAGCCATATAATATAGGATTAATCACGACATGAAGCCATGATAGAAGAACCACGCCTAGTTGTAAATTAGCCGGAATGTAAATCACAGTTAAATTACGTATGATATCAACTATAGACGATGGTAGTATACATAGAGCAAATGCTATGCATATGAAAAGTCCGCTGTAGGCAAGTTTTCTTTCCGCCTCTCGGCGACGATAACGGCTACTGCTACTAGCCGCCGATGAAGAAACAATGGACGCTTTCTTACCCGAAAATCGTTCATAAATTGTCGGTCGTCTGCTGTTGCGTCGTCTGTGCAGTGATCCGCTACTACTTTTGGAATGCTTTCTTGAACGTGTTTGACTACAGGCACTCACTATTGATGTAGAAGATTTTAGGGCTGGTATAACTTTACTGCTGTTTTTTTGATTTTGTGCCTTTAGAGATCTACCGCTGTAGATTGAAATAGCATCACTCTGACCAGACCATCTTCTGCCTAAGTCAATACTATTCAAATCACAGAGAGATATGTTGCATTCGCCATCTGTGCATATATTATTTACTCTCAAAAATTGAGAAGAGTCATTCATTTTTCGTCGTCTCGCTAATAGAGCTTCGTTCTCCTTAGGAGAAATTATGTCAGTATCAGGACTACCTCGGCGGCTATTCGTTTCTATGGAATCAAACGTTGACACTCGTTGAATAGGGTTTGCCTCTGAAAACTTTCGACGTCCTTCATCACTGTCTATATACAAAGGTGGTGAAGAGCACATGCGTTTCTCCACTCCAGAAGAACCAACTTCATCATTTTGCTCTTTGTTGGCGCTTTGAATTGGGAAGCTTGGTATAGGTAACATTACCATAGGTTTGTGCGAAATTTTCGGCGAAGTGGGATAATTTACAATACCACTCCACATGCTTGATGCGTTTGATACGCCTTTTGCGCTCGTCAAAGAAGAAGCCTTGCTACTTCCTACGCCTTCATCACAACCGTGTGGCCAGTCCGATAAAGTATTACTAAGTTCCATATCACAGTTGCTCTCATCCATTGGGCACCGGAAGGAATAATTTTGATCATTTGGTTTTTCCGTCGAGCTGTGTTGACGTAACAACTTTTTCCAAAGACTTCTGAAACACCTTTGAATCCTGTTTTCCGATTTCTCTTCGTTATTTACCTTTTCGGCATTTTGGGAATTTTGTTTTTGTGGTGTAGCGTTTGGTGTTACTTTTTCGGAACGTTCAGATTTCGCAGAAAGAATGCCTTCATCTTGCACGGTTTCTGGACTATGTGAACGCCAAGGTGATTGTTGCTTGGCAGAATGTTCTTCTGTTACTTCCTCCGTGGCATGATCGATAACTATTTTGATCATCGTGTCACCTCTTGCTCCAGATGATCCCCGAATTCTGTATTTAGATTGCTTCAAACTCGTCACTGACCAATTCTTACTTTTGCGGAAGTGTTTGAACCACTGTTTACCACCGCTGTCGCTAGCACCGCGTCTGTACAAAATACGCTTTGACAATCCAGTTTCTCTGACGCCAAAACCTACCCCCTCGTCACGTGATTCAGGTCGAGCATCAAATAATTTGGAAGAGAAGTTAACGGGATCTTTTACCCCTGTATCCACAGAAAAACCAGGTTCCAATTGCGAGGCGTACCCTTTATCAGATGACGAACTAGCTGGTTTAAAGGCGTATTTTGCTCTTCGGACATCTCCGGAGATAGGTTCGTTTAAGGATGCTCCAATAACACCACCGCTAGATGTCGGCGTGGGGACGACTAGCGACTCAACACCATCAGAGAAAGCTATAGGCTCAGATGCAGTGGATATTTCAGGAGGCGACAACATCTCCTTAACTTTTCCCTTCGATGGAAAAGGACGACGAGCTAAATGCGTCGTCATTGATGTGATCTGAAGTTTTGAAGAAGTTATTAATTTTGTTTCTGGAGTTTTAGATGCGATTTCCAATGATGTCGAGTTGACATTCAATTGAACGGAATTTTCACTCTTGATTTCGTTTTTCTCGTACAAATTTACTTGAAGTTGTGAGTCATCTTCAACCACGCTTTGGCGCTTTAACATTCTTGTTTTTCGTCGTACTGAATCTACAGAGGTGCTTGATCCACCTTCTTTGCAATCGGGACTAGGCGGCGATGTTTTACTGATAGTTTGGCTGCTAAAAGTGGAATTGTGCATAGACGGGGAGTTTGTTTGAGAGCGCATATTTAAATCATTGAAATTAGGTGAAAGAAATCTATTATCCGGTAAAGAACGACATTTTTCTTTATAGTCAGAAAATGTGATCAGTTTTTCCAATCTTGGACTGAGTGGAATTTCTAACGCGCTTTTACTAACTGGGTTGTTAGTTTCGCTCTCACTCAGAATCTTCGTAATTTCAATTTGCGCCGTAGTATTTATTGAGTTAGCAGCCATAGTATCGTCGCAAATGACTGTTGGTGACAAAAAGCGGCTAGAAGATGAACAATTTTGTGTGGACGAATCGTTCCCCAGACAGAATGAAGCATTGACAAGTTTTGTATCTTTATCCACGTGGGACCCACCTAATATATTTTTCGTTTTTGGTTCATTTGAAAACACAGGAGATTTCAATTCAAATGATGTCATTTCCCGTAAATCACTGTTGTCATCACCGATCATTCCAGGTTCAGGCTCAATTTCCTCATCTAAAATAGGTTACAAATAAACGGTGGATATTGATATTAATAATTAAACGAATTACAAGTCATGCTATTTTCGAAGCTAAAAAGATAAAAAATTCAAATAAATACATTCTGGGAATGAGTTTTGTGGTTTGGTTGTGGTGTGCAGGAGTGATAAGCTTATTAAAAATTTATATGAACATATGTTATGTAAGACTTATGATTGTGCAAAGTGGATTCGTTATTAAATGATGAAAATGAAATTTTCAGCTGTCGTTACGAAACTGATATGCCTATGAAATAAATGGTTGGTTCGTAGCCTTTTCCACTATTTTTTATTTTAGGACCCCTTCGAATTTCGGACGAAAGCGATGCTCAACCTCATGCAACGTAAATTGGTATCAAGCAAAAATGATTATATTGAATGTTAATAAGTACGCAGAAACGCCGCAATGGACTAAAAATAGTCAACGATATTGTGGTCCGATTATACATTGCTTGCTTCTAAAATGGCTCGTGAGGTCCCATAAAAAGTCAGTCGATTGTCTTGATTAGATTTTATTTCGATGCTTCTCGAAACACTATGAAAAACTCTTCGGGGGTCAAGGGAACCAGTTTAATAACCCTTTGCTCAGAGACTTGTTATGTGAGAAGGTTTGAGTACACTTTATGTAATATGGAAAAACAAAAAAATCACCACACTTAGGGTCGTTGCAAAATAGATAAAAATAACTCTCATTAAAAAATACCTCCAGTACTGAACGATCGTTGTTGGCACCAACCTAGCCGACGTCCTCTCATACTGACATTGGAAGGCGACGGTGTATCTACAGAATCCTGTATTTGTTTAGTAAGATTTGGAGACGATGTGGTGCCGGATATCGTTACTTTATTAATGTCGGAACCTCCCGCAGCTTCCATTACCATTATTCTTGTTTGAGGGGGAGCTGTGGAAAACAAAGTCATAATTTTACACTTTAGTGTAACTGTAACTGTGGTATATTTGTGGCCTAACTATGTCGACGTTGCATGTTACTTATTTTGGAATTGTACTTCTATATATACGCGATTAGTGAGTGCATAATCACTCACCACTTCACTAGAAGTGTGAATAATCAGATGACGACGAACTGGAAATATTTCGTTTGTTCCAAACAAGCAGCTCGTCACATTTTAGTGATAGCTTGTCCGGAGCGATACTCAAATTAAGATATGTTAGTGGAATTGCTCATTTGTATTCTACTTTTCAGTGTATTCTATTTGATGGAAATTCTGGGGAAAATTACATCTAGATATTGAAACTGTTGTGCGTGTGGTGGCAGGGCAAATAAATTATATAAATGCACCGCGCTTACATCTTTTGTATAAAGTAGATGGATTCTTTCTTGGAGATATTGAAGTAGATGGTACTTGAAGATATGCCATTATTATTGCCTTTTTTCCTTCGGTTACATCTCCCTTTTCTCCTGCTATGACAGTTTCGCATTTCGGGGAAGATGAGGTTTTTCTTCTCAGTGAAGAGAATCCGGGAAACCGAGAGTTTGAATCGTGTTTGCAATCTGACCGTGAGTTGGAGCATACTGCGCATGGTAAAACTGATGGAGCATTTGATGGTGTATTTGTAATTGGATAATGTTCCACTGTCTTCCGACATTTCTTTACTTTCTCCAGAATTGCTCTGAAAAGTTGATAACTGGATTTCAGAAATATTTATATACATAAAAAACATTAATACTTAACATTTCCTGATTTGGGAAACGATTCAGCAATTTGTAATTTGTTTATTTTTGTATTGTGTTGGCGATAATTTTCATGCTTTAAAATGTCGTAAACTCTACGACAACTAACGAGTACCATAATTTCATCGCCAATCTTTTTTTACTTGCATCATCTATCTCGATACGTTTTGCTTGTCAACAGGTCGATATAACTCATTCCTGTTTTGGAAGTCCAAACAGCGTCGACGTCGTTTGACGTAATATAGAACTCGAATCATACAGAGGCAAACGTATCTACTCATAGATCACGTGTGATTAGGCGCATCTTCCTAATAAACGTTAAAGAGAACCTTCCGAGATTGTGGCTGGCCATTTTCAGTCTAGTAAATACAGCAAAAGCATGGTGTTTATTGAACCGGAGTGAGTTGAATGAATGAGTCAAATAGACATTATTGAATTTGTGGGTGTTTTTGTTATGATAACCGTGATTCGTCGACTACAAAATGTCAGGATGAATCAATCAAAAAAAATTACATCACTTAATATTCTCGTTATTCGCGTAAAGTATGTAGGTCATATTGATAAAGATAAAATCACTTCGAGATGATCATAGTTTCCTGCTTTTTCAGTCGACTGATAAGAGTGAATGTGAACTCTTTGAAAAAAATCTGTATATGAACTTATATTTCCACAAGAAAAAGTTTCGTGAATATTTCAAAAATTGTTTGAAACATTTTTAGTTGGAATGTGTTCAGCGAGTGCCGTCTTCCGAAATTGAGGTCGCAGACCAGAAATCTGGAGTTCAAATGTTATACCCAACACACCCACTCAGCGTATAATAAAAGATGTGGCCATATAGCTTCTTATTAGAATACGAAAAACCTAAGTGCCGGCATAAAAAAAAGTGTGAGATAGCCGTTTAAAACATCATAATTTAAACCAGCGTACCAATTGAAATGGCCAAATTTTCACCAGTTGAAATATATACTTAAGTAATTCACTTTGAATCATTCATGGCGACTGTTTCGGGGACTACAATTTTCTCGAACACGTGTTCAGACTAATCTTTCACACTGTCAACGTGATGGAATTTCTATCGTTTTAAATTTCAAGTTTGTCAGACTATCTATTGCACTATCTTTAACTCGTTCAATTTAAAAAAGGAATTGACCTATTATGCACTTCCGTATTTCTCTCACTCCAACATCTAGATTATTCCGGCATTTTTAGGTATTGTATGTGGCCGCACTCATAATTTGTGTGTTTACATTATCGCTTCTTCATTTTTTAACGTTGGATTTTTAAGGTCATTTGCGTTATTGGGCCAAAACTCTATTTTCGGTGAAACGGTTCATCTTGATAACGTTTTTCTTTCCGCGAGTCCGCCAGACGGGACTGACATTCGGTATTTTCCGTTCTTTTTTGACAAGAAGAACGAAATCTAAGCCAGGACGATAATGACAATGAACTTTCAAATAGATTCAACTTGGCACGTGTCAAAATGATTTATATACAATCATAGGCATCATAGGCATACAAGCGGATTATTTAATACTGATGAAGTAGTAGAAACTGTATTCTAATTTTGTACATATAAAGCTTGAGTATATCGAAGCAATTTTTCAGAAACAAATACCTGATAAAATATTCCCATACCCGACATGGACTGTCAACCAAACAAGAGGCCGTGGTTTGCCATGTGATTAAATCGTATTTGCGGCTTTCATCTCTTCAAGAATCAATATAAAAATTTATTTCTAATTAAACAAAATAGAAAACGTTTCGACCGAATAAAGTATTGAAATTTGATAAAACATCTTCGTCTGTCGGTTATGAAATATCTGTTCATCATTTGGAAAAGAAAATTTTTGCCAACTGTAAACTGTATTGATTAGTTTACAACTGTTTCTACAAAACACTCATAAATAATATGCCATGTTGGTTTGAAGCCAATGTTGTAACCCTGTAGTACGATTTTCACTACACGTTTCACTATAACGTAATTATGACGCATTTTTGATGAATTGACTTTAGCGTTCAGCGATAAACAATGCAATGCTGTAAAGTATATTTGAATTGATGGTTAAATTCACTTAGAACTGATGACCAAAGTAAGATTATCATAAAATAATTTTTGCTATGCTATATAAAGATTAGCAACTAATTTTTATTGTTTGTAATCAATTTTTTACTGCAATACAAAACGTGCACTTGGCTGTAAGCTTTAGCTATTTAAGTTGTGTGCGCCGTTTTACTATTTTGGGTGGAGAGCATAACAGTCGGTCGAATCATTAACTCAGTACGAAAACATTAAACAATATTAATGACTTCTTGAAATATTTGCTTGCTTTGAATCGAGTTAATTAATCAATTTCCTCGTCGCCAAAGTTCGAAGGGCAATGGTCGTAGCGCATTCATTTTCATATTGATATAATGAGGATCACTATACAATGTTGTATATTGAACTAAAGGTCCTTTCTCCTTGTCTACCTCTTACTTCGGATTCGTAAGTGGCCGTTAAGGAGATAATATAGCATGCTTGCCTTTTCGTCGACTGAGATTATGTTGTTCTTATTTAACAACACGAGTTGAAAATATCCTTTTAAATAACAGTGGCTCACAATGTATAAGTGATTACTTCTCTAAGGACATGATCGTTGCGAAAAGAAAAAATTACATACAGGAATCTAATAATTCATTAACAGAATATAATCATTTCGTTGAAATACGACAAGGACGTGTTTTGTCAGCTCATTTCTTTCCGCTTGATTAATTAAGCGAAGATGATATACGATTTGACGATGGAGATATCGTCGCGGGTCAGAAAGACATTCCAAGTAAGATTTCATCTCAACCTAAAAGCATTCAGATATGTCATTGAAACTACAAGATATCTTGCACTAGGCCCTTGATTTCTCAGGAATATTGATTTTTGTGATTTTAATTTTCAAATTCGTTTCGCAAATGGAGGAGTAGGTTAGGGGGCAGCCTTTTATCGCCATACTGGTAAACCATAATCGACGACGCGATGCCGCAAGAGTGTATGAAAATTTAAAACAGGTCAGATGTATTCGACCCAATACAAAGCGAAACTCTGATTTATTAAAAAAAAAACGATGGTAGACTATAGCGAAAATTCAGATTCATAAACTTCACATATATACAGAAGTTATCTATAACGCGGTAAAAAATACCAAATCTACTTAGCCTGAATCTCGGTTTCAATAATTTCGCTCGATTTTGTGTCTCTTGAAGCAAATCAAACAAAACAATGAATTGTTGCGCTTTGCTTGGTTATTTTTATTTAGCGCCTTATTAGAATTGAGTATTATCCATGGAATTCGTTCAGGATTGCGGATTCAAAAAGTTATTTAGCTTCGGTAAAACCAACGAAGATATTTGTACACATTTTCTTATATTCTTGATATGGCATCCCTCATTTGCCTTTAGATTCCTATAGATATGATAATTTGTTCTCATAACTGTATGGAGGTATAACGCCTTTAAATTCAACAGATATACAAAAGATAAATTGCTTGTTATGATCATTAACAACAAATAAGTTTAATTTCAATGCTCCAATTTATTTTAATTTTAACAATATACTACTTAAACATAAAAAATGCTAACAAGAATATTAAAATGCAAATAGTGTCGTAATATGGAACTCTGCAATTTTATTGAGAGAATTTGCCTAAAGTAAGGCAACCGTATTCAATAAAAAGTAAAGAACATTTATAATTATGTGATCAAAGTTACGACGGTCTTTTTGTTGTCTCTTTGCATTAAATCCCTGCAATATGCCGAATAAGTTTACGAATTTTAATTATTGAATTTCCAAGAAGGATCGTTTTCGATTAACTGAATTCATTTTGGGCTGCTCAAATTGACGACACAGATATTCCTACTGCTTCTAACAGAAGATAGGAATAATGAACACAAAACATCACCGAAAACAAAGTGTCTAACGATCAATATATATATATAAATATAAACCAAAATATCAACGAATTATTGCTTTTTATAGCCTACTAAATATATCTTTTGGGTTTGAACTCAAAACATGCTTTGCATCATTCTGGCTAATAAATTTTTAATAGGAAAAACTATGGTCAAATCTTTACGCTAAATATTTATACTAAACTGCCAGGCATTAGCACGATACCGGAACATTTGGAAATTGAGCATCCAAATTTAGTCTTTCAAAATAATTTTATTCAGTATTGGGATTGCCAATGCATGATGTTTAATTTGATATGAGTTACTAAATGTCTTACCTAATGATCAACATAAACCATTTCAATATTATGCAAAATTTTTACGAACTCACAGCTAGAAATTGAGAGAAAATTTATGTCTTGAACGGGATGCATATTAGAAAAGATGTAGAAATCACACATTTTGTTTACGTAAAAATCTAGTAAACCGAGTATCTGCTTATGCACAACCTTGTTCGTAAAAAAAAAAGCCGAACAGAAAGAGTATAATAACGCATTGAAATAATGAAATGAAATTGTGTCAGGATTTGGGCGCTCTCTGCGATACCAACACCAGTGTTCAGTAAATTGGCAGCAATTCAATTTTTCAAAATCTTAAATTCAAAGATGTTTTTTTCTATAATCACGGCATTATATTTCTGCAGTTTGTGATACATTTGACACTCGGCAGGTATTGTGGTTCTTGGTAATACAATTATGGTGTTTTAATTTGGACTCGCGGGAATTAAATAGTACTGATAATGGACGTTTAAATGAAAACATATTAAATTCTGTCGATCTAATACAGCGCAATCTACACAGCTAGAAAAACTCAACTCGATTTTTCTATGCAACAGCAATAACACAACTGACCCCAAACAACCGAGCATTGGCCATATATAGATTATGTTTGAAACGAACTTTATATACTCTGTGTAGAAATACAAGTACTGAAAATTCTCTTATAATTTTACTTATTATTGGAGGTTTTGGTTTCCGAGGACCTGCTGATCGAGATATTTACTTAGGGTACAGGGTTTTAGCATTTGTGGAAATCCTGTATTATTGGCTATACTTTGAGCTTAATGGGTTTTAGCATCGACAAATAGAAAAACGACAGCGATGGACACGAAACTTGAAACAATTCGAGTAAAAACTGTCAGGGAACTTCCAGACCGTATTGCCCAAATAGAGTGTATGTATGGCCCGACTTTGATATAGTTAATTTTTGTCTTACATAACATTATCTTGAAATGGCTTGTCGGTTGTCAAATATGTTCTTGCTTCAATAGTTTGCGCTATTACGCTATAGAGAAAGCTACATGACGTGAGGTGTCACAATAATGATTTTTCTGCTCTCTATGAATCAAATAATTAAACAAGGCTCATTGTTGCAAGCGTGTTGGCCCAGCTTTGAGATTTCAGACTCGCTCGACACAAATCTAACAATTACAAACCGTTTAGCAGCGTTGGCCTTGTCAAATTAGAAATTAAATGGTAATCTTTACATTTACGCACCTTACGATACGGAATGCTTTGTTAAAATATAATGAGAGAAGAATATAATTATGCAATGTATGATTGTCGTGATAATTGTTATGTCATAGGAAGCTTGGTTTCAGTATTTTGCAAATCGCGAGCCCCCCTCCGATTAAGGCATTTGACATTTTTATACAATATTCCATTAAACAAGAAGTTACCCATACCAAGTAATGATTTATAGACTTACCGATAAAATATAATGAGTGCTATTGTTGGCAAAAATTCAAGTATAACGTTAAGAACAACCCGGTAGTAAAGAATCGATTCTTCTACGTCTGGATCTGATAGGGGTTCGCAGCGCAAGCTGGAATCACTCCATCTTATCGTAGGGACTGTAATGCAAATATAAGAGAGATAGTTAGTTAGTAGGCTAATGACGACAGCATCTTTTATCTGTGACGTTAAAGATTTGATATCGCAACGTCATCCAGTAAACTACTTTGCGTCAAAGATGACGCCCGTGCACAGATACTTATCAAGCGAACGACATTAAATTTGAAGTGATTATGCTACATGTAGATGTCATATAGAACAATTGCATTTTCTCTGTTCTAATAATCACAAGATAAAGTTTGACGTACTATAAGAACAAGCGCGTAGGTGGACTATATTCACAAACCTGAGATTTAGCAAGCAAATCGAAACAAGTTACAGAATTGCATTTCTGCTAAAAATTTCAAAATTTCCAACAAAAGATTCCTGTATTCGACTCACAAACGAGCTTTTTATAGTGCAAGCCCGAGCTGTGAATATTAAATAGTTTATTTTTCAATTCAAATTAAAGTTCGGATCAGCTTCGATTCCGAAATCGTTTAGACTGGTTTTAAATTTTGTTTATTGAAAAAACATTTAAAAAGTAAACGCGGCCGACAGCAGTCTATCCATATTATTAGTGTCGTCGTCGATTATGTATCTGCTCGTCATAATATATTATTTATGATGCCCTTAAGCTAACCAACCCACTGTCCTACTTATACATTATGCATGCGTTTGACCAGGGATGAAACTATGTACCTGACCAACTGTGGGGACTCAATGTGTTGCGTCTCATGGGCAACGCCCATACTAGAATGTTTATTGCCATAACTCGCTAATATTTATGAGGTTAGAAATAAGCTTTTTGTTGTGTAAACAAAACCCTTACAAATTTCAATATTTTCTGATGGTCGAAAAAACAGTGAAGGAAAGTGTGGAGAAAATAATAAAATAGGGTTTTGTTAAAGAGGCAATGAATTTCAATAAAATAACCTTCATATATATTTTTTGCTATCATATGTACTTCTTTTATACTTCGAAAATCCGGATCTGTCTGCTACGCGCAAACCTATATGAAAACTATCATTGGTATCATATAGAAAAAAGAATCTGACTATTGATCATATAGCATAAACTAAATGTAGACACAATTCATAATATACTAAAAATTTGGATTTGATATACTAAAATCGTGTCTAATTTTAATTTAGAAACGGTTTAATGAGGCTGGATTGTATAGTTAAGACGCTAGTGCATATACCTCTAGCATTTTGTAACGACATTTTTGATATCCATATATATATGTGTTTGTATCGAGGAAAGATGCGATAGGGGAATCCATATAAGCAGTCTTTCAGTTTAGCACATAATCGAAGTATGTGTCGTTAAGTGCATATTGCGGTTATAGTAACATATACATGTCATGTTATAACACTGTATTTTGCCAACCGAATTTGTCAGGGTTTAGTTTAAGCATCCCCCGATTTATTTTTCGTCGTCTATAAAGGCAAATTTTGGTTGCCCCAAACACCTATATGATATAATCTTGAACATTAAATTCTCAGTTATATATTGTAACTTACCGATTACTAGAGGCAAATATAGTAATGGAGCAGACAGCCATATTCCGATCAACCAATATTTAACACTTTCTCTTGTGAACATGAGACGATATCTACAAAGCAGAAATGTATATTATATTGACTATAGAATAATGCGTTGAAATCAAATAAATGCAATGTATTCAATGATTGAAATTGTTAACTTTAAATACAGAGGTAATATTCTTTACGAAATAATTTTAGGAAGTACTTTAATTCGCGCTAGGGTATACTATATTAAAGTTCATAACGACCACCTTGCGCATGTACTCCGTATACAATCTCTTTTTCCGGGCCTTCAAATTGAAAAAAACTGACAGAAAAACTCAACGAAAAAATATGTAATTTTTATGTAGTATTTGAAAAAAATTATAAAATATATTAATGAACATATCCAAATATGGTGGTTTCCGGTTTCTTTAATAAAATTTCCAGAATGTGATGAATGATGATTACTGGTTAACAGACGACAAAATTCTGCAAGATCATCCGGAATTAAACTTGACCTCTCACGCCATTGTAGGAAGTGAATAATTTGAATTGAAAATTCAAATGTCAAAGCTTGAACGTTCAAGAGTCATAATACCATAATGCCAAAAGACATGGAAAAAATTTGAATGTTTCCATTTTTTTTCTGAACATCTTAGTAACAAAAATTGTGGGATAATCGTGTACTGTTTGAATGAACTACAAATTTCAAACAATCGTCCTAAAATTATTTGTGTAAATAATTTAATAAAAGGAAACGGACTTTATCCAGCCGGTTAACTAGTGTTTTCTGTAACATACCTTTTAGAATAAACAATACCGACGTATCGATTGATCGCTATGCAGACAAGGTTGATAGTGGACGACGACATTGAAGAATAGTAGAAGTATCCTATTATATCGCATGCGTACAATTCCCTTTTCAACAACACCATCGGCAAATGCATTGGTATCATCTGACCACAAAAATTAAGACATAGGTTATGAAGTTGAACTATATTGAAACAAGTAAAAGCAGTGGTTCCGCTTATGAGCAATTATGATAAGATTTTCTGAATTTTATTTTGGTTTGCTTTTTTTTTTGCAATGCGATTGTTTGATTGGTTTCGAGGTACGTGGATTTGTTGCCATCATATGTAGCACAGTGGGCCTACAGTCTAAATGTGAGTTTCGGTTTGAAAATGAACGTTTAGTTGTTTTGCACGCATGTTCTAACCCAACATTGTGAACTTTTGATCTTGTCGAAGCATATATATTGCATAGGGGATAAAGCAAAGAAAAAAGATCTGTGACATAATGATTTCTAAGTATGTCTACGTGGTATTAGGAGGACGTAAAATGGCGTGGAGATTCTTATACCTTCTTTTCTGACGACGAATGAACAATAAGAAATTAGACGATTTCTTGGCCATGGTTCAAACTATAAAAGCTTCTGAGCCTATAATGGCGTTGGCCCGTACTGATATAAATAATCATTATTCGAATGGAATGTTTGTACAGTACGATACTCTACATACCACGGCTGAAAAAAATAAGTCGAGAGCACACAGATTTGTAATCAAAAAGTTGAAAGATGTACGGAGTTTTCTATTTCTTCTGTAAGCACCAATAGTCATAGAATTTCCAATAATTCCGAGCACAGATATTACAACACCAAGAGTAAATCCTAGTTTCACTGCCCAATCCGACGGAAATGCATCTGAAAGTTAAGATATAATGATTATTTGGAATCCGCTGAGGTTTGGAGCGTAACTAAGGTTTGGGTAACTGATCAGTCGCTTCTGTGAGACATTAATACATATATTTTATCTAATTTACATATTACGTCTCGGTATTGTGACATCTGGGAATTACTGTCTTAGATCGAAAATAGTTTTTATCGATATACCAATTACCAAAACACTTTGTTTTTCATAAGGCTTTCCACATCATTGAAGACTAGAATAATTTTATAGCTGTCTAGGCGCTTTCAGAATCGGCTTTTTACATATTCGTTACTAATATGAAATCCCATAAAATATGCATGCATAAGTACATAATATTGGATATTATCTTAACCTTCATAGGTTATGAAACTAAAAGTTGGCAAGGCCGATGACCCTCCATGAACTTTATTTCGAAAATTCATTGATTAATTGACATAATTCTTACAGATGTGAGTATTGTGATGAAAATTAGTAATTATTATTGCTATAATTCGATTCCCCGAGCGGAGTTTTTACAATAAACATTATTAAAACGACATGTTGCAGTAAAAATGACAACCAATAATATAATATCTCTGCATAACATGCATTCCCAAAGTCAATGTGAGGTAACTTTGTTCAAAGTGTCATATGCACGTACAATGATGAGGTTCGAAAAATCCAAGCCAAAAAAATATTAATTCAAATTAATTTAATAATATGCGTGTATGGCTAACCTGACGGAAAATCTTTCTTGGCGTACGATACCCCGTCACCTTTGACGTTTGACTGATAATAGGATCCATTTGCTGAAAAATTCGTTGTAGAAAAAATACCGTAACCGACGGTCGTAGAAGAGAAATTCGTCTCAAATTTTCCAATATTTTGATTGGTTGTATCGTTTATATTCTCTTCATTCATCGCCAAAATGACCGGCAAGCATCAAGCCTTTGGGCTAGATAGTGATTTTGCTGCCCTACATTTATGGATGCTTATATAATATGAGCTCCTGATAAAAATACAAACGACAACTCTCATTTTGAGTTAAACTTATTTAACTATTTATACTTACGCCCATGAAACATTGATGTTCATACAATACTGTGCAACTTTGGCAGATGGGTGTACTGACCCATGGTTTTTCACTACGAAAACGTTCATGCTTGCCAGTAAAACGGATGGGAATATTCCAAATTGAAAATTATAGCTCATCAGTACGACGAAAAAAAAGAGATTGTTTAAATGTTCCAGGAAAATATCATCTGCTGGAATTATATGCAATCTAACGATGTAATCATATGCAATCTATTCCCACACTCGCTGATAAAACTCAATGAGAGTATTCCATATTTGTATAAAAAAAACGAAGTCTACTTCAATTTAAGTCTGGCTTCATGTGAGGAGTATAGTAAGGCAATACACCTGAAAGATACTTTGTTTTCAAGGAGTTCCCAATTTGGGGACATATTTTAAAAATAACGATCTTGACGAATCTCCCAATCATTACCAGCCATGAATTTACATATACTGTACTATTATATATCTGATTTGATATGAGTTCTCGAAAAAAATAGCAAAAAATATGTGATCAACCTATCATAAGTATATGCATGCAACTTGGGCGCACATAGCCTGACGCTTTTCAAAATTTGCAATATTTGTTTCATTCCGAACTATGTGCCAAAATTGCGCGACCAAATACGATTAATAAATTATTTACTTTGGGCCCAGAACCACGCTTAAAATTTTAGAACATAATCAATTACAAACGTTAACTATCAACCTTATTTGATAATGTATTGATCAAAAATAAAAACTTTCATTAGAGAATTCGTTGGTTGATTTTACTTTTGTGTCTACTCCGAAGCTACTCAAAAATCCATCCTAAAAAAACTACTATCCTTTAGTGTTAAGATCATGCAATTAGATAAAATTGACGACTAAGGCGAAAAATATTCAATTCTGTTCGATGTAGAATGTTTGCATTACTAGTATTTATTTACACAATGTACAGAAATAAATACATTAAATATAAATAACGCCTGAATAGTGAATATACGAATCAAACCAACCTCAATTTTTCGTTGAATCATTTATCAATACAGCGAATACTGTTTTTATTCTTACCACAAGGCCTACGAGCGGGCAACGATTTACGTATTTTTTTTTTCTAGCTGTCGCAATGTAGCAAACGATCCTACTGGTATTACTATAATATGATATAGCATCCTACTTCAATCTCAAATACTGCACAACCAATTAATATTTAATATGGCTGTGCTATTTTTAAATAGGTACCGGTAGCAAACCCTCCCTGTCCTTTCGGGAACACCTTTCCGCCGCGGCGCTTTTGATTGAATGGGTTCCCGGTAGACTCGACGATGTGTTTTCGGGTCCGGACCCGTGTCGTGGTTGTCTCGTTTTACCGCGGAAAAACAAAGTAGGCTGGTCTTATTTGAGTTTCAATCCTATACGTTTGCAAAAATCAAACTGCATTTTACCAAGATGACCGTTATATCGATTGAATCTCGTTCATAATTAAACAAAGTTCACAAAAGTATACTCTTGAATTGAAACCTAGTTTATACACCATAGCTTCATTTCATTAATTTCGCCGAGGGGACCAAAATTTGATTAGGTCATTAACGGGGATTTGTCGCTCTTAACCAACGGTTTTCTTATACAGTACAGTATAATATATCGACGACTCGCACTCATAGAAATATACCACACAAAATGTCGCACATGGCGGAGTCAGTTTATAGTTTAATTCCATTAAGAAAAGCATGCAAAACGAACGCTTCCGTAAAATGATCTTTCGTTCTAATGAAACTTGGTATAAACGTTGAGCTGTGTACAGTTCAATATAAAACCTCAAGTAAACTAAAAGTTAATATTGCTTTCTGGCTTGCTTTTTGCTTTGGATATTTTTTTCGCATTCGCGATACTGCTCTGTAATCCGGGCGCATGGTACTTTTTGGTGCATATTTTACCTGATTGAGTGCCACGCCAAGTTGTGCTGCTTTCTGGATCAGACTCAGACGCAAGTTCTGTCTTTCTGATCTGGGTACGACTATAATAATGTGTATAATATAACAAATACAATAAATAAACTATGACCCACAAGTTTCAATTATGTGATTGAATAATATATGACTAATCGCCTATTCGTGCTCACTAATGAGGGAACCTGTTTACATAATAATTTATGAATATTGACAATTAATATCCTCATCCTTGACATTCGTTGTAAATAATATTATTGCGCTACATAGGAACATTTGCTCTAAATAATACTCCGACACCATATAGCCACTTATATTTTGAAAGTTACATGACGTACAAAGGAAAAGAATTACTCCGAAGAAAAGAATTACTATTTGGTGTAGTCCGCCGTGGATTACTCTTTGTTGTTAGCTTATCGGATGTTTTACACCTTTCACATCATTTAACCGTCTAAAATATTTATATATATTTGATTCTTGTATGTTTGAATCTGTGCATGTTGAGGTTTTATTAATTTACAATTTACACTTAATATTCAATTAAATCGGGGTTGAAAAATAAGAAATAAGTTTGCAAGAAGTGACGTTAGAACTTTAGTTTATGAAATAAATGTATATATTTTTCCTTTGCCTTTCTTACCAGCTGCAGCTACTATCAGTTGCGTGGTCAATAATTTAGTCTGTTGTAAATGTCTACTAAACTCGTCTTATTTTAGGGACTCAAGGTATCAACATATATTACAGATTTCAATCTTTTGATTGCTGATATCTCGTCATTGGGTTTCTATTAGTATTATGCTATAATTTTTTTAATAAAGAGCGATTACATATGATATATAAATACTATTTTCTCTGATAATGTCTGAGACTAATAACCGTTTTTTATTCCACTTTGCTCACCAATAAAAGTAAACGCACCTCGAATGTCTGGATTGTCTGCCTAATTATGTTTATTGTCGCCTGCTTCCCTGTCAAAAATCGAATAATTGGCAGACGGAATAAATAAATCGATTGTTCATACTTTTACAAAGCATAGGCGATAAGAAAAAAATCGAACGTAGTCAGATGTAGACATATAATACCAATAGTTTATGTCTGATCCGAGAAAACAAACACAAGCAATTGTTTGACGAAGATACATTTTGATCTAATCGTTTGGTATAACTCGATGTCGATAATCTATATTGTCCTACTTATCACAAAGATATCACAAATTCAATATGAATTAGATTTAGAGCCTTTCAAACGTGGCGCAATTTAACGCTTCCCGTAACGTCTATTTAGTGAATTTCTTGTAACCTGGAAGTTATAATTGACGGACGGAAACTTCGAATTACAATTTTTCACATATTATCAGTCACGTATAACTAGACAGTAGACAGTAGACATATAACTAGACAGTATAACTAGACATGAAGTATGGCTATTAAGCATTACACCTTGACATTCAACTTGGCAGCGAGAATTTTGATCAATAAAACTCAAAATCACAAAAAATAAATGTGTTGGAATAAATTAAATGATAGCCCGACACGTATCACAGCGTCATGTATTAATATAGCATTCTTGCTCAATAGACAACAATTGCATTCTACATTTAAGGCGAGATTCCCCATTTTCTCTCCGTGACATATTTTCATTGCCATATAAGATTGCATCTTTAGTTCTAACAATCTTTAAACATTGATTACATATTACTACGTTAGCTAGTTTACTAAATTACTTACATTGCTTAAATCTCGGCTATCTCTTAATATCCTTATACAAATATATTCTTGCGTTCTTCCCATACGACGATACGATATTGCATTACTGGGGAAAACTTGACACTGTTCATTTTATCTCGTTTACGGGTCAAATACTTGCGAAGCGCCCCCACGTAAATTTCCAACTTGAACCCCAAGAACGACCAAGTTCTCTGACCCAAAAAATTCACAGTAGCTGTTTATTGATGAGTGAAACCGCGAGTGATCTGCACGCGATCGCGGGTCGATTTCACTGTCAGCAAAACCGTGTAGTTTAAAGCTGACGTTATGCAATTCAGTTTGTGGTGAATAATTTATTTTTTATTCTGCATTCATTTTAGGTATTAATTCTTGAACAAACAGTTTTATAATATTTATTCGTACACAAAATATGATAACAACATTAGATGAAAATATTGTAGAAAACTGACATGAAATTTTATAAAACCATTTTATGATAAAATAAAATATTTGCTACTCGATGCCGTTATTCCAGAAGGTTTTCATCAAAATTATTAGACAGAAAAAATCGCAATGTTTACAATATCAATTAATGATGGTTGAGCATCTCGAATTTATCCAAAAATACCTTACAAAATATACCAGTCGAAATTTAGACAGAACATCTGCAAAAAGTGTTATCAGGGAAGCAGCTCACATTGTGTAAGTGTACAGTACTCAAGTTTGCAATCGTTGAAAAGATTGAAGTAAAAACCAACAACTGATTTGATTAAAATTAACATTGTCTACAAGATTTGAGCTAAATATCCATCCCAAATTATTATCTGCCATGTCATATAACCTATAACTACGGAATGGCGACAAACACAAACTGAAGCACCGTCTATGAATTCAATCGCCGGTTACCACAAATACAATTCGTCAACCGTCAATAACTTTAATATTAATCATGTCTATAACAAACAAAAAAGCCCATAATACAAGATCGTTTCGCGGTCGAAGCGCTATTTCTAATTTCAATTATTTATCATTTTCAGAATTGTTGACGGGATAAGTTGGAGGTATGCTGATCCTTTCCTATTATTAGATAGTCAACTTATAACTGATTCTGTGACATGAAACAGATAAATATATGCTCGTGTAAAGGGGGATTGCTAAATGATTGAAAACGCCACTCAACCGCGGGTCAAACAATAATATTTTTGTTTCTCACGTCTGATTATAACCCGTCATTATAACAATCTACAAGACCGTAACAAATTCAGTAATAACCGCAATTTTGTCGAAAAGCTCCGTTCTCGGTATGCCTCAAGATGCTTATACTACTTGTTTGTTCAGGAAAGCATTTTTAACACTTTTTGATTTCCTGCTCAGAGTAAACTTTGCTCTTATCTATCAAAATCATAAAAGCAAATCAAGGCCATTCCTGTCAAGATCACAGTGGATAGAACACTCATTCGATATTCCACTCATTCAAAGCAACTCTAGGTTAATCGTTGAGACAACACCCTTTCTGCATTCTCAATATATTTGTATACTTACAATACGAATATGCACATAATATCAATTTCTGATTTTAACACTGTCAACTTTAAAAGGTAAGTTGACATACAGTAAGTAACATACAAGTTGCTAAGTTGTCCGAATCCTGGTCAGCTGACGCATCCGCCAACTTTTTTCGAGTGTGTGATACGTCAAGTGAGAAATACTGTATTACGACGTCAAGTTAGAATATCAATGGCCAAGTGGCTGATTTGTAAAAAGGTATTAAATAACTGCACAGTGACTCGATGTAAAAAGTTAATGCCACACTTTAGTGCAATTCTTGAATTTGGCCTCAATTTGATCTTTTGCATATCAATTGCACGAAGAGACCTATTTCTATATGTAAAGTTTTTCTGATGCTGAAAATGCCTGAGGAGTCGTGAGGACTAACATTATATTTTACGGTTGTAAATATATTTTACTCTGCAGAGTAAAAACCATATTTCTCAAGCCTACGACACAAACCACTCACTTCTTTGTCTGCGATTGTGACCATAACAGAGCACTAAAATACGTTGTTTGGTGACGACAGTTTGCACTCAAAAAGTTTCAATTAAGTTTTCATCAATTTTTCATGTTGTGACCTTTTCAAAACAGGTTCCAGCTTATATCCATTTTCGCTATATTTTTGTTGGGTCGTAATTGGAAAAACATAATGTGTAGATTTCTTTGTATGACCCACGTTTGGTAGATTACCTTCCTAAATTCTGCAAGCAACTTTGTAACCACGATGTCTAAGTTAAGGCTCTTAATCCGGTGTCTAGTTTTGCAAACGAACACCCGCTCTGATAAAAAGCTTCTTGAAAGATTCAAACTACAAATCTAAAAATCCTCGGAAAGTTAGTCCATTGTATCACGAAGATTTCTCTATCACAAATTGCTTTTTTCGTGGGTTGCAGTAGGTATCGTAACTTGAGCTAAATAGGATTTTGAAACAACTGAAAATTAAAATTTTACCAAACAGGTAACACAATATTTAAAACTATTATACTTCAAATCAAAAATAATTAGATCAGGTCCGAAGTAGTACTTATTTTAAAAAAAGCATATAAAGCATAAACAACTTTAAACGTTCCAAAAATGATTCTCTACAATGATCTATAGTTATTAACCTTAGAATGCGTGTGATACCACTTATTTTAGTGTAACACTGGTATTAGAAACTTAAATCTATGATAGACAATCACGACAAATTAGCAAATCAATGATAAATAAGTGTGCATCAGTTGCAGCTGATAATTTATTAAAATGTGTAATTGTCAGGCAATCTACGTCGATTACTGCATTAGAGATTATATTCCGGATTAAATAACAGCTGAAGCGTGCCTTAATTTACATAATCCATTCGCATATTCATCGTCTCTCGGTGGTATATCTAGCTATTGTCGTGATTGAAATGAGGTGTATTACAGTTGTATGTGCGTAGAATGCTGGGTGATCAAACCCACCAGAAAATAAAAGCCCGAAACAGGTACGAACCTGGCCAAAATACACAAAATTGAAAGAAGGTCGGGAATAAACCTGAACATTTTGTCAAAATTTGAAGACCGAAACGCACGGGGCATGAACCTTGCCCGATAAAAAAAAACGAGAGAATTAAAATGAAAGGAGAGAAAAAATCGAGAGTGAAAAAGAGAGAATGATTTCAAATCGACTTTGGGAAAAGTATGGAAACGGTGAATTAACTTATAGATTATCGTCTGAAATATCTCATGTTACGCCTTTGACGTCGGTTATTTGCGAACATCGCCGCGGAGTAGAAATTTTGTGAATAAAAATAGATAACAAGATTTAAAAATAGAAAAGATTCTCACAGCTGGGCTATAATAGGATGTAAAATTATTTTGTGTGGAATTAAACTGCAAACGGAGCCCTATTTCCAGACTTCATGTGCTAGATCAGTGAAGAAGCGTAATGATATTGGTTTGATGAAACTTATTTTTAGAATTCTTATAAATAAATCCACATCAAATGAAAAAGAAAATATGAAGTGCACTTCAACAAACCTCAACAATTGATGTGTATAATAAATATCATTTCTATACTCAATGAAAGCACAACTACAATGTCACGTAGTTTCAAAGCTATTTTAATTATGGAATTATACCCATTTTTAATACAAGGTAAAATATTTAGTACTTTCTGACACAATCACAATTCTACTATTAAACTTTCAATCTACTGAATGGAATTTTATTAGATACTCTCGATTTTAAGAAACTCGGAAATTGCGTCTAACAAAGTTGGTTACTAGATTTACCCCCAATGTCCTCGATTATTGGAAAACGAAATTAGCGAATTCATTAGCTTAATTATATTGGTTCAATGTGGCGACTGCGCCTGTTTACTGGCAATCAGCTGTTCCATGTACGGTGGAGCATAGATAATGCACAACGAATATCAAATTCAACGTCAAGTCGGATTTGTGCTTTAGAGTTGATTTTTTATCGTTTTAAATTGAATTTATTTATCCCCGAATACAAAGAATTTCCCCCAGGTTGAGAAATTCTTATCAAAGAACCAAGCAAGTCCTTATGACCGTATAAAATCCATAATAATACTTTCCTGATTAGGAATACATGCAATAATTCTGATATATTTTTATGGTCAATTTGGTATTGAAATCCGGCATCCCCCAATGGGAACTAAGTATTTGATCCGACTGAGGTGTTTTTGTTTGTCCGGTGACTGCTCGGTGTTCATTTTAATATCATTCCATGGCTCTTTTCTGTGATAGGTTTTTCATGGGCATAATCACACATGTGATATAATGTGTTTCTAATAAGTCCCCCAATTCAATTATTGTAACACAATACAACATTAATTTTGCCATGACTTAAATATTTCATTTTATTTACTTATATTAAAATTAATATATCAATTCCAGTCTAGTGAAATTATATACGATGAATGAATCAATGATGTAAACCACTAAGCCCCTTGAGAAGCAAACTTTTGGATCGGATCGAAACGCATTAATTATTAAATATTTAGGGTGCATTATACAATTTCCAAGAAATTCATACTACGTACCTTGTTAATTGCCGAGTTCAAATGTGAAAATAGATTTAATTTGGAGTGCTAACAATAAATTTGTCAAGAGACTGGTACGCACGCGCTTAAAACTCGATTAATTATATAGCAATATTATGTAACTGTACTTTCGATCACACAAAGAGCGGCGAGGAAGCTTTTATTTTATTCAATTCTTTTCACATATCTTGTTAGCCTACGACTAATTGCTGAGTTCGAATGTGAAAAGAGATTTAATTTGGAGTAATATAAGAGGGGACAATGGATTTACCAAAAGTTATGCGCACGCGTTTAAAACTCGATTGAACATTTATACTGTCACCAATCCTGAATCTATCCTACATTTTTCTACATCAATGACCGAGGTGCACAGTTGAAATGGGTGTTCGGAATTGAGTTACGGACAGCCAATGTTGAAGAAATTGCTAATAGTATAATTTGTAGGCTTTGTGTATCACTTAACAACAATCAATGCTTATGTTATCACATTTCTAATAACACCGATATTTAGTGACCTATCAACCTTACTGTGTTTCACTTTGTGCCATCCATTTTAATGTTGTGCACCCTATGCCTATCGACTCCCTAAGAATTTGCTTGACACACCGCCGACACATACTACTAAATATAATCCATAACAAAGTTTATTCTGTTTCTGTTTTAAGGTTTACAAACACATTGTCACAATCGAAGACACCGGACTTCGAGATCCAAGAGGCCATGCCAAGACAAAAATATCCGCCTTATACAATCTAGGATGCATGTTGTCGTCACAAGGAAAACACGAGGAAGCAGTGATCGCTTTCTCGAATGCCGTACAGAGGCGAACCGAAGATTATGAACCACATAGCTTATACAATATGTTGGGTATGTTTATTGAAATGGGCGCGTTTAACTATGCCAAAATAGATTGACTTCTCTGCGGGGAAATGCCATTAAATGTACCGACGGACTTGAAATAAAAACATACACCTTTGTATAGAAAGTGCTTGTAGGAAATAGGTTAGTTGAAAATTAACCTGATAGCGCTAATTTTTTTGCATCAGTTGAAGTTGGAGCGTGGGAAAATATAACCATTATGAAATATTTGAAGGAATACAAAATTACTTGCGTGGTAGAAGACCTACTTCATTTGTACCTACTGAAAATTGGAGAGCAAATGAGCATTTAATTAAAGAAAAAAATCGACTTTACCCAACAATAACAACAACAGCATAAAAATGTCCTGTGCAATAAAAATTTGCAAAATACCATGTGCTCCATTTTGTGTCCAATTATAGATATATAAATAACCTATATAAAATGATCATACAACCATCAACCATCGTGTGCTATTATCCTGCTTCTAAACAGTTTTCCACTGTTTTTTCAGGTCAAAGTCTTTCAAAATTAAATCGTAACGTGGAAGCCGAAAAATGGTTTCAAGAATCTTTAAAGTCTAAGCCTGATCATGTTCCCGCTCATTTGACATATGCTGCGTTACTTCGTCGACTTAAAAAAACAGAAGCAACGGAAATTTTATATAAGAGAGCAATTCAATTTGAACCTCAAAATCATATAATTTACAATCATTTGGGTGAATTCTTACTTTTATTTTAGCGCAATACTATATTGATTTTGATTTACTGATTATTTTGAAAATTACAATAGTTTGCTTTACAAAATCATTTCTACCACTCTTAGCAACTATTACTATTTATCAATCATAATGTTTTAAAAAAATATTTATGTGAAAAACGATTTCCTTTCATTTATGTACATGTTCATTCAGGATCTTTAAACAAAAACTTTTATTTTAGGCAAGTTCTACAACGACCATGGCCAATATCTTAAAGCAGCTAAGGTGCTAGAAGATGGTGTTATGACGCAATCTGGATCACGAGACTATGACACATTGATGACAGCGGGTGATACGAACCGACATGCGGGAAAATATGAAAAATCGGAAATCTATTATAGGATAGCAACAAGGATTAGTCCACGGGTACATATTTTATAAAAGCACGGAAAAATTTATACTTTTTTAGTAAACACCCTCAATTTTTAATCATCCAAACTTTAAAACCAATTGGCCAGGTAGTTGAACAGAAAAGCAATTTCTTGTCGTAACAACAGTTTAGCAAACGATTCAGTTTTCAATGTTCACTAGTAGTAGTAGGCTGAATATCTGAGTGAAACAGTATCTCCGCGACTCGGTTGACTTCGCTTGTTTCGCCACGATTAACTTGTCGAACATGAAGTGGTCCGATAGATCGTTTTAATATTTTTTTTTAGAATTCTTTTTCCTGTTGTTATGAAAAAATCGCATTTCTCCTTAATTACTGAACCAGGGGTTTTGAAATTTTCAGTTTTTTAAGATTATTGTTGTCGCTAGAACGCTCCTACTTGTATTAGTTCATCTAAAATTCCGCTGTTTTATTTTTATTCACGGAACACATTTTAAGACAGCATGACAGCTGTCTTCCGTTTTGATTTTGCGAACTCGTTCTACGCGAAGGTCGGAGATTATTTGATAATCATTGTTATGGAGTTGGACATAGAATACCTTTCCTGGAGAGAAATCGGCGTTAAGGCGCATTTGGTAATCACGTAATAAACTCAACAAGCAGAAAATCACAAATCATAATCGCACATCCGTATTAAAGCAAGAATAGAATTTGCAAGCGCTACTGTACTATTTCCGTTTGTGCGGTTACACATATATCGATGTCTGTGATCAAAGTTATGCCGTTGAGAAAAAATGCATTAAACTTAACGTATTGTATTGACGTCATTTCTCAATAATGACTTTCAGATTGAATTCAAATATTTTCTAATTTTCCGGAAAGTGGGTAACGGAACTTTGGGGTCAATTATCTTCACAATAATGATGGCTAAATATACCCATCCTCGAGTCATATTCCGGAACAAAATGTATTGCATTTACGTCAATTTTTAAGTGACGTAATTCTGTGGATGGCCATTCTTGAGCTGTACATAAATGGATCATTTGAAAGTCAATTTGTACTATGTCTATAGATAAACCTACGTTGGCATTAACGTAAAATGGAAAAAGATAATTGTATTAACCAAATTATATAACTACGGAGAAAAGACAACAATTTTAAAAAACGTCAGTATTTGTGCGACACAAACAGACCTCTTGCTACAATAACTATCATTTCGTCAAACATAATTAAATTGAAATGGCCTGAGCAAATTTTAAAGTTCAACCTCGACAGGATTAAAAAAAAAATTATTGTATCTGAAATTTGACTATTGCATTTTCCATGGTAAAGCTAGCGCTTCAACAATAAAACGAGAATATCGGTCAGAGACCGAAGACTTATCGATCGAAAGTTAAGGGATCCCCCAAAACAGCGCTCTTACTCCATAGTGACACCTTGTGTCCCATCACTAATTAATTTATAACTCACTAATTATAGGACACAATTCGCCCAAACTCAATAGGCTTCTGATCCGAGATAAGATGAATGCACATGCAAAATCTGGAGCAGATTCAATCTCGCTTTCGTGAGATATCGCGTGCATCTAACAGACAAACAGACATACAGACAGACAAATCGATAAGTAATAACATCGAATTCTCAATCACGACAACTCTGTCCTACCCAGCGCAATACAATGCGAAATAACCAAAACCACCATTATTACTATATAATGGTTCATTATTTTGAAAGATTCGGGACCAATATTTATCTAAAACGCATTTAATATGGCACATAAAAAACTTTTCTTACCCGCTACGTTTGATTCACCTCGATTTCTTCTATCCTATCCTGTCACTGAATCAGTTTACTTTTCACGTGCGTAATACGTTTCGAGTGAGCATTACATATGCCCGCAATATAACCTTGAAAATTACTCGCGAAGAAACCACTAATATAATAATAATCTAACGCGATTATCTGAGTTAAATAACTGGGTAATATGTTCGAGTTTAATATGGGATGCATATTCGACGCGACTTAGGTATGGATCAGGCTTAGTTAGTGATTGTTGAGGCATCAAAACGGGCTGGGATTAACCCTTGTTTCGGTTTTAACCTTGCTTCCAAATCCGTTGTGTTAATTATAATCATTGACAGACATGCGGTTAGATGCAGAAACTCGATCATAATTAAATCAAAAACGCGTAAGTCATTGTTGCCAGATTTGTAACAGTTTTACACGGTTTAGTCATTGTCCATATTCAGTCTTTTTACAGTAAAACATTTTTTTAAAATTCAATGCCCCAGTGAAGTACGAAGTATTATATATTACGCCCAAGCCATTCTTGATTTTGCCAATTACAATAACTTTAAATTATAAAATGCCTTACGAGTTCTCACGCAGTGTATATCCTGGTGGACTATTACCCTAACGCGGTGACCTTGTACCGTCTGTCTCTTAGAGCCAGCAAAGTAACACTTAGGAGAATGGAAGTTGCCAAGTTTTTCCCAAGGATCGAGCTTGTGATCTAAATTCGCCTTTATTTATTCATCAGAAAATATATTTGATGATCAATCAATCCATCGTGAAATGCTTTTACACTTTTACACGTATAGCAAGCGGAAATTATTTATCATTTGTTTTGAAATTTGGAAAAAAACTTTCGATTACAATCAGTGCTTCTTTCAAGATTCATACACAGTTTTATATATTTTTTCATATTAACTATTCATTGAAACAAGTCTTTTTTTGTGTTATATTTAGTCTGTAGAAGCTCACGTCAATTTGGGAGGAATCCTACATCTACAAAGAAAATATTCAGAAGCCAGAAAAAGCTATACCAAAGCCCTGGCACTAAAACCAAACGACCCAACAGCAAGAGACAACCTTCGAAAGCTTGAAGAAATTTTGAAACTAAATGAGAGGGACGGTTGAATATTCAAAATAAGCGTTTCCGAAACTTTAAATCGTGACGAATTTCTGGCAATGTACTACACATAACATGTTCTAGGGCAGGGCTACTCAACTATTTTCACCAAAGGTCCGTTTAAAAAACTTCAAAATTACTGAGGTCCGGACATTACAGAAAATTATTTCATTGAATAAACGAAACTTCAAATGCAATATTAATGAATTAAATATATTCAAGAGCAATGAATGGCTCACGAATATGAACACAAATGTTGCAAATTGGTAGCTGTGTATTTAAATTGTATCAAAGTCATCTAAAACTTTAAACCGATGCTTATATTGCCAAAATATACAAGCAGACGCGGTCCAAATTAAATGGTCGAAAGGTCCGGATTCGGACCGCGGTCCGCCAGTTGAGTAGCCCTGTTCTAGGGTATTAATATTTGATCCGACGGAAGCCGGTATAATGGTTTTGTCACCTTTGTATAAAATGACGAATTGAATTGCAATTATAGCTTAGGTCGTTATATGATGTCAAGAACAGACTGTTTCATCGAATCGTAAATTCTGTTAGACTGTTACTTCATTTCCACCCTATCACAACATTAGTTTATATATTTTTATGATATATTAGCCGTAGAAGTGTGCAATAATATTATACTTATATCTTCAGTAGTTTTATTTATTTATATACTTCATCTTACACGTTTATTTTTGTGCTGACCAATTTTGCCGTGGGTTTGTAAAAACGAAATAAAAGTATGAACCAGCCAACAGAATATATACCGGCATATTTTTTTTTTATGTAGGATTTCTCAAAAAACAGTCATGAACAATCTTTTGAAATGTATATGCCCCCAACAAGGCTAGATAAATGCAGCCCCTGATATCTAACAATATTTTAAAGAATCTCTCTCTTCGCTGTCGAAGTTATCCAAGCTGTAAGCGCGCATTTTCATCGCGGTTGGTTAATTTGATGAAAGGATTATTGACAGTAAGTCAGGAAGCTCCGAGTTTTCAGTAAATCCTCAGAATAGAGCAAAATGGTGTTGCAAGAGGCCGTAACAAATCATGTCTCACTGTAAATGGGGCAAAATTGCATGGAAAAAAATGTCGGAAATTCTTTCTTCCCTTGCTACGCTTATGGGGAGAGTTGCAGGCAACCTGCTCACAGAACGACCGAGGGTGGATTTATTGTTGAAATAAATATACCGGCAATTTGATAATCGTGGCAGATGCGAAAACTCAAGGTGCGTCGGAATGTTCGCTTTAAATATTGAAAGATTTCTTCTTTACCCTCTTGGGTAAATGTTGAGGCATAGCTGGTTAGTAAAGTCGGTGAATAGTGAGTGGCATACACAGGATCGCCTTGAGGAGCCATCAAGTGTGTGAAGTCATAAATAGGGTGTCAATATTTTTTATACAGACACAAAATACATAAATCGGATGGAAATTTGGCAAAGTTTAATGTTGGGAAAATGATTAACAATTTAGCGCACACGATTCTGTTATGGTTTATTTGCAATATTGTGGTGTGGTGTAACAAATCACGCTGTTTCATTACTTTGAGTTCACGTCTGCAAATATAAGTTATGTGGCAGCTGTAAAAAAAACTTGGTGGCGATTGCTCTTGCTAAATTCTTCTAAAACATCATCATATTTGAGTTCACGCTCTCGGCGGATGTGGAGGCCGCTGAGACACCTATCTCTCATTGTGTATCGCAGGTAATTTGTGACGTGCTACAGTGGGAGAAAACTGCATTGGGCACGAATTAAACTCATACTTCACAAAACGAGCCTTGTTCCAGCTGACTGCTGGTTCAAATTACATTGTTCTGAACGCAAAATTCGTTTGCGTCCACGAGTCAATGAAACCTCTCGGTACGCTAGTACCGGTGAACCGCGAACACTCAAATATATAATCGTGTATCGTCTCCTAAAGCACGTTTTATGATATCATTGTGGAAAAATGTATTTTGCTGATTCCAGTAGTGAAATTTATACTAGATTTACAACTGAATATACAGTTAATGTTTCGTGTGTTCATTTAGTATTAAAATTTAGTACAAATATTGTGTATAAATATTCACAATAAATAGCGCAAATGAAATATTAGAAAATGAAGATGGCTAATATTACGGGATTAAATAATCTTTTCGAGTATTCATCATATACATTAGAGCTTCTTATTGGTTGTCATCTTTTGGAGTGAATTATCTGAATAAAATAAAATCATAAGAAATTGATTGAGTGCGAATGAAGTTTTAGCATCTAAATTCTAAATCAAACTGCTATTATTTTCGGTTTCGTCACCTGATCTAATTTCGTCATTATGGGTCCTCTACTAGTCATCCTTCCGAAACTGGTCACATTCTGCAATTAATGATAAAAGAATACATAAACAATTTATGCAATTCCAATGTCGAACATAAATTTTGGTATAGAATTCATACACATTGGCAAATTCACAATACACCAAGTATTTAGAACGAAAAGTGGGGTACCTCGTACCTGCACATAAAACTTTTCACTAAACCACTCGATTTATTATGTAACATACATGGCTTTGACCATTTTAACGACAAGTAATAAAATGAAGTATTTGAACATATGCAGAAGGGAGCCAGAGCCACCGAGTTTTTCTACACTCTTTCAACTACTGCAGATACAGGTAGACACCAAATGTATAAACATTTACGTCCTAAGCATACCTGAATATCAAATATCTTCAAATCCTTTAGCAACAATTTGAACAAAGAGACAGAGTACTAGAAATACGCCAAACAAACTGAACAACATCATTAAATGATGAACTCTTATTAGAAAATATTTCCTGACATGAGATAGCTACCAAAGCCTGGTTTCTTAGAACTGATTAGATAATGCAAATGTAGCCGAGTATGAAGCATAGATGCTGCCAAATTTGATTACTTCCTTAGTTTGTATATCATGCTTAGGAACAGTAAAATGCTAATCAATTTTTTAGAAATGCAACTACGGAAATGACGCTTGTCAACGCGGATTCTCAAGTATCACAGTAATTGTGGCATTATTTATCTCGGCAGTATACATTACAGAATGCTTTGAGTTAGCTAGAGTGCTAGACCATTTAAACTCGTTTATAACGATTCTTTATTCTACACGTACACCAGAGAGTAAACAATTACTGGAAAGAGCGTGGAGCATTTTTTCCAAGGCTGGGGATTGCGATAACAATCACGACTTTTTAGTCTCAGTTGAAAATGAATACTACGACTCTCGGAATTTGAAAATCTAACTCCGTCAAAATCGGTAGGTGCGGGGTGTAAGGTAACGGGAGGCACGGCATACAGCTTCTCTTTCACACTATGCGTCCAACATAGTTTGATATTCTAAACCAGCGTTTCCCAACCTTTTTTGGTTGCGGACTATTTTCTCGACGGCGAAAACCTTTGCGGACTCAAGGTGCGTTTTTGCAACCGTACTCTGTGTGAAGAAGCAATAAAACCAAACACAACAGAATTTTAACAAAATTCAAAATGGTTCGTTAAAAGAGCCGACTTTTTTAGTGTATAACGGCCTTTTCCGTCGCACAACATTCAATCCATGACAACGACGAGAATTCAAAATGCCTTTCTATTTTAACTTAATTGTGTTCAGCATGGTAACTCGCGGTTGCTCCGACTTAGGACAAGATTAAATGATTACTTCTTCAAAATGTTACGGCAATCTGCGAACATACAAATGTGAGAATATATTGCCCGATTATATTTAGTTTTGATGCATATTTTTTGCGATCTTGCGAATTTGTTATCGCCGTTAGCAAAATCCTACTATCTGCTATAAATTTCCAGAAAGTACAACTTGATTTAGTACTTATTAAAAATATATATATTTAAAGTAGCCTATATTAGTAAACCAAAAATACATATTCATCGCCGTAATTTATTATCAATTTAATTGTGATCATTTCAATCTGCGGTTGTGTTGACGAAATAAAAGCAATAGGCTACTACCCCGAAAATATCATGACAATCTGTGGACACAAAAATGCGTGCTAAAGACGTAAAGTGCCCGAATATATTTGTTTTGATTCGTATTTTTGTGAATTCGACAAATCTGAGCTGTTCGTACAACACTTACGGCGCTCCAGTACTGTACGTACCAATGTGGAGGCAAAAAATAAAACTTATGGTGTTCTCCGTTTCATTTTTAGTAGTCTGTATTGCCCCTTTCCATTTAGAAAATTTGGGTTGCCACCTACCAGAAAAAAATTCATCCTAGTTGTTCGAACTCGCGAGAAACACCACTTACGTATCTATCGACGTGTGTGCAGACTCTTGTTTTCGTCGGAAAACCGCAAGTGAGTCGTGAAATACAATTGTTTGATTAAGCGACGCACAAGTGACCTGTCGCGTCACCTGTTACCAAATTTTCGAATAGTAAATTGCTATTTTAATAGTTGAATATATGCCCAGCCCTACACAGTAACCAGTAATTATTGACTCGATTAATGTTATGTGAATAGACTTGCTTTTATGGTTTATGTAAATTCTGACGTAAATCGTAACTTAGCTGATAGTTAGGTTTCGCAAAAACTTTCGCGGCCCGCAGTGAATTTCTGACTAGTTGCGAACTCATTTGAGACCGCGAACTCTGGTTGGGCCACAGTGTTCTAAACTGATCGATATCATTATATAAGGCAGGAGCGAGCGGGCATTTTTTAGTATGAGACGCACAATGAAGCAAGTCAGAAATATGAGAAAAACTTTTGAAATATTTAATATTAGATATCATTAAATCATTTTGCATTGTAACTGTTACATTGATACTAATTTGGGATATGCGCCTTAGTGTAGCGCGACGCGAAACCGGCGTTTGGGCTATTTACTGCGACAAGATCAGCAATATCTTTTTTCACAAAATACAGTTAGAGTATGGGTGTTTAGTATGAGCAATATGCCATGATATAACATAACTAGCTTCAGTTGATGCATCGGATTCCTTGCAAAATGATATCATATATTTCTGCTGTCATTCGAGGCCTTCATCACTGAAAAGCACGCACAACATTTGTCAATGCTGACAATCAGATATAACGTCATCATCAAAACTCATTGAATAAGAATATTCCAATATCTTTAATAAAATCCAGTATCATTATTATATTAAAAAACAATACTATATATGGTTCTACCTCAGCTAGAAAAATATATAACCAACCAAGCATGGATTGCAGTTTCTGACAATAAAGTCTATGTCATGCTAGGGACAAACTTGATCGGCAATAATCTTATAGCTAGGTATGAGAGAAAAATAAGTTTGACAAATAAAAGAAAATAATCATAAATGAACAAAACAGGGTTACTAGCCATGCTTTGGCTATAATTAGTATTTTTTCGCACAAAAAAATAAAGAAAAATTGTGTGAAAATGTAAAATTTATGCAATATTTGTAATTATAATAAATTGTAAATATAATAGGTACTATTATACTATGCCAATGATGGACAAAATAAATACCAAGAAACGAATAAAGAATATAAAGCAAAGAGAGAACTTTGGTTTGTTTAAAGAATTGAGTATGATAGCAGACGAAACTAAATGAATGTTGAATAATTATTGTTTGATCCGCCAAGCCACTTAACCGAGACCAGATCAGTATACAAACACCCGTGGGCAAAACGTCCGTCGGCCAGTACGAGCAAAACTTTAGAAATAGTTTAAATGATTTCAACTTTTATAAAATCGCTGCAAAGTGCTTGGAATATTGGTATTATATTACAGCCAAAAAAAGAGCTAGTTCTGTTGAAGAATCTTAAAACAATTTAATGCTGTACATCAGTGGTTCCCAACAACCTCTCATGGGTCCTGGCTCCCTTCTGAAGGCTTTTATCTCTCATGGGCCCGTTTATTATTCCAGTGGTATTCATAGTGTTATTTTGATTTGTCGATTCCCATATGTTCAAACAACTCATGGTCAATAAAGTGAAAACACCATGGGCAATAACCTTCTCAAGCAATGAAAATAGGAAGAGCGCGAGGTAAAATCAGCATTTCGTCATGCATTGTGGCCCCAACAACTGCTCTGTGACCCGCTCGAGAGAACCGCTGTTGTATATGAAGAAATCTGCAAATTGAGTGCCCGGTTCAAGATTTAAGTTAAGTAGCTTTTGTGCATAGCGATAGTAATAACAAAGCAATATTATATGATAAAGAGATTTTGTTCATTTACTATTTATTCATCCTAAAAATTAGTAGACTACCCCTCAAATTTAGCAATTTTTTTATTCTTCGCTTGCCACTTAAAAAATGGTTTAAAATTTAACTTGTCCTAACACTAAAGACTGTAAAATCAAAAAAAAAATGTATTCAACTTACTATGATTGCATACGCTAAAAATAGGTTTCAGAAGAATGAAACATGGCACAACAAACAACCAAAACAAAATGACAAAAAAGAAATAATACTGCGGAAGCATACGATATATTCATACAATATATTCTTCTTAGTTACCATAGTTACCAATCATCTTATGCACATTGAACTATATAGATGTCAGATTGTCATGAAAAGGGCTATATCTGTAAATGGAGGCTTTGAATGTATAAATATTTTCAAATTGCTTTCCAAAAATTAAACTCTTTGATATGTTGAGAAAGGGTATATATATGACCAGTGATTAGCCTGATTGCCTACTACAGCGTTTCTCAAACTGTGGTCTGCGAGTTTCTTTGTAGTGTTCCGCAGGACAGGAATCGAAATTGCGAATAAATTGGTCACCAGAGCAATCTCGGCTGTACTTCAGCACCTCTGGGTCATAAATTTGTCTCCCAACTGGCGACAAACAGGCAGATAAAGATAAGCCTTGCTATCTAAACGAGGCGAGATAAAAAGCGTAGGTGTTCCGGGGCGAAAAAGTTTGAGAAACGCTGGACTACTAATATGGGTATCCCTGGTTGTTACAGATGCCACTTCAAATCAAATTCACCACTTAGTCTAATATGAAAGAAATTGGATACACTACGCTAAAAAAAAACGAATCTTTTTCTTCCGAACTGAGTATATCTTATTTTTAACTGATAGTAGGCAGGGCTTTACTCAGATCAAAAGTGTCGAAGACATAAAACATTTGCTAATGAACTAGGGTTCTTCATGAATTGATACATAAAACTTGTTCTGGTAAAGCAAGAAATAGAAGCATTGCTACAGTACTGACGAATGATAGAAATGGGACGTGATAATTTTAAGTTGTTCATGGAGCTCAAAACAAGTAAGCAATAGAGGAATTAAATAAAATATAAGAACACCAAGATTGATGAAACACTTCAGAGATAAAGGGTTTGGCCAAAAGTAGGGTCACAGTTACCTTATTATTTGTGTGTGTTAAGCATATCCCAACATTAGGCAGGCCTTTGTTTAAGCGAACAGTGATACCCCGGTAGTCAAACGACTCAATACTCTTTAACTATTCAGTAGTTGACCAAAAAATTTTATAGTCAAAAATGCTGTGGTACTTGAACGAATTCCATAGAACCCACAGAGATTTGCTTGAACGTACAGTAACTGATACAAAAATTTTCCTATTTTCATTCTGATTATATTCAATCTTTTATGTACACATTTAAATATTTATTGTTGTCTAGAAACAAGTTTTGTTTATATTTTGGAATGCAGAGGAAAAATTGAAATAATTACTATTTCTCATGGCAAAAAAGTTTCGGTACTCGAACACCAATCGTGAACGAATAATATTCGACTACCGAGATGTCACTGTATTTTGATAATATTATAGCAGTCGTAGAAACACTCAATCACTACATAATAAGTGCATTTACTTAGAAAAATATGGTGTTCAAATCTTACAGTAACCTACTTTCATCAGTCTGTACACCCGTGTTAACACTTCTTCTGCGGTTCGAGGTATTGTCATTGGGACGGTACGCTTTTGTTCGGCTCACCGTGTGTGAATGAGTTTTAGGATAAACAGCGGAAACAGTTGAATGTTTGGAAGACATTTCATAGCGATTTATTAAGTTTGGGTCAGCGTTGATTCCTGCTGATAAAAGTTCATTGATGTCAGCTTTGGAAGTTTTTGAAAGTCCCGGTGATCTATTATAGTCGTTTTTTGAAGGTTGAGGAGAATGTTCTGGTGAATATCTTGTTATATTTATCCATTTTTCACCTGTAGGTGATGCGTCATACCTTGCTACAGGAAAATTTGATATCTGAATCATATTATTATCATGTGTGGCTGAATTTGAAATCGGATGACGAGAATAGAAAGCAACCCCATTAACATCAGTCGATTGCTTTTGATACGGCATTGCATGCAGAGATGGAAATGATCTTAAAGTTACATTGTGTTCTTGAGGAGAGCTAATATTGTCGAGATGTTCAGCTGAAAAGCTTCGTCGACTTTGAATTTGTTGTAAATGCTCATCTGATATGATATCAATTTCGGAAGTTTTCCATGCTTTTTCTGCTTTAATATTTAGTGCTCTATTATTGGATTTGTGTGATTTCTTTTGAGGACTTTTCATCAAAATTGCAGGCCTATATGGTGCTACTTTAGTAGCCAATCTAGTGGTTTCATTTGAGCCATTGTTATTATTCATTTGGGCACTTTTCATCGTTTTACTTCCTGTTTCATAGCCATTCATTGTACTTTCTGATATTGCGTTCACTTTTCTTGCTTTTCGATGTTGTTTTCTTGATTTTGCTGCTTTGGCTTCCATTTGTGACAACACAGCTGCAGTAACGATTTCTTCTCTGCTCATTCTTCGACCTTTCAGGGGGCTTTTTGGAGAATTCAATATTCCAGTTGCAACCACTGCTTTTTGGAATGGTGACGGAGACGATGAATGACCAAAAACGTCATCCTCATAATCATGTGTCTTAGGGGAAGAAATTCGAGCTACAGTATGGAAGTTTGCAGAACTTTGACTCGTCGCCATAGAAATTTTATTCCTCTTTTTCCATCTTTTATCTTTCTCTCGCCATTCTTTTAAATTATCCATACTCTTACTATTCGACATTTTCTGATCATTTACAGTCAGTCCAGTTGAATCCGGTCTAATCCTGTTTTGACTGGTTTTATTGGCAGTAGAACGGCTCCTTGGAACAGGTGGTACTTTACCTTGCATATCAACAGAAGACCTTGACTTTGTTTTGCTATGTTTTTTGTCCGATGTGTGCTGTAATGAAAAGTAAATAAATAATGAACATGACTTAAATATGTCCAAGTAAACAATTTAAGAACACAATATAACAATATATAAAAATCCCAACGTCACCTTGCCACACTATACAAGCAGCTACAACATGATCTCATGCAAAAAGAAGAGAAAATGATATGCTAGAAAGATAATTACTTTCTAAACATTTTTCACTATTTCAGGAGGTTCACGAGGTAAGATTAGCATTTGACATTATAATAACATTTTATAAACAAGATATTTTGTCTAGTTTTAGTAGTTACATTTTAAACAAAAAAGTGCTCTGAGAAAACTGTATCTGTATGATTAGAGGTTGGTGAACAATTTTTTTGTCCCAAGTGTGATTTAGGCCTGCAAGATTTTGATTTGGAATACAAATACTTATTGCTCTTGATATCGGTCATGTTTCCAAATGAATTGAGATTAAAAGATACAATTCAACATCTAATACACAATAATTACACACAAAGTTCAATTAAGGTCAGACCTTAAAACAAGAGAGTGGAGTAAAGTTTCAATCGATTTCGGAACTGGTGTCTGCATTTTACACTTCTAGTGGCCGAAATCGAAGTCAAAATATTCGAAAACTAAATAAGGAGTAATTTAACTAAGCATTCTTCATCTTGACAAACAATTATATGAATAGGCCAAAGTCGTTAGGGACAATATTGCATTGAAATAGGAGTCTGATTTCCCGAATTTTGGAGTTAAGAGCCAGGGTAATCAGAATTAGAAGGCGATTTTTAAATGGGTCATAGTGTGGAGTTAGGTATAAAGTTTGCCCTGTCCCAATACTAATTATTTATCATTCCAAGTTACTTGCTGCCTAACAAACAAATACACAAACACCCACCCGCCACACACATAAAATAAACTTGCTAATATGGGCTTTTCAAGCTCCAAAATGATCCAAAAATGTCAATACTATTTCAATATTTTTTTCTTTTTCAGCACCACAGCCATATTGTAATTATCCAAGCATGAGATCATAAAACTTCAATATCAACTTTCTGTTTTATCAATCTTCACTACAAAAAGAACAAAGCTAAACTAATTCAAAACAGCAAGCTTAAACCTAAAGTGGGTGAATTTAACAATAAGGAAAGGCATGATTAACTTTATGGTAAAGCAGCAACTACAGATGACAGAAGATTAGTTAGAACACCAGCGAACAAGACAACATCTACTCACCACCCACCTCCATTCTACCATTGCCACCATGGATATGATCGAATGATGATGAACCACTTACAGGGGATTCCGGAATGACAGGAACTTCTGGATATTCTGTAGAATAAAAGAATATTTTTTTTATATAGCAAGTGGTGCTTCCAGGCTTTTTCATAGTTCCATAGTAATGCATGCATAACTGGTAAGAAGCGAACAATATAGTTTAGTCGATGTTTAGAATGTCCATACAGACATCAGGGCAATGAATATGCAAATATATATAGATTTTTTAAATTTTTCTATATATATGTGAAACGTTCCGTAACATCCCGTAATTGAATGAAATAATTAATTAATGAAAGAAAACATTATTAATCATGGCTTAGAAAGTAAAATTCCCATACTATGCCTCTACAATATAAGACTAATGTCTTGTTATGCATTAAGACCTACATACACATATGTATCACTTTACTATATAAGATGTTATGGAATCGCTTTTCTCTGCAACTAATTGACCAATCAAAATTTTGAGTACTTCCAAGATAGCACAAGTCGCAAAAAGACTACCGTACTTTTATTATTAGTAAATTCAGATTGAGTTTTACAAAATCTCAATATTTCATCCTTAATTTTATTGGTTTTATATTATAATCATAATTAATGGTCACACTTCATATGATATTTAGTACAATCCATTTAATATTTGGCTGGAATTCTGCTGATATCGCAGTGTCATTATTAGTCATTTGACCTTCCTGTCTACGTATTTTGAGTATTGCTCTTTTGTTAATACTTGATTGCTTGCAATTTTGACACGAGCTAATCATTCAATTTTTTTCAAATGTAAACTGCTACAATAACTGCATTTATGTGAATTGAACATCAGCAATTTTAAGCATCACTTTCACAATTCCATATCAAATTTTTTTTTTTCAAAACTATTTTCCCCAGTAAGCCATTATAAATTTTTGTAGAAATGGAAATATGAAAGATTTGGAGGTGAATTTTACTTTGACATTAGCGATGGGGTAAAACGAGAGAATATAAAGAATAAAAAGTAGAAAGAAGTTGCAGAGAAAGATAGTGAAAACATCTTCAGGACAAGCATTCACAATGTCAGACTTACCTGAAGGATGGTAAGGATACGGAACATTGTCATAAAAACTTTGTGGTCGATTCCATTCTTGATCATTATGTCTTGGAGAAGTTGTGTGGCTGCTAGAATCACTAGGAGATCCACTTCCTCTGTATACCATATGAACATTCTCCAGTGAGTTTATTACTGGTGTAAGTTGAGTGAACGATGGTGTTTTCGCCTGAAAAGTAGTTCTATTAATTCATCCTGATAAAACAAATTGACACACAATAAATGTACAAACTATATAGCAAACAAGGAAATTCTAAATAAATAAATGCTTGAGTGCATTTGTAATTGGTTATATTTGGTATAAATAGAGCTAATTTTGATTTTAGAAATTTTTCACTTAAAATTTTTCCATCTTAAGCATTTGACGTCATACAAAAAATGATCTTAGTTCAACAAAGGTTTATGAAAATTTCTATGCAATATGACTCATTTTGGAGTATTCATGTTTATATTCAATTTCAGCATTGTTGGACTTAACCTATCCAAAATTTTTTTACTTCATTTGATACACCTAAAGAGGCCAACAAACAGTAAATTCCCTTTACAATTTAAATTTAAAACTTTTTGAACACCCTGTATATGGGTTATTCCATATTTAAAAATAATATTTCAGAATACATCCAAATTTCAGAGTATTAAATCATTTGGTTTTGGCTATCCTTGAAATGCAGCATTTTATCCCCAACGGTTACTCAAAATTCAAAATAAATTCACTCACCTTCATATCAGTATCTGAAAATTGGTTAAAAATATCTGAACTCTGTGATCGAAGGTAAGATGGCTTCTGTCTCATCTTAACATTATGTGAGGATTTTGACTCCGAGTCAGTGTCAAAGACACCATCTGATACGTCATCAAAATGTACCCCTGAGTTATGCTTATTTACTGATTTGACCCCTTGACGTTCTTTCTTTTCTGGAGAAGGCGGGATCCATTTAGGAACAACTTTTTCGTTCGTTCGAGGTTGGGAAGTGTTAAGTTCAACGGATGATTTGTCATCTGGGGAAAGACGTGATTCGCCGGATGATGAAACTTTGTGGGCTAAGATAGGAGGAACAAACGGCTTCATGTGTCTGTCATGATTATTATAACTTCCGCTGTTTCGATGACCGTTTGTTGCTTTGAAATTATTTGAATTATTATCTGACAATAGTGAGATATCATTATCAGAATGTTTTTGTGGGTTCGAATTGTCCGTATCTGTGTGATTGTTTGATAAAGTAAGTTTATCAATGGCTTTTCGTTTTACATCTGAACCATTTGTGCGTTTGTGTGTGTCTGTTTCTTTATTTTCGTTCTTATTTTTATGTTTTGAATCTTTTTGTTCGGTTTCGTTGTTCAGGTCTTGTTCTTTATCTTCCATGTGTTGTTTGTTTTTATTTGTTTCTTTCGTTTTCTTTTTATTTTCGTCGTTGGCTTTCTTCTTTGTAGCTTTGTTGTCGACATTGGTTTGTTGTTTTGTTTGTTCGTCTTTATGTCGCTCTGTCTTACCCGGTTTCTTTGATCTTCTCAAAAATGGTGATCGACTTACAGCTAGAGGATCATTGAAAGATTTGCTCGGCTGAAATGAATTCACAAAACCATAGTTGAATATACATCTCACAACCTGCCGAAAAATCCGCATAACACGACATTTCGAAAAAAAAAATAAATTGAATAAATAGGAGTGAAAAACTTATTCAGGTGTGTGCAGTATTGAATTCCATAAAGCAGGAAATTACAGGTAAAAAATGCTTTAGAAAACAAAAGCTTAACACTGTACAATTAATTTTTAGAGGCAATGAGAGTAGTAAACTCAGACATACAAGAAATAATATCAAAACAGCATCCACACATTAGCAAAGAGAAGCCTTTGGTTAATGTAGTGCACAAACGAAAAAAGAAGAAATGTAATCCCATTAAAAATAAACTACATTAACATTTAGAATAAAGCCCATATTTTTATTGGGATTAGAGTTGTCGAGATCGTATGGGTATCAGGGTTGGAAAACCTAATGTTCATAATCTAAATCAGAAGCAATTTATAAGGTAATAAGTTAACTAAGCATTCTTAACAGTCAATTGGAGAGCGCTGCATATGCCAAAGTTTTTGTTACCCAAATCAGGTTTTTCTTGGAGGTCGGGGCTGGAGTGGGAGTAAATTTATTTTTCCTAACTTGAGTCGAAATTGTTTTCAACTGGTGGAAATTTTACTAGGTCCCGTAATCCGATCAAAATTAGGCATAAGCAAGCTGTTATACCGACCTTAACACTGACTGTGGGAACAACGTCATGATGTTCAGATCCATTTGCTACGATTGCATTCTTGCCAACTTTGCTTTTTCCTCTTTTCACCTTCTCCCTCTTTTTCTTTTGACTCGTTCTTCTCTTCACTTCAGGAAGAAAAGTATCGGTGTAACCTGAATAAAGAATGAACAAATGATGAAATGGTTATTATAAGGTACATGCAACAAATGTGAGTTTATTAATTTGAAAAATGCTACACAAAGTTGAAGTTGCGCCCTGTGTCTATGATTATTTTGTTCAGTGCTAAAAGGGTATACGATAATTCCATAACCACCCAGGGTCCAAGCGGCTATCCTATGCCATTTAAAAATTTGACAAACAACATCTCTGCTAGTCAAAATATGATTCTAAATAATAGGTCAGAAAGAATTTTGGCTCAAGCTTCTAGACAGGAATTGCTAAAATCGGATAGGTCACAATTCCTACATATACCATACTATAAGACATATAAGAGAAGCCAAAGATTGTTCTTCTCTTATCTACTATTATCAGAAGTTGAAAATAAAGTATATTTTCGTTCTGATTGTCAGCCGACAATTGCTTCGAATGCCATATTTTCTAATGACATAAAATATTTCTGAAATCCAATATGATGAATTTCGAATATATTAGATATTTGATTGATTTTAGACATCCCTGTTCCTGGGTAGATTAATGTTGACTCTGTTTCCAAAACATTGATAATAGCAAGCTGCCAAGATGCCAGAATATTTTTGAACGAATCACAATTTAATTTACCTGAATGTTTAGCAAATTCTGGTATAACACTTCCAGAAACTCTTTCAGTATTTGGTATGAATTCAGTTCCGAATGGTAGTTTTGGTTTTTCATCTTCAGATGGTGCTGGAGGATGATCCATGTTACCACGTTTCAATTCATTCATGCAACTCTGTGATGAAAAGATGTAAATTAAAATATTTTCAACCAATTACAACCATCATGCAGAATTTTGTCAGATCATGAAAGATTTAGGGAGGTGTGTGTGTAGATTAAGACATCCTATGACTACATGGGAAATTAGGAAAAGTATAAATGATAGCATTCCAGCGACTTCAACAATATTCAAGTACTAAAAAATTTGACTATAAATTTGATCCATTACTTTCAAAGAAAAGCGATACTTTTCAACAACGAATGTCACCCAGCAACAAGAATTGAGCAAAATGATCAATATGTACACTTTACGACCAATAATCCTAGAGTATCCAAAAACGTGCTCTGTCCAGGGGATTTATTATAATGTTTTATTAATTACCGGTAAATCTTTTCGTATTTCCATGTTTGTTGGCAGAACTTAGCCATTTCTATGAATATCTATCTATTAATTAAGACATATAAGAGTACTCATTTTTGAGATAATATTCTATATTCAACTGTAAATTGAGTATGTTGTCATCAATATCTCAAATAATATGACATTTACCTTCAAATGTTCAACAACGTCATCATCACCAGCACCAAAATCTTTCACTAATTCTTCTTGTAGGAAACCAACGATACCGTCCATGTCTTGACTTTTGATATAGGCTGATAAAAGGTTGTAAAATGTTATTAGAATTTCCAAGTCAATTCAAAATCTAGAAATATAATGAAAAAAGGGACAGATTTTTATATTTTTAAACGGATTGAATCAACTTAACATGTTTGTTGCAGTCAAAGTTTTCAGAGATGATGATTTGATTATAGAATAGAATTTACATATTTATCCCAGGGGAGAGGAAAGTCGATAAGACGACTTATTCATATTGCGAACCATTCCCTCTCGTCCAGTTACCAGTCCATGTCTGGGATAGGATTAGTTAGCCAGTTATTTGTTTTTTTCGGAAGCATGAACTTGATGGTGAAGGAAGCCGTAACCGACCAGCGGTTAAGTGAATCCTACGGCATTAACGAACAAACCCCGTTGCCTTATATTCCGTCAAAAATAGGACAAATATTTGATTTAATGAATACGGAACAATATTGAAAAATGAGATACTAATTTGATGTAAACTTTTTTTTATCCAGACTCAGATAAAATAGCACTCAATCTGAAATTATGAAACGCCCTCATTACAAAAACTTAAAAAAAGAAGTTTGGAGTACCTTTGTGCATCTTGAGTGTTGCAAACGACATTGTAGTGAGTAGTTTTTCTCCCTCAAGAACATAAATATCCCATAATCTCAATGTAAGTGAGAAAGGAGATCGATCGAGGAAGCATTGAAAAAACCATTTCATCGTGTAAAGACTAGCAAATACCTCGTTTTCATCCTGTATAATTTAATTGAGATTCATAACAATATACAATGAATGTGATGAATATTTTATGATATGACTGATGGTAAACGAAAATTTAACAATGAGTCCTCGATGAAATATTGACTCAAACTTCAAACCCAGACTTTCAAAAAGGAATTTGGGTTCGAGTTTGAAACAGCTCACGACAGCATTATAAATATAGGTTTATTACGACTCCATAATCAGCATAACAATAAAAGGTACTCCCGTAGTATGTGCAACAAGATGGCGGACCCAGGAACGTAGTATGTTTATCAGGTTAGGGTTAGGCCATAATTTCAGGTACAAATACTACAGGAGTCACTTGGCTAGTCCTCGAATTCGTAATAGAACTAAAATAAGGAAAATTGGAATAAAATTATGACCTAACCCTAACCTGGTACACATACTATTGTCAGGTGTCGGCCCGCCATCTTGTTGCACATACTATGGGAGCGCCCAATAAAATGATTGATAAAAACAAATAACTAAAAACTGATTATGAAATCAGGAGAGAAAACAAAACCTTAAACAAGGTTTAAAATGTAAAGAAAAGTTTTGCCAAGAAGAAGTGGTACGTGTTCACTCACCTAAAATAATTGAATTATTTCACACACGCTCACACGCACCCATACACACACACACACACACAACCATAGAGAAGTTATAAAGTAAGAAGAAAATGATAAATTACATACTGGTAGTAAATAAAAAATAAATAAATATATGAAAATTACTTGTCACACCATATTAATAATTTTATAAGGGTTGCCACTACCGAATTGATCGATTTTAAAAATGGGAGTGAACAATAAAGATTAACTTTTATTAAAAATATATTGCCAAGCTGATTATACTTGATTTGATTATAGAGTCAAATGGCAAAAAAATGTCCAACCAAAGTTGCCAGAAATTGGGTGCATGAAGAGGTGGGCTAGACCAGTGGTCGGCAACCACCGGGCCGCGGCCCATCGCCGGTCCGCGGAAAGGTCACTACCGGTCTGCAGAAAGGTGACATGAAAACTTACAATGCCATTGTTATCTTTATGTGAGGTTGGGTTTTTAAAATGGCAATTACAAAAACGAAAGATCGGAATGGGTTTAATGTAAGAAATAAGTTACGTGAATAGTATCACCTTTGATTTTGAATGTATTGTCAACAGAAATTTTCTAACGCATATAATTTATTACATTAGATTAGTTCGTTTGTATGAAGGTGGTCTGCCAAAATTTTGGTCAGGCTTTACTGGTCAGTCACTGGAAAAAGGTTGCCGACCACTGGGCTAGACCACTTCATTTTCCAAATTAGAGCCAATTATCTCCATTACAAGGCTGATTGGATATATTGCCAAATACAGACGCCAGAAATGACATTATTCTCTCTAGAGAATTCACACACAAAAACATTCCGTTTTCTAACGCTGTGTTGTACACAAGCGAAAAACTCAGTCTACATTATATATTTTACTGAGAACATATGGCCTTGGCTTAGAGGGTGCAATTATCCAGATGTGTCCATACGCAGTCAATAGATGTTTCCCTGATCATTGACTTCCTTGTTTATTAGTTAGTGGCCAATCAGTGATAAATCAACTGTCAGTAATGTAGCGAATAAAATAACAATTGGAAAATTCCCTCAGATGCTCAGACATGTTTCAAGCAGTGTGGCAAGTGGCAAATATGTATTGTTCTACTAAAAAGTATGGATTGATTCTTACATCTCAGAGGATTGTTTGAATGAATACCATAGGATAAAACATGATCATTTGTCAGGGACTTCCATCTGCCAATTTCCTCTGTGTTAGACTATTGCTGTATAATTTTACAGACTGACATAATTTTTTTTTAATAATGAAAATAGGAAAAAATATTTACCAGATGTTTCTTGAGTTTCGGCATATATTTCTTCAAAATATGGTCGTGATGACTTTGAAATCTCATTAATTTTGGAAAACCAGGAATAAAAAATCCATGCATTTTATGCCGTTCACCATATAGGAGTGAATGAAGTGCCCAAAAGGCTTCCTAAAGAAGAAATATTCGAAATGAAAATGCTTGTTTTTTTGATAATATAAAGCTGACAAGATAGCCTCACATGTCGAAACTGAAGTCAGCGATGCTCAACACTGAATGATCTACTATCCTGAATACACTCTAAAATTTTAATACGGAATATAATTGGTCATGTTAAGCAAAGCACATAATGGAAGCTATTGTATCGTACATTCAATCAGTTTGTTTTCGAAATGCAGGAAAGTTGCATACAAGCAGATTCTATTTGTTTTGACTTTTACAGTTTATGAGATTGGCATGGATGATTTTTCAGTTATATTGTGTGACTTCGATCGATCACATTGATCAATTTTTAACTTTATTTACAAAATTATTTTTAAATTTATTAGAACTGAATTCTCATAATCTTAAATTTTTGATTAGAACTTGATGATTTCCGTTCTTTATTGACCTAAATTCTGAATATATTCTGTGACCCATACTTGGAAGTATTATTTTTGAATATGTTTAGAATAGTATAATATTCGTTTTCAACCATCTCTCCAAAGAGTCTCGCTCCAGTATTCAACAATGCAACTACCATTATAAGCTGTGATTTTAGATGTACAATCATAAGTGTGGAAAGATTATGAATTCCTCATATTGAATATTTTTCAAATAATAATCTCTATGGCTGAACGAAATTATTAATAAAAGAAAGAAAAAGCTCATTTCATTTCGCTCTCAAAATATTTGAGTCAATTTTGGAGTTCAGGCATATTCCACCATATATCAACTAGACCATTCTTATTCCCGTTACGTCCGTCCAGTAAAATTTAATGTCAATTTGCTTTTAAATCCTGTATGAATCATCTTGATATCAATTCAAAATCGTGAACGGGAAATTGGAAAAGGTTTACGTAATTGAATGCAATGTCATTTGTGCTCGATTTAAAATATGTGGACCGTATGATTACAAATTTGACCTTATTGTGGGATGATATTACGTAATGGTTCCATATGATATTAAAACAATGCACTTTAGTTAAGTACAGCTGAGTGGTTCAGATTTGACGATCAATATGGGAAAGAATAAGAACATGGTCTTGAAACATATCGACGCATGAAATCCAAATTGGGCTAAGTCCATTTTTCTAGTTTTGAGAAAAACGCAAAAAACGTTTTTTTTTTGTTTCTTTTTTTTATTTCTCTAATACCATACATCGAGGATGTCTAGTTTTTATGGTCCACCAAAGTTACAATGAAGGCCATATTTAGATGGTATAAAAAAATTTGTGCTCCGCCCCAATTTTTTTTTGGTTTTTTTTTTTTGGACTTAACCCTTTTTGGCTCTCAATTTTCTGGACCAGGAACAATTTTATTGGACTTAGGGCCCCTTTATTATGTTATTATAGAGGCTGGTATGGACTTAGCGCTTTGTATTATATTTTTTGAGAGGAGCTATGTCCAAAAAACGGACTTAGCCCCAACTTACAATGCAGTTATCCAGAGCTAAGTCCACTATAGTAGACACAGCTCTGTTTAGTTCTCAAATGCCCTAAAAAAAGCAGGGTTATGTCTATAGCTGTCTTGAGATCTAGAGCACTTAGAGATAAGGCAAATAGACCAAAATGTAGAGCTAAGTCCAGGAAAATCAGCAATTGAAAAATGTCATTTTTTGGAAAAGTGGACTTAGCACTGTTTGGTTTTGAGGTGTCGATATATTCCAAACAATGTGGCATTTAATAATGAAATACCAAGCTGATACAGATGGTGTTGTCAAGCAGACCTTTGACCCTCTTACTGCAAACAAATTTTGACACAACGTATTCACAGGGTCCCACACTAAAAAAAATGTTTTTCAGAACATCTTCCAGAGAGAACATAACTTTTGTGCAAGCATCCTAGATTTCTGAAACTTTTAGTTGCACACACTAACAGAAGATTCAGTGTTAAATAAAATGTTCATCCGTTTCATTCAATTTAGTAAATTTTGGGGTTCTGTTTTTCGGGTCAAATTGTAAAAATCGAACATTATTCGCAGGAATCATAATTAAAATGAAGAATAACAAAAGTAATCTTCATCCAAATTTAAAAAAAACATATTTGAATTCATTTTAATTTAACCTATATAAATAAGCATACAGACGCAAAACAAAGTCCATAATTGAACATATGTTTATGATCACACTATTCAGAATAGCTATACATTTAAATAATTGTCGTATCAAAATTCTCTTCCTGATAATTTCCCCAATGTCTCACCTCTTCACTCATATACATGAGTAAAAGTGCAGCAATCTGACTCATACCCTGACAATATCCAACTTCTGTATTATACATTGAATATGCTGCCAGTACGTGGAACAGTTGTTGTTGCTTGATACTAAAAAAGAGAATAAATTAAAAATAACATTTCTGAATTTGAAACTAAAAGAATGAAATATATATTTGGATGTTGATTCAGAAAATCCTTAAAATCTAAATTTTTATGGTTGGAATATTGGAAATTTTGCATTTATTCATAAAAATAATTGAATTATTCTGACCTATTTCATTCCCGATGCCAATGGCAATAATTTGAATTTATCGATGAGTAGAGGGATTTTTGAATATGCAAAAAGATGACATATAATTAAATATATAGGACTAGTATTGAATATTTAATCTCGGTCATTATCAAAAATATCTACGGTAATATGAGTGAATACACTCACATGTTACTCAAACATATATGAGTGTAAAACAGGATCGACCAATAAAATATTATTTTTTAATATAGAATATCTTCTAAAGTGAGTCATTTTCAACTGAGATTGTTATTAAAACTTGAAAACGCAGGAAAGATCTTTAGTAAGATAAAGAGTAATCAGTTTGATTCTCAATTAGATTATGTTTTAAATGTTGTTCACACTACACAGTGATACCTCAATTGTCCAAAATGATGATTATTCTAATGAAACTTATTCACATTAAATAAAATCAAAAACTTCAATATCTAATACAATTAATTTCAAATAAATTCAAATATTCGAATCATCTTGGAAATCCCTGGAGCGAAACATTACCAAAGTGATAATTTTTCCGATGAAACTTATTTGCATTAAATAAAATCAATTTGATAATAAATACAGTTGATTTCAAATAAATTCAAATATTTGATTTATTTTTGATATCCCTGAAAAAATTTCACTCATAACAAATTTCAAACCTTTTACCTGTATCTGGTTCTAAACATGACATGATCACGGTAGGTACGATTCACGTCCAGATCAATTTGTCTTATATCTGTTGAATGACTGTGTGCACGAGTTTTCATTTCCTGATCGAACAAAAAATACAAAAATTATGGTTCGGAAAAACAAGCAAAGCGTTAGAACTTAGAAGGTTTGGTTGTTTAGATTTATTTATCAATCATTATTTCTCGCATTCAAAATAATTTTGAAAATATGTGCAGAACTAGACAGATAAGAGATGAGGAGGACAATTAATATAAAACATTAGCTGCATTGCATTGCTCTTACACAGGACATTGAAAGAGAGATAATGATTTACTTCCGAATAAATCATCAAAGTACAAATTGCAGTAAAAAAATAAACAATAATCATGAAATATATTCCGAAGGAGGCAGGCAAGACTGCAAGGTCGACCCACCCCTAATGCAACATGTTCTTCGCATTTCAGTCAATTATGGTTGCAAAGATTAAAAATATATGGTTTCAAAGTATCTTGGATAAAAATCCAGATTATCAATTATTAATTCATTCATTTTGCAACCTATTTTTCATATTATATACTGTAATTTGTTTACAATTTTTTTTTAATGTCGGTGATTAAATTTTTTGAATGAATCCATTTCATATGATATTTTATGAGGAAAATTTGACACATTCCGAATCGTTCATTTTTTCGTAGAGTGAAAATATCCACAAAATCAGTATAGGCTACATGATCATTTTTGAAACAGTTTTTCCATACCGTTGATTTCACAGCCCATTTAAACTAAATTTCCTAACCTATTTAGTCTATATATGTATCAGACAAGTAAAATCAATGACTGTTCATATAGAGATACACTCAAGCGAAGACAAGTACCAATCAAGAGTTTGCTTTATATTGACATTCACAGTCGTGTCCTGTTTCAAGATAGGAGATCGATAGAAACTAGTTATAGCATTATATAAATATAACTAGTAATTTAACGTATTAACCTGATCGATGGCAGGTTTTCCATTTATTTTAATTACTAACTTCGAAATGCAATTGAAGTATTATCAAAAGAATCTCTAGTAATAATTGTAACTTCAGACATTTTTATCATTTAGACATTTTCATAATCTCCCATACAATATGATAGTTTTTATATACTGGTAAAATGTATAAAAAATTAAGTATTAATTGCTCCTTCAAACATATCATACCTTAACTTTGGTCATGAAATAATTTTTGACAAAGATATTTAGTTTTCAAATCTTTCAAAACATGTGTAATTTATGATGTGGATTATGGCTGTCAATTCCATATAAGGTTTCACCAGAAATGCTAGCAACTACGATATGAACATAATGCATATCATCTATGACGTCTTTACCTAACCAAAATGACATGTTATATTGTCCATTTGACACTAGATTCGAAAAAATTGGTTGTTATTATAAATTGAACGATCGATGTATCATGCTAGGGCCATACATAGCAAAAGCATACATGATTCAGTTAGTTATGCTAGCCCATGATAAAACAAAGTACAAGATTTCAAAATTAACCATGATAAAAATACTTGAAATAGTTTACCTAAGAATAATAGGAAAAGAATTAATTGAGATTACTATTTCCAGAGATACCAGATATATGACAATACAACATGACAAAAATGTGTACCTATTACAGCAGGTAAAAAAAGTTTATTTCCAATTAGGCCTATATAAAAACTTCATATTACCTGGTAAACATTTGGCAAGTTTTCCATGTATTGATGAACTTCCAGTAAAATTCTCCATACATCACCTCTCATTCCATGCGGAATTCCTTTGTATACACGTTTTGACAACTAAATGAATGCAAAGTTGTACTTTAAAATTTCTGACAAGAGTGAAATTGCCAGAATGTCTAACCCAAGTCCAGCAGAAAATCTTGTATTTCCGGCATTATTTATGTTTAATCAAGTACATGATCGCATTAAAATTAAATTGATATGTTTGAAATTAATTTTGAGTCGGTTCAATTTTTGTGTATTCATTATGAAGATGTCAATACTCAAATAATAAGCCTTTTCAAATAGACTTCTATATTTCTTTGAACATTATAGGACATCATAGCGTATCATGAGGTCAATCAGTAGTAAACTCGAAGCAATGTTAATCTTGGAATCAATATTTTAATTTCTATGAATATGTGTGCACATAATATGTCAATACATTTGGTCAATAGAAAGATTATAGATAGGTCATGGATGTGCGTGAAATTGGTAATATCATTAAGCATTGGGTAATTTGGATTATTGCCACAGCTAGACATCCCCACAGTACATTATACTTTCAAAAATTAAAACTAAATTTTAAATTCAACGAAATAGAATGATCTTAATTCGTTATTGAAAGAGATAAATTTTGTCAAAAATTATCAATTAAGATTAAATGAACTGAAAATGAAAGAAAAAATTGAGAGATGACTTCAGTTTTTTTTTTCAAGTCAATGCCAATCACAATGTCAGAATTTAAAAAACTGGACAAAATGTTTGAAACGCTTCAAAAAAAACCTGCAACAAAAGAGAAACGAAAACCCGCTATGCATATTATGTATGAAGATTGAAAACTTCTGTTGATTCAGGTGTTAAAAAACACTTGTGTATTATGAAACAATTAAAGTAAATAAAAGACTAATTTTGTAAAAGATAACCTTTTCTGTTCCAACATATTTGTCCCAATTTCGCACCATTTTCAGCCATTTTTCTTCGTTTCTTCCTGTTTCGATAACGGAACAAGTTCGGTTTTGCTAAAGTGAAGTCACATCGTTATTCATCAATCACAAGTCGAAACAAAGAAAATTTCCTATATCTTGACAATCAAAATTATGACTTTTTAATAGATGGCACATTGACATGTCTAGCGAAGTTCCCGAACCTATTCATAAAATATCTACACAAAGCTGTCTTTTCCCAACCAGCGGACATAGTTATACCATTGACATCAAATAAGGCAACTGTCAGCATAACCACCATAAAATAGTATAGCTAGTACAACCCAATAGTGACTTCGTCAATGGTTCTCAAACAGTGGGTTGCGACCAACAAGGCCGGCATAGACAATTTTTGAAGGGACGAGAAGCTAATTAAAATTGAAAATATTTGTTAGATTTGATCTTCCTTGCCTCATTTGGGATATTTACATTTCTTTATTATTTGATTAAATTTCTTTATTATGTAGGCCTACACATATTTTTAACGTGTTTTTTGAATAAATTATACATTCGCCTCACTGTCTGTCTTTGAGGTGGGGTGCGAGACTTGACAAATTCTAAAAAGGGAACGCGGCCTAAAAAGTTTGAGAACCACCAAACTAAAGAGAGTGGTGGGTGTATTGGAACAGTCGTCATAGCAATAGACTAAGCATATGATGGCATTCGCATCGTAAGTTAAATTGGGTAGGCAAGTCCGATCTGAAAAGATTCTAGCTCCATACAAGTAAGTGGCTGATTGTGCAGTCCCTATTCAAAGAATATGTCATAAAAATGCACTTTGAATGGAACAATGCCTCGGCGGATCATATTATGTTAGAGTCAAGTGCGTAACATTATATGCACAAAACCCATTTTCTGTGAACAACACTCGATCAAATCGATGAATGAGTTGAAAATTCAGTGTTTCACATCTGAGTGAAACTTCAGAGTATCAGATATAACTCTGTATGAGTTTTGGAATTTTATATTTACCTATCAGGATTGTGTCATGAATATAGACTATAGAGTTAGTTTCTATTAATGCACAATTCCAAACATCACCTCTCTAACAATGGTTTTTACATGTTGCATGGATCAAAAAATAGAACGCATTCACCTGCATGTCTAAGCTAAAATAATAAAATCAGATGAAAATTCAAAATAGAATGATAATTAGTTGTTAATCCATCATGCTGACAAAACATAGGGTTAGTTTAGATAGAAACCAAAAATCTATGTTAGATGTATTAAGTATATCAGAGGAAAAGTACTTAGGTTTTATTAATACGAAAAGTTTTGTTTTTAGAGGGCTAATTATAGCTACAGGGAATGTCCATGTATTTCTTTATATTGGTAGTATTAAAACTTGGCTCGAAAGTAAATGTAACATGAATTCTTTCAAAAAAAAGTAAATTTAAATGTTTGATTGTTTTATAAAAATGAATTTTGAAATTAAGTACAATTTTATTGAAGGCAAAAGCATTGAGATACAGACAATGCTTGATTTTGAACGTCAATGTTTTGAATGTTTGAATTTTGCTAATTTTTGGAGTTAACTAAAAATCCGAATCTTCCTTGTTCAATTAGTTTTTATTCATTGGACATCCCCTATATTATGAGACATAATTTCACAACTAACATCTTTGTTTATAAATTTAATTTTTACGAAACCAACCAGCAATTATATTGATTTCCAGTTGTTCTGAAAGTTAAAAATGACCAGTAAAATACCTATCAAACACACAAAATGTCAGTTACTATAAAGGTAATGTACAAAACAAAATGATTAATCAGTTCAATGTTCAAGTTCTCCCCTATCAATCATTGAGAGAAGTATTTGATCAATATGTCATTTGCCAACAATTCAAAATTTGTTTTCAGCGTTGTTCTTGATAACCAATTTATAACCTAACTAATGGAATCATTATCACAAAGATAAAGGTAAAGTCAACTGCATAAGCCTATTTGTCATCAGTTCCTAGGTTTTTTAAGTTTGCTGAAATAGTTAGACTTTTGTCAACTGAAAAAGCCAGACCCTATTTAAAATTGTACATGTAGAGAATATTATGTTCTAAATTGAGAAGCACTTGAAAAGCAGAAGAATGTAATATTACGTATTATATAGAATTCCATAAAATAATACAGTAACCATTAATTAAGACTATTGTTCAGGAAAAAGGTTGTACTCTAAAATTACATAAAAACAAATTCCATAAACCATTTTTGTTAATTCAACCTTGTGTGCATCCATTTGAATATACCAACTTAAAATAATGTGCAAGGGGAAAATATAGAATACCAGACTGAAATTTAGACAATAAAATATCAGAATAGATGTATTGGCTACTTATTACTTACTGCAAGAATCCAAACTGATCAGTAACCTTATATATATTATCATCTTCTTCATATTCATCCTCGGCTCCAGGACCCTGGAGAAAAATGCATTTGTGATGCATTATTAGTAGCCTATAGTATACCCCAGAATATTTGACAAATAACTAGACAAAATTGACTGAGAATAAAACGCATAGCCTATGGATTGAATCATTTCAATCTGTTTTGACAACTATCAAAAAAGACAATATAGTCGATTATTTTGAGGTAAATCAAATGAACTGAATTAATACTCAAATTTACCTTATGTAGCTTTTAGTTTCGCATGTAATATGGTGGAATATTGTCTATCTCTTTAGCATTATTTATTAAACTTATACCAAAACGTTTAATATGGTATCGTTCGCGGTTTTAAATAAATTCTGACGTATCAGACTATAATCCGACATCATGCATTCATAATATTTTCCATCAACTATACAACAGTCCATTATGAAATTTTTCCAAACCTTTGCATATTTATTAACAATGCTAAGTCTTTCTTGTCTGAGCCTTTCAGCAACGATGGAATCTGAAAACAAAACACCACATTATTAGAATGCATAATTTACTGGGTGCAGTGTTGAACGTACATGAAGTAAGGTTCATGAACGGGGTTGTCTAAAACGGTTCAATATTTGAATGTATGTGTCAATGTGTTCAATTTCTTGATTAATGGGTTTATTCCAAATATTATAATACGCACTCTGTAGCCACAAACCTGACTTCGGTCAGGCCAGTTTGATTAAAATTTACCGTCAGTTCTGCAAACAAACCCAAAATAACTACTCCTTGCACTTTCACAATACGTCTCATTGAAGATATAGGGCTTTGGATGATACATGTGACGAGGGTTTAAATTAGAATATATTCAATATTACAATATAAAAATTATTTATACAGAATGCACTTTGAACAGAAAATTGTTTGCTATTGGCCATCTCTGTTCATGTATGACATTTTATGAGATGGTTTACATCTCTAAACCATTACGATTTACAAGTTTTTAAAATTTATATAGAGCAAAAGTTGGTTTTTGCAATTTTAATATGAATCTTTAAAAAGCCATGGACATTAAACATTGCCTACATTCTACATTGAATCAAAACAATTATAATTACAACTGTAGGCCTAATAAAACCGAGGATAGGTAATGAACAAGAATAAAACATTTGGCAATTTCATTGTTAACTACTAAAGCTGTAAGACTACAGTAATCAGACAGTGTCATATAATTTTCCATCAAAATTGGAAATACTACACTAAAACCCTTCACTGAACCCATCAATCACAGTCACCTAGTCTCATAAAACTCAATTTGGTTTCCTCTGCTAATTTTACAATTTTTTTTCAATTGAAATGCCATATTGGGTGCAGCATTACAAGTCTTGTATGAGTTCCGACCGGAAAATGATTTCTCTATTGATAAGGCTTGAACAAATATATTAAGCAAATGAAAACAAGTAAGATAGAAAACACAAAATCGATATTATTTTGTCAATATCACTGGTAACACCATTGAAACAATATTGTTGACTTTGTTGTATTTGCAGAAGTTGCAATGAATGAATTTTTACCCCAGGGCATTGTAAATATACATATCTTGCATACAATCAATCCCGAGTGAGGTAAAGAATTGCTACTAAGTGATCAAGCTGATAAATATTGAAAGATACTGTATAAAGAATACTGCAAACAACTTTGAAATTTGGAATTATTAAAGATATCAGTGAAAGTTCTCTATTTATAGAATTCAGATGAAAATAAATTTTTCAATAAAATTTTCATTGTTTTCAACTAAGTCTCTAAATTTTAACTAAAATTTTTGAATAAGAAGGAACATCTGATGTCTATACCAAACTTTATAAATTAAATTGCTGATAGTAGTTGGAAGTATGGTAGCTGCGTGATTGAAAATTGTATCTAAAGTGATCTATATTCTACTAAACTAAATAAAAAACGATATATAACGAATATGTTGGGTTGATGTGTACATTATGATTGTATTCATTGAGGTAGTATAGACAGCAAATTGCAAATTTATGAGGAACCAAATTTTGAATATAACCAACTTTCTCTTGATTTTGAACAATTTGTTTGAATATTCAATTAATTGTAATAGACAAATGGAATGCGCAATAATGTTATGTAATAATTTAGTAGATATCCAAAATCCAATGCAATGCTATTGGTAAACTGAATTTTGTAAAGTTCAGGAAATTAAAATACCGGTAACTCATTTCCTTTAAAATTTCACAAACTTGGGTAAAAGTTGAGACATATGTAGAATTCTTGAAAATTAGATAATATTATATGTATAGCAACATGCTCAGTAAGTCAGTTACTACATTCAGAGAACCAATATTAATTCAAAAATCCTACCAACTCCAACTGCCCTGGGGCATTTTGCATTTAAAATAAATGTTTATCAATGTGACAAAGTTCTGGGCTGGAACAAACCAAGATTTAACCACCACCCAATTATGCTATAACCACCCAGGCAGAAAAACCACCTCCCGACTTACCGAAATTGCTATTATATTTCCCTATTTATGCCACACATCAGTGTTAGGCTTATTAAGATTGACTATAACTAGGGTTGTCATATATATGTACCTTACTTATATGAGATTTCAAGACAGAAAGAGCAAAAAAATCTCCCAATAGCTGATAAGATAGAATTTCGTTGACAATGCAATAACTAAAGGTCAATGATGACAAAATTCTTAAATACTTTTAATTAGATTTCAAAATATCCGTTTGTTAATAATGCATAATACACACATATATCCCAGTTTGATACATATTATTTCACTTTAATTAGGTAAGAATATTCATATTGCTCACCAGTATCCAAAATTTCATGTGTCATCAATTAAATGAAATTTTGAAAACATACTGAACATATTGCTGTAGTTCTCTCAAGGAGATGACAGTTTAAATTTTAAAGTTTGAAAATATAGCACATATTCCTTATCAAGAGAAAATTTCATTTCGATCTGTACAACTACGGTATGTCCTTTTCTCCCAATGAAAGAATGAGTGAATGATTTACAAATGACTTGAAAATATTTTTTATCAGGTGTTCAACATGACAACAACCTTCAAATATTTTCATTTATGTATGTATGTCAATACAGCAATAGGAAATATATGATCAAAAACAACTTTATATAAAGTGTTTCTACCAGTAAAAAATTTCAAAATTATGAACAGTGTGGTATTAAAAATTATATGCATTCAATTTTTCCATATACATATTATTTTAATTTACCTATTTAATATACTTGCAAGGTGATACTGTATTATAAACCAGTTTTCAGTTTTTGTCAGTGTGACAAAAGTGCAATTTATGACTTCACAAATCACAATCCACATGACAGGCTATTTATAAAACATGATGTAATGTGGTATATATATAATATTAACATGGCAATGATTTATACAATTGCACCAAAATCCAATGATATCTGAATGAAATGTTGAACTTAGAAAAAGTAACAGTTTTATGATAGTTCCATATACTGTACTTGAAGATGGTCAAAAAATATACCGCTTTAAATGAAAATATAAATGGGAATATTCAATAACTTTTCATGAAGAAACATTCAGAAATTACAAAATTCAATGATTTTAATTTTAATTCAATTTTGGCAAACAGCCTTCGCTGTTTATTTGAGTACCATTTACCAATAAAGCCTTATTTGATAGAACTCTCAGTTTTGTAGAATGGGAATCGTGATATTGCTGATGGTTCACTGTATTGTGCTTCAATTTATAACATTATTAAATAACAAATGGATTTGAGATGATTTGCCAATAAATAATAATAACGTTGTTTGTTTAAAATTTCAACTGTTTCTAACAATACTAGCACATCATAGATTGCAAATTGTTCATTTTCAAGATTGAGGATTTGATTTCATACTTTAAGTTTGTATGTTTCATATGCTTACCATATAAATTACATCACTTGTATAAGTATGGTACATTCAAGTTATTACAAGCGCTATACAGCATTACTTTCTCCTCATATATGTCCCTTTCCCTATCTTTGGTTTACAAAATATAGATAAAGCACACACGCAGACGCAGTACTTGAAGAAAGAAAAAAAACAGGTAGGCTTATTTTTATTGACTGAAAGCAGCCAAAGAAGGCTATGTTCGGGGTGACCATTAGTTAGGGTTTAAATACCCAGCACACTTCTTTTCACTCTTTTGGGTATATTACCAAGACTTTATTGCTAAATTGTTATTGTTGTACGAAATTACCTCCCTTTTCATACAATCCATTTCAGATTTGCAGTACCAAAATATGAAGAGGTTGCTAAAAAGATATTACTTTTATTTGGTTCCATTACATTTGAACCCACGTACATTTGAACCCATGACAATTGCACCTGTATGCTATTGCACCTATGGAATTTTTTTTGTTTCACGGATAGTTAAACCCATACTAACCCTAACCCATGGGTTTTAGCACCCGCATATAGATTGAACCCGTGGATATACGCATGGGTTCAAATGTACATGGGTTCAAATGTACGGTCACCCTTTTATTTATATGTAAATCCTACCTAAATCTTAGGCACAAAATTTCACCACAGATTGTTATATTTTTAAAATTCACTAGCACACTTTTACATGACATGACAACATTCTGTAGAGCTTCAACATTTGGATGAAAAACATGGCAATCACCATATTAGTCATTTGGCCCTCGCGTCCATATATTTGAGCATTGCTCTATTGTTATTATAAAACTGTGATTAAATATAAAATATAGTCCACTTTCAAAGTATCTAGAATCAAAGTCATATATAAAGAATCCTTTTATTAATGATGAGGTAAACCAGATAAAAATTCATCTGAATCATGAAAAAAGTAAAACATGGAAAAAAAAAATCGAATATATCAATTCAAAATAGCAAACATCAATGCTGGCAGTGTAATGCATATATAAATTACAATTGAAAGTTGGTGGAGATATAACCATAATTTACATACCTTTGTCTTCCTTATCCTGGACTTGCTTGAGTTTTGAAACACTTATATCCCCTTCCATTCTTGTTAAAATTTACCAGCATTCAGCTATTCAATCTTTTTCAGCACATAAATCCAGTGTTTCGATTTTCAAAAATGCACAGTAAAATATGATCAAGACAATTCAAATGCTCCCTACTTGCAGCATATAATAATGGTTTCATTGTCAGTAACCTAATAGTGTCATTGTTGGGATAAAAATAGCAGGTAGTTCGCTTTTGAAATGAAAAAAAAGATACTGATTTAAGTACTGAGCTTATTCTTCAATGAATTGAAACATAGTACCATATGAGTTTGAAGGAGAAAATCAAGAATATTCAAAACGAATAATGTATTCGAATCAGAACGAAATGGATTTTATTCGATAATTTGAAATCATGATTTTAGAATAGTTTTATTTTTCAAAAATTATCATTTTGAGCAATTTAGGATCCAAAATTGATTAAAAAGTAATTTATTTCTGAAAACTAAATAATAAAGTCCCAACTAAACAAGAATCTATCTAAATTTATACATGATCAAATTCGAACCCATACAATTCTATGTCTTCTTTGTTGAAAATGATACAATTTCTGAATTTAGAATATATTTGGTATTTCCACATTCAAAAATGTAACTAAACAGTTACAAATGAGAGATACTACAGATATAGGCTAGGTCTGCATGACAGGAGTCCATGAATCTGTAACAAATAACTGAGAGCAGGACTGGCTAAACCAAGTCGCAGTCAGTGCAAATAAAAATGTATTGAACAACCGAAATTTCTTGATGTGTTGCTACCATCTAGCGGTTTACAAAGCCGACGTAAAATACTTTCAGCCTATGTCAGATCTGATTGAATTTCATATGAAAAAAGTGCATAAATATTCAAAAAGATATAATAAAAAAAAAGCATTTTGTTAATTTTTTTTTTCTAAAAATTCGGGTATTTCTTTCGAGTATGAAATTTTGACATGCACATTTAGTATTTACAATTTTACACCCTTTCAAAATCTGGCATGTGTGGTCGTCATCCACGTGTGGTTGTTTTGACACACATTGCTTGCTGAAGAAAATTATTCTCTGTATCCTTCAGATATCCATGCAATGTTTAACGTACATACTTCAGGACGTAGAAGGTCAGAAGGTACTTTTTGATTTTCTGTTCATTTCGTTAATGTATATTCACTCTTGAGTTGAATACAATATTCAGTACAGTATATTTTTTTTGTGTGTGCTGGTTTAAACTTAATTAATTCTGTAATTGGGGTTTTGTTTGCTTTTTCTAAGTCAATTAGGCCAAAAGATAGTTTATTCATTCCCTCAACCAATAGACATGAACACAACAAAATATAATTTCACGAAATGTCTGAATGTCAATAAAAGTTGTGTAACAATACCGCACCCTACAGAAATAACAAAGTAACAGCATAAAAACTGACTTATTTACCATATTGAATCTTGGCACCCCCTTATGATACGGTACAGACTGGGCTATACTGCTATAAGGCAGTAAGACGCACCGGTTTTTAAGACCATGGTTTCATATAAATAAAAAACAATGGTCTAGTACTGCTACTTGTTTTGAGTGTATGTAATATAGCATCGGGTTCTAAGGCGCATGTTCAAGTTTGGTAAAAAAGGGTTTGGAAAGCGCCTTATTAGGGTTCTCAAAATACGGTAACAGGAATATGTATTTTAACCTTCCTCGGAGTTTCCTCTCACTGTGCTTCAAGGATGTTTTTTAAAATCTAGGGTGGCTTACCCACTTTGCGGCCATGACCTATCTGCGACCATCAACTTTATCGATTAAATTAATGCCGAAAAAATTAACGAACCGCGACGATATTTCTCACACGTTATCGTCAACTTATCCCACGTAGCTCTGCGAAATTACACTAAAATGTGGCCACAAATAAAAAAGTTACGACCGAAAACCTGACCGAAGAAAAAAAACGGACCATTTTACCATGTCGCCAACTTCCCATTGTTCCTTTAAAAAAGCTTGAAAATCCATACAGATATAAGAGATAAAGAGATGAAACTTGGCAGGTGGGTAGAGTTGTGTTTCTTTTAACCATCTTTAAAGTTTCGCGTTTCTACATTCAAAGGAGGGGGAGTAGGGGGGTGCGCATTTCCAATACGTCAATAATATCTTTGTCAACTAATTTGCGACCACCGTGTTTTTGTCTGTTTGATTGCTGTGATGCGGTGCTTTGTTTATAATTTGAAGAATTTTGTTCGAAATAACCGTGTTCTTAAAATATATGACGGTCAGAAATGCAATTAGAAGCCCATTTTTTCATGCATGGCTGCGTATGCCCTAGTCTCGACGTAGCAGAAACGATGTTCAAGGCTTGAAATCCGTGATCGCACACTGGTCGTTCGGTCGCAAATACGTCTTCAGAGTGTCGTACTTTGGTGGTTTGTATAGCTTTAACCCCTGGTCGTAGGAAGTTAATTCGACGTTCAGCGTGTAGAATAAATGCCAATGCACCTACGGTGAAAAAATTAACGGGTTAGAAATATTGGTTTTTGTTTTATAGCGGTTTGAATGAAATCGTCCGCAGACTGGCTACACCACCCTATTTTTATTATTAAATCTTTTTATGACGATGTTTTGTGGTTGGACACATAATTCAGTTATTCAAAACCATGATGTACCGTACAGATATAAAAGTAAATTTTTAAATTGAACTGAAGTTTTTAGTTATTCAATAATCCTTCAAGGATGTTTTTTAAAATCTATTTTTATTATTAAATCTTTTTATGACGATGTTTTGTGGTTGGACACATAATTCAGTTATTCAAAACCATGATGTACCGTACAGATATAAAAGTAAATTTTTAAATTGAACCGAAGTTTTTAGTTATACAATAATTCAAAACCATCGAGTTAATATTTTGAATTAAATATTGAAAATAATTAGCTGCAAAGGTTATGATAATATTATTTTTATGAATTAAGAGAAAATATAGTGAATGATGAGCCGCCACTAAAATTACTAGTTGTTCCAGGTGTAAATGTATTGTTAGATTGGCTCCTGCCTACAATAAATTGTCACAACTTTATCGCTCCAGGCTTGGGCTGTAGCTCCAACTCCCCATGTTTAGTAAAAAGACCAGTTCCTAATTTTGAATGTTTTGTCCCGATTTAGATAAATAATATTTTAAAAAGTTTCAATTTCTATTATTATTATTGGTCTTTCCATTTTTGTTAATTCTCAATATTCTGTTGAAATCAAACATTGTAATCATATAGCCTACCTACCGGTAATCAAACTTATTCAAGCTCATCCAGAGATATAATTCACAAAAAATGAAATTAAAGTTTTGTTATGTCTACAATATATTCATGGTAGTTCTATTTGATAGTTCATTTTTCTCTTCTAATTGACTTCAATTTGTTAGGAGAGGTGTTTCATCATTATAATATTGTATATTAACTGTTCATGCAAAACCATACATTATGTTATTTTCAGTCCTGATTATCTCACTCGTTGAATTTAGAAGACTATGTCAAGTAGTTGTTTTTTGCTAATGGCAGTAACCAGTCTGATACAGAAGTGTCATACTGACTAAGATCACTTCTTATCATGTCTGTATTGAGTGAACTGTATTTCTATGCATTACAGAAAAGATGACCAACTAAGATGACTTCTTATCATGGTTGAATTAATTGAACAAAGTTTCTATGCATTACAGAAAATTTTAAAATAGTAGACTAGTTTTGACGATCATGTCCGAGTGCAAAGAAAAGCCAACAACTCTTGTACTTGAAGATGGATCAAAATATAATGGCTTTTCTTTTGGTGAAGAAGCGGATGTAGCTGGTGAAATTGTATTTCAGACTGGAATGGTTGGATATCCAGAATCTCTTACTGATCCTTCCTATAGAAGACAGGTTGGTTTATGAATAGAATCTAAAAGTTTAATTTGTTAATTATTTGGAAGACAGAGAAATTGACTTATTATAATTGTCAATATTAACAATTGTCATATTTTCTGATAAAATAGATGCTTGTTCAAATTGCAATGGGAAGAAAATTTACAATATCTTCTGAAGGATAGATGATGTTTTACTATACAAGTTTATAAACATGATTTGGATTGGTTTCATTGTAATAATGGCCACTCATTGCCCAAATACTGTCGTCTTTTTGCAACATGTATTTGTTGTTGGTAATTGGTACAGTTATTCAAATTCATGTTATTCAGTAGTCATGTCTCAAGGCTTAAATTTTAAGGGCGCTAGAAGCTGGCACAATGCAGACATCAATATAGAAACTTCCTTCTTCGAAAACATTCATCAGTAAACTGATATGTATAGACCTAGATATCCATTTTGTATGTATTACCTGATTTGTCAGAGTCTAATTTTGTTATTAATCTAAATTCACTAATTTGCAAGTTGAGAATCTTGTTATTGACTCATTCTACTTGATTGCATGTATTAATTTGGGATAATTTTTGTTTCAGGTTTTGGTTCTTACCTATCCACTTATTGGTAACTATGGAATTCCAGCAGATGATGATATAGATGAATATGGACTTTCGAAGTGGTTTGAATCACAAAAAATACATGTTGCTGCTCTCGTTGTTGGTGAGTGCTGTGAAAAGTACAGCCATTGGTCTGCCAGGCAATCGTTGTCCAATTGGCTAAAAAAGCAGGGAATCCCAGGTATAATGGGCATTGATACAAGGCAGCTCACGAAACACATTCGGTCACAAGGCACAATGCTTTGTAAAGTGTTAAAAGGTAATGCTAGTATTGAAGACAGTGAACGATTGCCATTTTTGGATCCGAACAAAATCAATCTTGTCGCTGAGGTTTCGTCAAACGCCCCAGTTACTTATAATCCAGAAGGAGATGTCCATATTATTGCAGTAGATTGTGGAATAAAGTATAACCAAATAAGATGCTTTTGTAGGAGAGGAGCAAAAGTTACAGTTGTGCCGTGGGATTTCAATTTTCAGCAATTAGATCATGATGGACTTTTTCTCAGCAACGGCCCTGGGAATCCGGAAACATGTTTGCCGACTATCGAATATATCAAAACGTCTGTACAACTCAAGAAGCCGAAACCAATTTTTGGAATTTGTCTCGGACATCAGCTACTCGCTCTTGCAATAAATGCTCAAACAAGAAAAATGAAATACGGAAACCGTGGTCACAATCAACCTTGCAAGCTTGAGGGAACAAACAGGTGTTTTATAACATCGCAAAACCATGGATTCGCTGTGGATGCAACTACACTTCCGGATGACTGGTCTGTTCTCTTTACAAATGCAAATGATAACTCAAACGAAGGTATTGTTCACAAAACTTTGCCCTTCTTCAGTTGTCAATTTCACCCTGAGCACATGGCTGGTCCGGAAGATCTTGAAGTGCTATTTGATGTATTTTTAGAGAAAGTGAGATTGAACAAAGCTGGAGAAAGTGACTCCAAATCTATGTATGAATCCATACATTCCTCTATTGTAAGTAACATTCCGCAACCAGTCACAGAAAAGCCACCACAAAAAGTTCTGATTCTCGGTTCTGGAGGTTTGAGCATAGGCCAGGCAGGCGAATTTGATTATTCTGGTTCGCAAGCAATCAAGGCCTTACGAGAGGAAAACATTAGAACTGTTTTGATCAACCCCAATATTGCCACAGTACAAACGACAAAAGGCCTAGCTGATAAAGTATATTTCTTGCCGATTACTCCTCAATATGTCGACCAGGTTATAAAAAGTGAAAGACCAGATGGTATATTACTAACTTTTGGTGGACAAACCGGTTTAAATTGTGGCGTTGAATTGCAAAAAAGTGGGATTTTGAAAGAATATAATGTTAAAGTTCTTGGCACGCCTGTTTCTTCTATTGAAATGACAGAAGATAGAAAAGTGTTTGCTGATAAAATGCTTGAAATTGGAGAGAAAGTCGCTCCGAGCGATGCAGCATATAATCTAGAAGCTGCAAGAAAGATCGCAAAGAAGCTTGGTTATCCTGTACTCGTCAGATCTGCTTATGCTCTGGGGATTAGGTTCTGGATTTGCAAATGATGAAAGTGAACTTGACAAAATTGTGCAAGCAGCGTTTGCTCACATCTCAAGTGTTTATTGATAAATCTTTGAAAGGTTGGAAAGAAGTAGAATATGAAGTAGTACGAGATGCTTATGACAACTGTATCACAGTTTGCAACATGGAAAATGTCGATCCTCTCGGCATTCACACTGGGGAATCGATTGTTGTAGCACCTAGTCAACTCTAACAAATAAGGACTACAATAGACTTCGGACTACAGCAATCAAGTGCATTCGTCACCTCGGTGTCATTGGCGAATGCAATATCCAATATGCAGTGAATCCTGAATCTGATGAATTTTATATCATTGAAGTGAACGCCAGACTTTCAAGAAGTTCAGCCTTAGCTAGCAAAGCAACCGGCTACCCATTGGCCTATGTGGCTGCCAAACTTGCCTTGGGAAAATCTTTACTTGAGCTTCGTAACAACGTAACTGAGCAAACTACAGCGAATTTTGAGCCGAGTTTAGATTACTGTGTTGTCAAAAATTCCAAGATGGGTTTGAGAAAATTCCATAGAGTTAGCACTAAGATAGGAAGCAGCATGAAGAGTGTCGGTGAGGTAATGGCGATTGGACGATGTTTCGAAGAAGCAATTCAAAAAGCACTGAGAATGGTTTGCCGAGATTGGAATGGATTTTCATATGATCTTGCAGAAGTTAGTGACGATGATTTATCTACACCGACAGATAAAAGGATTTTTGTGCTCGCTGCTGCACTCAGAGCTGAATATAGCATAGATAAGTTATATGACTTGACTAAAATCGATAGATGGTTTTTGCACAAATTTCAAAATATCATTAACATGACAAGGGTTCTTGAAGGTTACAAGTACGTTGCATCTCTGCACGATGATTTTCAACCAGTACCAAAAGAAATACTACTTCGAGCAAAACAGTTAGGATTTTCTGACAAGCAAATAGCTGTTGCAAACAAATCAACAGAAACTTCATACAAAAATGTCGTAAAGAGTATAAATATCTCCGCATGTGAAATGTATTGATACTTTGGCCGCAGAATGGCCAGCAGTTACAAATTATCTCTATTTGACATATAATGCGAATGAAAGTGATACCGATTTTCTGGGTGGTCATATCATGGTAATTGGTTCCGGTGTATATCGCATAGGTAGCAGTGTGGAATTTGATTGGTGTGCTGTACAATGTATCACTGAACTGCGAAAAACTGGGATATAAAACAATCAGTTGAATTGCAATCCTGAGACTGTAAGCACTGATTATGATGTTTGTGACAAGCTATATTTTGAGGAAATCACACTTGAAATTGTGATGGATATCTATGAAAAAGAGCAGCCGGAGGGTGTCATCCTTAGCATGGGAGGTCAATTGCCAAACAATATTGCAATGGGGCTTCACAGACAGCAAGTAAGAATTTTGGGATCATCTGCTGAATCAATCGACAATGCTGAAAATCGATTTAAATTTTCGAGAATGCTGGACAATGTCAATATTAGTCAGCCACAATGGAAAGAGTTGACAACAGCTTCCTCTGCAGAAGAGTTTTGTGATCTTGTGGGATATCCTTGCCTTGTAAGACCGTCCTATGTTCTCAGTGGTGCTTCCATGTCTGTTATTCACTCACCTAACGAACTGAAAGAATATCTTATAAATGCGGGCCAGGTTTCTAAAGAACATCCGGTAGTAATATCTAAATTTATTTTGGAAGCCAAAGAAATAGACGTAGATGCTGTTGCCAAAGATGGAGAAGTGATTGCAATGGCAGTTTCAGAACACGTAGAAAATGCTGGCGTGCATTCTGGTGATGCAACATTGGTCACACCACCTCAGGATTTGAACCGAGCAACTCTAGAAAAGATTGATCAAATCGTCTGTGCCATTGGTATTGAGCTCGAAGTGAATGGCCCTTTCAATTTGCAACTCATAGCAAAGGATAATGAGTTGAAAGTTATTGAGTGTAATGTTCGTGTATCAAGGTCATTTCCTTTTGTATCTAAGACTCTGAATTATGATTTTGTTGCAGCTGCAACTAAAGTAATGGTGAATCACCCAGTTGAAACTGTAGGTTGTGTACTGGAGGCAGAAAGAGTTGGTGTGAAAGTTCCTCAATTCTCTTTTGCTAGATTAGGTGGCGCTGATGTGATGCTGGTGTTGAAATGGCATCTACAGGTGAAGTTGCATGTTTTGGAAGCAGCAGGGAGAGTCTTATTTAAAAGCGCTGCAGAGCACTGGATTCCGAATGCCAAAGAAAAATATTTTCTTGTCAATTGGAAGTTACAAACACAAAGCTGAACTTCTACCATCAGTCCGATTATTGCATAGAATGGGGTAATGCCTTTTTGGTAAAGCCTTGGTACTGCTGACTTTACACTGAACATGGAATTGAAATTAAATCAGTTGATTGGCCTTTTGATGAAGCAAGTGTCAGAGGTAGTTCTGACCAGCAGCTGTCAATAATGGACCGTTTAGCTGACAACCAATTTGATCTTGTAATTAATTTACCCATGCGAAATGGCGGTTCAAGGCGCATTTCATCGTTCATGGACGCATGGATATCGTGCTCGTAGAATGGCCGTCGAATATTCTATTCCTCTAATAACGGATGTGAAATGTGCAAAACTGTTTGTTCAAGCTTTGAGAGATGTTGGTGGGGAACCGAAAGTTCAACCCCGTCTTGACTGCATCACTTCCCGCATGTTAATTAAACTTCCTGGTCTTATAGATGTGCACGTCCACGTACGAGAACCTGGTCAGACTCATAAGGAAGAATATTCAACTTGTACAGCAAGTGCTTTGGCTGGTGGAATCACCATGATCTTAGCAATGCCTAATACCAGTCCTGCAGTGATTAATGAAGAAACCATAAAACTTACCAAGAGCCTTGCCGAAGCTGGTGCGCGATGTGACTATGGAATTTACATGGGAGCAGCGAAAGAAAATGCCTTGGATGCCGCGAGTGCAAGTGAATATGCAATCGCCCTTAAAATGTATTTGAATGACACTTTTACTACGCTAAAAATGGATAACATGACATACTGGATAAAGCATTTTGAAGCATGGCCTAAAAATCTTCCGATTGCGTTCATGCTGAAAGGCAAACAATGGCTGCTGTATTGTGGTTAGTGGAACTGTACACAAGGCCTGTGCATTTTTGTCATGTTGCTCGCGCAGAAGAAATACAGATGCTTCGTTTGGCTAAAGATCGTGGTTTACCCATTACTTGCGAGGCTGCACCACACCACTTATTCCTGACTGAGGATGACCTGGACACCATAGGTCATGGACGAGGTCGTGTTTGTCCATCACTCGGCACAAAAGCAGATCAGGATGCGTTATGGGAAAATTTGGACATTATTGACTGTTTCGCGACGGATCATGCTCCACATGCAGTTTCTGAAAAGGATAGACAGCAACCATTGCCACCACCTGGATTCCCTGGGCTTGAAACTATGCTACCGCTCCTGCTAAATGCAGTAAATGAAGGGCGATTAACCCTTGAAGACTTATTTTTACGATTGCACACTAATCCAATGAAAATTTTCAACTTGGCTCCACAACCCAATACCTATGTTGAAGTAGACATGAATGAAGAATGGATCATACCATCTGAGATGCCGTTCACTAGATCTAAATGGACACCATTTGCTGGTATTAAAGTGAGAGGTGCCGTTAAGAGGGTGGTCTTGCGTGGAGAGGTTGCATATATTGATGGTAAGGTCCTTTTACGTCCAGGTTCTGGCATGGATGTTAAAAAGACTACTCAACCACCCCAGTGGTTTCAAATGTACAGAAAACTACAGCCTTAAAGGTTTCTGTTCCAGAAATGCCTTTTACTACTCAGCAAATTAGCCCCAGGCCTGGTACTTCTGAAGGGCAACTCGGATTACCACCTAAAGTACATAGAGTATCAGAACCACCTAGTGGCCTACCAATACCACATTTTGGACCAGTCGGTGATGCAGGTTCTGGTTTATTGATGACAAAGAGAATTGAAAGTGACAAAGGTATGACACCTCAAAATGCAAATGTGCTTAGGGGAGCTATATTGGGAAGTGGAGGAATATCGGGTAATTTGGAAGGTAAACTTCATCCTCAACATGGTTTGGTTGGTTCTGATGTATTGAAGGTTTCCCAATTCACCAAAGAACAACTTCACCATTTATTCAATGTGGCTCATGCTCTTCGTAACATGGTACAAAGAGAGAAATATCTTGGAAACATTCTAAGCGGACGAGTTATGGCATCTTTGTTTTACGAAGCCAGCACGAGAACAATGTGCTCTTTTCATGCTGCAATGCATCGCTTAGGTGGATCCGTTATTGCAATGAACAAAGCGTCATCATCTGTGTTAAAAGGTGAATCTTTAACCGATTCTGTGCAAGTCATGTCTGGTTACTCTGACATTATTGTGTTGCGCCATCCAGAACCAGGAGCTGTAGAAAGAGTTGCAAGGCACGTCAGAAAACCTGTCATCAGCGGGGGAGATGGAGTTGGAGAACACCCTACTCAAGCTTTGCTCGATGTCTTCACTATTCGAGAAGAACTTGGAACAGTCAATGGAATGACTATAACCATAGTTGGAGATTTGAAGAATGGTCGGACTGTTCATTCACTTGCTCGTTTGCTAACTTTGTATCGTGTCAGTCTTCGCTATATTTCACCAGAATCATTGGAAATGCCAAAAGACACTTGCGACTACGTCACATCCAGAGGAATTCCACAACGTGTTTATTCGTCTCTTGAAGAAGCTTTGCCTGATACTGATGTTCTGTACATGACTAGGATTCAAAAAGAACGTTTTCAGTCGAACGAAGCATATGAAAAAGCAGTCGGAAAATTTGTGCTCACTCCACATTTGATGACAAAAGCCAAGCAAAACATGGTGGTCATGCACCCACTACCAAGACTTGGTGAGATCAAAGAATCTGTTGACAGTGATCCTAGAGCTGCTTACTTCCGCCAGGCCGAGTGTGGACTGTATATCAGAATGGCATTGTTGTGCATGGTTCTTGGAAAGTATTGATTGTAAATCTTTTGATAAACCTGACATTTTTACCATTGTGTCTCTTCACTTGCTTCTTTCTGTAAATATTACGTCTTTTTGTTGCTAATGTTTGAATTTGTAAGATGAGTTGTGATAATCATTAAAAAGATTGATTGTGAACAAATTTGAAATCTAATGTAACCATTTTTTGATCAATCATACTCGAAGGCAATCATGATAATGTCATATGATATTTCATCTTCGTTTGTGTTTCTTATGCGGAATTTTATAACTCTTCACCTTTTACATGGTTATGATCATTTTGACCTAGTTTGTGTATTTCTGCCATTTTCAAGTCTTCTGCAATGGAACAAAATAATTGCCATATTTTGACATTGATTTTCTGTGGAAATTACACAAGTGTTATATCTTTTTTAATGTTTACATTGTAACCGCTAATCCAAATGCGGTAGAGCATCCAAAAAGTTAAACTATATGTATCTACTGAATGTCATAAATGCCAAAACTGAAATTTTATTTGAGCTGTAACCAAAAAATACATTCCAACCACAAAATATTAATATCTGTACTTATAAAGACAAACTAAATGTGTGGACCCTTAAACTTTACTTCTTTTATTACGGCCTTTGTGTAAACAGTCTATCCTCAAATTTGAAATTTCATGACAATCAAAAATACCAAAACTGTGTGCCTAGTTCAAGTGTAAACATTACATAAAGATAATTTGGTAATATCTCATCTCTGCGAATTTGTTCCCCAATCATATCATTACCATCTTTTACTCCCATTATTTCAAAATATTTACCTGAATGATAATTGGACGAAATCAAATCATCAACGGAAATAATGAAAGCGAATGCTGCCTCGCACCATATGGTACTTAATATTTCATTACATTATGTTTAAAAGTGTAATATTGCTTTTGCATCAAATACTGAATTGCCATGTCCAAAACTTTTCTCATATTTCAATTTTTTCCACCTGCCATGACCAAAATAGTGTAGAAATTTCCATTTCAGTATGCTGCTTTGTGTTTAAATTTTTCTCCCAAGGGCAGGCAGCAAAACCGTAATGATTGTTTTGATTCAAGTGGTACATTATTGGTAGGATTAAAAGTAGAAAATGGTGATGCAACAAAATGTTAAATTTGTTATTATTTTCAATTGAAAGCACATGATATCCAAGCAAAAATCTGATCAGGATCTACCACCTGGCTGAGAAAAGCTGATAACATGACATGAAAACATTAGTGCAAACCACAAATTCTGGTCCTAGTCAGCCTTTGGATTAGTTTAGTATCCAATTGAATGGACTAAACTGGTATTATAGAAATTTTGTGTAAGAAAATTTTGTTTTTTGAACCATTTTTTTTGAATACTCATCAACATGATGGTGAAAATTAATGAGCCAATAAAAGAGTCTTAATATGTTACCCAAATGTGATATTATGTGAAATACCTTGTTTCATGACTTGACCAAATATTTGCATTTTGTAGTAGGGTATTGGTTTCTTATTATTGTGTGAATAATATTGAGACAATATATTGGTAATATCTTACCAATGAACGTGAAATAAGTTTGAATGTTTTGATATTACATGGAAAAGTTATCATTAGGTCCTATCTGACTCTTAATGTGAATCAACACAGACCAGTATTGCATTCATTACAAATAATTCTTCCACAATAGAGCTTTTGCAATATTTACGAATTTTCCACTGCTGCTATTGCTTCTGCCAATTTTTCTATGCTTGCCAACTGTGTGAATTTGTTATCAAATTTTTTTTCTGCATCTCTTGTCATTTCTTTGGTAGTTTCAAACCTCATCGATATGCGGGTGAGGACAAATAGCTGAAAGAAGTGTAGAACTAATGTACGCTTCATCATCGTTTCCTTGTAAGGCTGTATTTAGACTGCATAGTGCAAATGAATTCAAATTAGGAAAGCTTAAGTATGGCTATCTTTAAGGATGATGCTGTTCGCAAGTTCGATTTCAGAAATTTGGATACCGACTGTGTACTGTAGAGCTTGGTGCTCAATGCCACTTCATGTACATTCCCTGATGACTGAAATAATCTTGTGGCTTTTTCGTTTGGGAGTAGCCTATACAAATAGCGATTTTTTTCGATACAAATTTGAATCATCTACAGGGGTATGTGCCACCTTTGCGCTAGTCGTCTCCATTTGATCAAAATATAAACTCTCTTCGAAACGAATCACGCATAGTATATACCGTAGGTCAGGATAGCTGACTGGAAAGACGAGATTCATATTTGTTATACTCTTCAGGTCCATGAATTAAAATCGAATCTCCAGTTACCTATCCCATGTCCAACGTTGATTTGAAGTGAGTGGCTTGCCGTAGCCTACCGTGTTATTGGGCGGTTTGTCATATTTCTTTTCCTCGGATAGATATGGAAATAATTCCGTTTGCAAAGCCGCATCACCTCTAGGTCGCCAGGGTATTTTTTCGTTAAACGTTGGCTCAAGACTAGACGTTTCGGCCCACGCATTTTTCGTTAATGAAAGTGGAGTATTTGGAGAGCGCTTATTTGTAACATCATCTCTGGGTGAGGCCAATGACATTAAACAACATGATAGGCAACTCTGACGTCACTCCATAAGACTACAGGCAAAACATTGTATTTCATGATACGCTCCAATGCACATATTTCTCGTCGCCTTTCGCGTCCGTTTTCCGCTCGCTTTTGCTACTCGGCGTCTTTTTTACGTGTAGTACCTGCCTTTTTGCGCCTGTAACGAAACAAAATAATCTCTATATCTAAGAAGTTTTGCTTACTTGGAAAGCTGGAATAACAGGCAAGCTGTAAAGAGCAATTCTGGACATCATAGACGTTTTTTTTTTATCAGAGAAGATTACAAACGCGATAGCGGAAAGATTTGTGTGGAACATTTTGCAGATAATGACAAAGTTCAAAGTTAGTAATTTTAATGTTTGTGCTTAATCATTGAAATTTCATTTAAAGAGGGTGTCATACAAAACTGTGCTGCGATACAATTCCATAGCACAAAGTTTGCACCTATCGAACTTGCTTTTGTAGGTGAATTTATTAGACATATTACATATTCAGTTAATCGTAGGTAACATTGCTGGTACATAATGCATCGTAGATAGGTTTGTTTAAATTTAGGAATTTAGCTCATAGCCCACTAATTAATATTATCTTCTATGCAGGAGGTTGCAGGGCTGAATTCAACTTGCAGCCTTACCGATCACCTGACGATGCTCATTTAGTTTGGCTCGAGCAAGTCTTCTTGAAATGCTTGTGTGGATGGGAACTACCTATATTTTTTGCCTTCCTCCGATTTTAGACAAATTTATTCTGAGGGATTTCGCATATAATTCTCACTGATTGTTGGCTGTTTATAATTCCTATTGATTGTGAATTCTGATTATAACAATGAGTTGAAATTTTTTTTACCTAATTTACTGGCACCTTTTTCTTGTCAATACTCCAAGCTGAGGTAATAAACATGACAATACATTTATGTCATCTGGAAGCAAAATATGCACACTAATTAATAGTTTGGCACATTGAGATAATACATCATGACAGAAAATACAAGTTAAAGATATGTATGACCATCACATGGTAATTAAAATTAAAAAAAATTAATAGGGGCTGTGGAGTATGGAAAGTTCAAGACAAAGAAAAGAACAAATGTTCATAGCTCATGAACTCTCAAGTTTGCCTCCATTGCTTTGTGAAGGCCAATATATTTCGAGTGGCTGAATTGGTTTACCTTTATGATAGCAACGATTTTGTATTTAATATAGCGAGATTATTTCAATTTAATTGAAGTGATATAATTTCCCAAAGCAATGCTTGAATCGTCTAGAATAGATCAGTGGTGTCAAACTCATGGGTTTTCGAGAGCCGCATTGCATTTTGAAAATTGTAAAAAGAGCCGCAAACAGTTTTTGATAATGTATACTTAAAAGATATTTTTAAGATAGTTTTACTTTGTGACATATATTGTGATGCAACTAAACAGTTGGATTAAGTTTTATTATTTTCTTCAATTTCAAATGCAATTACATATTAATATTTGCATTCCACTATTATTGCAACATTTGCAAGTTACAGTATTTATTATAAAAAATCGTAAAATTCTATGTACAACCATCAAAATCATTTTTGAACAAGCTTTGAATAAGGAAAGAATAATACATACACTAAAAATAACTTAATCTAAATATATGAACCTAAAATTAACAAAAATACTACAGTATAAACTCAATGTTTTAATAATTACATTTGTCCTGGCGTTTGGCATCTTTTTTGTGTCACCAGCATACTAAGGCCAGTCTGAAATGATTTTATAGTACCAACTCTAACTAACGAGGCCACATGATCATGGGGTTATCTGGATCTTTACGAATGTTTAATTAATTCCAGTAATGCAAAAAAGTTACTTTTATCATTTCATGTATAGATCAGTAAAAAAACAAATGACAGATTTTTTCGACAAGACATTTCGCACTACATTGCGTGGCATAGGATTGCTTGAATTATTATTGATATTGATTTTTAGTAACTAAGTCGTTGTATAATTATATTAATATACAAACACATGGAAATTTTCTGTTCGAAGTTGGTCTTCGAATTTGTCATATTGACTGCTGAGCTTATTGTGTTTTTTGATTGTATTGATGGAAATATGACAAATTAAACAATGTGCTTCAGAATTTTGTGAAGAGCAGAAATGTTACAACTCCAATTTTCTTCGAAAATGCCACCTTCTTCATGTACTTTGCGTTTAATTTAATTACTCAAGTGTTTTATTCAAGTATTCTTTTGCTAGCTTGATGTGTATTCTTAATTGGGTCAAAATGTGGACAAAAAAAATTAATATTCCAAAACTACTTTCAGTAAATTGTTTTCTGTGTGAATAATCAATTTCACTTTAGAAGGCTTGAAAAATCTATTACATTTAGATAAAAAAAAAACTTCCAAAATACTATTACAATTATTGTTAAGCGTTCGAGGGCCGCACTGGAAGTTCTCTGGGGCCGCGAGTTTGAGATCCCTGGTCTAGATTGAAGTTGTTCAAAAAATATATGATAGTATTTTATCATAAATGATGATTATACCCCTTCCGGAATTTCTTCTATAGTACTACCAAAAGTTGATGAACCAAATATAACACAGGTGCAGTGAGGTACCCGTAATCCTCATTTCCAAAGCTGTTTTAAGTATGTCTGGCGTGTTTTGTGCCTTTTTACAAATAAGACCGCTTATGCAATCTTACGCTTTGGAATTTTTAGTTATTTTCCTCAAGCCCTGCAGGATGTGGGGGCCATACACAACTCTACCGGAGGGTCAAATGTCTTTGCATGCCTCCATAGGTTGTTTTTCTATTGCAATTTTCTATTTTCAATTGCATTATATTTCTTGGAATCACACTGTCACTGATATGTCGCCAAACTTCTGATATCTCCCCGTCTGCTATAGTTGTCCTGTGAATAAATAATAGGAAATTGAGATTAGACGAATAGTTGAAACTTTTGCTTTCTGTCGGCTTAATTTCTTGATTGATATACTTACTATTTCTGCTATTGCCTCTTGTGCTGCAAGAGTCTCACAATGCTTAGACAGGTTTGTCCACAACTTTCACATCTGAAGAGTGAGAGGAGATTTATTAATTTTCGTTAAGAATAAATAAAGCAGTCTATATGATTCAGAATGGAAAAGCTAATAAATCCAATATCTCATGTTTTATTTAAAAAATATTTTACTGAATTTGGTATATAAACCAACTAATAAAAGGGTTTAGTCAGAAAATTACAAGCATTCGTGGCTCCAAATACTTGAGAAATCAGACTATACAATATAGACCGGTATGAGTGAAATGTTAGGTGAACTTGTTAACACTTTGATTCAATACGCAAATAAAAGTGAATGCGTAATAGTATGTTACAATGAGCAGCAATCAACAATGAGTATATATCCTCACTGATTAAAAAAATCTAACTGGAGGTGCATGAACTATTTGAAACCATAAGGGGTAAGTAAATATGTAATTTCGGCAAATGGGCAACTACGTACCGTACTGAAATAATAACTTCGTAGTATTTGACAAAGGCTGGCTTTCCCACATGTACTTAACAGTGCGATGCCCGGGTGTGATATACAACAATAGTATTCACCTTACCTTTTGCCAATTTCTTTTTACCCCAACTTTCAAAAATATCATTAAAATCGACAACAACTGTCAAAGCAGGCACGAACACCATTCGTGCTACGCCTTGAAAGCAGCACACATCCGCTCGTTTTCGTCTCGTCAAGTATGTGCATTGGAGCGTGCTATCGAATACGATCTTCGGACAAAAATGCCGGAGTTGCGCATCATGTTGTTTAATGTCATTGGTGAGGCGGGAATGTAAATAAGGCGCTTAACACGTGACCAGTGTGTCAACACTTGCCGACATCAGCCGGTTTGTGTTATTGTTTTTCATCTCCAAATTGCTGCATATGCAGAAATACCTAATACTGTAAAAGTAGTTTGTTTAGGCTGTGTTTTTGGTACTTGATATGGAAGTTAAACAAGATTACGACTACGCTGCTGAATATGCGAAAAGCAACAGATCACAGTGCAAAGGATGCAAAAGTTTGATAGCAAAAGATTCTCTCAGAATCGCGTTGATGGTTCAATCTCCCTTTTATGATGGAAAGGTAACTGTTTGTTTTCTGAATTGAATGTAAGAAAAAAGATTGTACTAACCTACCGAATTCGTTTATCTAATTACTAGCCTACATTGCTAATGAGGCGAAGTACACATCCAGAATTTAATACTGAATACAGGAATATTGTATTATGGTATGGCTGTATGACAAATTCTATCCGAGTAATACCAAATAACTGAATGAAGGAATTCAACAAACTATTACCCCTGTCATTCCAACTACAGCTCTTGGTCAATTCTTTGTTTTATTTTTAAAACATAATAATGTCTGAATGTAATCAATGTAGGCTATCTAAAATACCTTATTGGCTTGGATTTGAGGTTAATTTAATAAATTACATAAAAATTTTGTTTTAGCAACCCAATTGGTATCACTACTCGTGTTTCTTTGGAAAATGTCGTCCAACGAATACTGAAGAAATAAAAAATTTCAACAGTTTACGATTTCCCGATCAAGAAAAAATACAGGCTCAAATTGACGGTTTTGCTAGTGGTGCGAAAACTAGTAAAAAAGGACCAAAGGTACCGGGTACTTGAATTGCATGATTCAGAATGATACAATTCATGGGAAATTGGTAGCCGAAATTATGTACAGGTTAATTATTGAACCAGTCTTAGGTCAGTAAGGTCTCGAACATGTATCCCGTCTCTGTTATATCCTTCAATTATTTTTGAGGCAAATAAACAAACATGCGATACCTTTCCTACTGCTTTATATAATGAGAATAATAGGCCTACAGTATATTGCAATTTATTTCTGATATTGGAGTATATTTGTTATCGCTGTTGTTTATTATTTCCATTTTACTTCTTATGTTATCAGATAATCTCAAAAACACTCAAAGATTTTGTGGTTCAGTATGCAACATCGAGTCGAAGTACTTGCCGAGGTTGTGATAATAAAATTGAAAAGGATGAAATTAGATTATCTCACAAGGAGAAACATCCAGAAAAACCGCAGGTTCCTTATTTGAATATGTTCACAAGCTTAAATTTGTGCTATAATTAGTTAACCATTCAGTTGCTTGGCTGGAATTTCTCTTTATCTTGGAGCCACAGAAAAATGACATAATACTACCTGTTGTTCATGATACTCTAACACAACAAATCAATTGACTATTTGTTTGACGGAAGGAGGAAAATTTTCTACACAAGCGTAAATTTTATAAAATTTCACTTCGCCCAACTGTTATTTTCTGATGTTTGATTATACATTTAACAGATAATTAGTTTTGGGGTTGTTTAAATCAGTCCATCAACTTCCATGTATATTATTTTTAAAATATAATTTTTTTACCCAGCTGGGATTGGTAGATAGATGGCATCATGTTGGATGTTTTCTCAAAAAGAAAGATGACATGGGATGGCAGCAACATTTCACTGCAGAAATGTTAACAGGTTTTAATGGATTAGATGCTGAAGACAAAGCCAGCATCAGGAAATTATTAGCACCTAAGGAGAAACGATCTAAATCAAAAACAGATGCGAGTGCTGCCTCATCTGCCTCTGCTCCAGGTGAACAAAAAATCTGCTTCATAGTGAACAAAACATTATGGCTCTTCATATTATTCGGGTCAATCTATGTTGGTTCCTTATAAATAACTCAAATTCTCAGGATTAGTAATGCCTCCTATATTCAATTTTGAATGGAAAGATAGAGCCTATCTTTGAATATGGACAAATTCTTTATTGACAAGAAAGATATTTGTTATCAATTCCACAATTGCATAAAATATTTTTACAGATCCTGCTAAAGAAGAATTGAAAAAGAAAATGAAGAGTCAGTCAATATTGATGTGGAAGAACATTGACAAATTGAAAAAACTCGATATGAGGAAAGATGAATTAATTAGATTGCTAGAATACAATAAACAAAGAGTACCAACTGGAATCGATGCCATTTATCTCGCTATTGGTGATGGAATGACTTTTGGTGCTCTTCCACTTTGTACAGAATGCAAAGGAAATTTAGTTGTTGGAAGCCACGATTATCACTGTACCGGTCAGATTTCAGAATGGACAAGTTGTAGTTACAGCACAACTGAGATTGTGAGAAATCAATGGTCATTCCCAAAATATGCTAAAGAAATGGATGATTTTTTTAGCAAGTATAAATACAAAAAGCTGGATAGGGTGTTTCCACCAAGAGCTGCACCGTTACCACTGAAACAAAAGAAGGTGTTGCTTATTGGAAAATTATCAACCTCTAAAAGTGATATCAAAGCTGCGTTGGAGAAATTGGGAGGTGGTGTAACCACTACTTTGGGAAAGGCTTACTTCTGTGTCAGCACCAAACAAGAAGTTCAAGCAATGGGAAAAAAGATTTCTGATGCTCGAGTGCAAGATGTTTTTGTTGTTTCGGAAGAAATCATTACAGCGCTTGAAAGTCAGACCTCTCCACAACCTTTGATCACTTTTCTCAAAAAATATTCCATTGCTGAATGGGGAACGGAACAAACAGATCGAGGTGGTGGTAAAAGGGCATTAGAAGAGGAAAAATATGAAACAAGTGCCAAAAAAATCAAAATGGTTGTTAAGTCCGGTGCAGCTGTCGACCCTGAATCTGGCCTGGAGGATCGTACTCATGTTATGGTAAGCATGGATTTAACGTAGGTATTCCAGGCATTTATTGAGATTAGTTTGGTAAGTTTATTCATTTTTGCAATTTACTCTCATTTGGAGGAGAATAAGAGCTTAGTTTTGAGTAAACATACAATATTGCTCGATTAGACCTATAATATTTTTTTATCATGTGACAGGGATTATATGCAGAGAGAAGCATTTTTTACTCAATAATAACAAGAATTTATGATTCTTATGTACACTTCATATCCATATCATATCATTTTATAGCTTTTTACTAATGATGTTTAAACAGGTCAAAGGAGATTTGAAATACACTGCAACACTTGCAATGGTGGACATGAAACATGGATCTAACTCCTACTATAAACTTCAGGTTAAGTTATTTTGTATTCATTACTTGAAGAGAAAAGCTAATTTTTCTTAACCACAACAAAAATTTTAAAAAGAACAACAACAACGACGACAAATTATCTGATCAAGATATGAATTGACTTTTTTTTAAATAAGGTAGTTGGCTATATCGTATTTAAATTATTTCTTGCAGTTACTTGAGTCTGACTCTGGGAAAAGGTTTTACGTATTTCGATCATGGGGTCGAGTGGGTACATCTATTGGAGGAACGAAGCTTGACAACTTTTATTCTGCAGAAAATGCAATTATCAATTTCCGAGAATTATATCTAGAAAAAACAGGTATATTTTATAAATTCGTGGAAATATTCATGAATATTGTGTTACTTCCACTGTGATCGGACATAGCAAAAAATTTTGGACAAAAATACTAGTCTTCATAATCAACTTCACAAAGCGACTAAATTTAAAAATTTTAATCAAATTACATCTACATCACCATACTGTTGAGATATGGCTGTTTGAAATAAGTGTTTAAATATATATACGACTTTGAATTTGGACTAGCAGGAATGTTAAGATAAACACTTATTTGATTGGTTTTCCAATTTTTACAGGTTTATAAAATTAATAATTTTTAAGTAAGTTTATAAAATAATTTTTCAGACTAGACAATTCTAAATTTTTTTTAAAATGACGAATTCAAATTCCTAATTTATTTTCACTACTCTTGAATCGCCATTTTTATATTTTTAATCAAGGTAATAATTTTGGAACAAAAAATTTTCAAAAGTTTCCGAGGAAATTTTATCCACTCGAAATTGATTACGGAGAAGATGACGAAAAACTAAAAAGCTTACAAAGTGCAGGAAATAATTCGAAACTACATGATGAAGTTCAGAAAATTATCAAAATGATTTTTGATATTGAGAAAATGAAACGAGCGATGGTGGAATTTGAGGTTCGATTTAGTTGGATTCATGTGAAATCAAACGATTCTAAAAATTATTTGAAGTAAAATTTGATTTAAACTGCAAGGTGGCGAGCTACCTATATACCAAACCAAAGGAGTGAAGCTATAGCATCTCGAGTCTGAATTCTAAATCCTGGACTCTTGCATCAAAATTTCTTTTGCCTTTGCCTAGGGCTAGTTATAATTATGTTATTATAGAGTCAAGATTATTCAAATATTTGTTTTTATTGTTGGTTATTTCAGGCAGTTATTGTAACTTGCGGCCTTGTTCAGTGTGAATCTGTTACAAAGAAATAGACAAAAACAACTACATAGTCAATATAAATTTTTTCGAGAATAATTTTATTCGAATTCTCACAGCGTTTAACTGAAAATTTTTTTTTTTATTTTTTCCAAAACTTGCACTGTTTAGAATAGCATTGTTCTTGCTATTAAAATCCTGCATACCTTTAGTAGACTTCTAAAGAAGGATTACTTACAAATATGTGAAGTAATAGAATCTTTGAAACATTCAATATTTTTCATTCATAATCCAGATTGATCTGAATAAGATGCCATTGGGTAAACTCAGCAAACGACAAATGCAAACGGCCTATTCTGTTTTACAAGAAGCTTCAGAGGTGATTTTTTACCTATTTAGTACTGTAGTTCTTATTTCTAAATTTCTCAGCTATGTGAAAAACAAATCGGTTATCGGATCTATTTAAAAATATTTACATTCAATATTTTAAGATATTAATTTCAAGAATAATTTAGAAAAGTTTTGTATGACTAATAACTGTATCATTGACCAAAAATACCATATATACCAACTACCGAGCAAATCATTGTTGTTCTCATCTTTTCTGCATTTCCAAATTCAAACTCATTGAATATTCATTGGCTTATCCAATGAACATGAACTAATTTAGAAAATATTCAGCATCCCATATTCAAGAATAATATTACATAACATATTCAGAATAGTAGATTATATATTCGATTTTGAAAATCAGTGCTACCAAGAATAGAAGATAATAAAATGCATGGTAAAGAATTATAGTGATTATACTAATATTCTAACCGATAAAAACCTGATAAAAATAAGAGGAAATATTTTGGTGACCTGTCTATAATTTTCAATAATATTTCGATCCTAATTGCCATGTCTTTGTTAAATGATCCATTGATGTACTTTTTGATTTCTTCCAATGTCTGAGTTTGAAATGCAGACTGATCTGACTTAAATCAGGTCATTTTAGTACTTAAGTAGCCTGGTGACCTTATTTGTGGTTAAGTGAACATTGATTCCATTTTGATCTGGGATTACAAAAGAATGTAATGCTCAAATATCAGAGCATCAAATGTTAATGACCTACAAATGACTAATATGTCCACTGTAATGTCAGCAAAATTTCTGCCAAATGTGAGAAAAAAATATTGGAATGCCATATTCACTGTTAGGTTCTCTGAATTACAAAAATCAGCAAATCTGGTTGAAATACCAGGCTCTGAAAAAGTATAAAAATCAGAAAAATAATAACCATTTGATGACTACTATCTTCAAGAACTGAAAATTTGAAATTGATTGAACCATTAATTGTGGAGGAAAGCGATTTTTAAAAATCCATAGGTATACTCCACAACCAATAACCTCAACACAATAATTTCTTTCAGTTGATTGACAGAGGCGAGCTGACAGGACCGAAGATTCTAGATTGTTCGAATCGTTTTTATACATTGATTCCTCACGATTTTGGAATGAAGCAACCTCCAATGCTTGATAACTTGGACCTGATAAAATCAAAGGTTATTTTACTATTTTTTTATTATATTTTAGCTTGGTAAAGAGAGTACTTGGAAATTACCGCTGTATTTATTTGTTATTAGGTGGAAATGATAGATAATTTGCTTGATATAGAGGTGGCATATAATTTATTGCAAGGAGATAAAGACGTCAAGAAAGAAGATGAAGAAGTGGATCCACTTGATGTTCAATACCAAAAATTACAATGCGAAATCAAGGTAATTTTTAAGGAAAGTTCATGGTATCTTATCTTTAAATTATCTCTAAATTATAAATCTTCAAATTGTGAAGTGGCCCTGTATTTGACAGAATATGAGGGCTTGAATTGGGAAAAACTAATCATTCTGGGTGGGATTACAGAAGTGAAGAAACATCTGGTTAGAATGATCACATTGCATCAAAATAAATGCATCAAAATATATCAATATCATCACTATTATTAATAAATGTCTCAAGGAAACTTAAACTAATGAAGTAAATTATTCAGTTTTTGCCATTTCTCGATTATTGTAAAATTTTTATAACTTTATGTGATTGGGGACATTTATCTTCATTGCTCGCAACAACGCTGCGCAATACTTACTACGAAGCGGGTCAAGCTTCAAAAACTAACTGTTGTGAAATTTGAATTGTAGCCTCTGGAAAAAGATCATGACATGCACAAAACTATTGTGAAAATGGTAAAGAACACTCATGCCAAAACCCATTCAGGATATTCTCTTGAAGTGGAGCAAGTTTTTGAAGTTGACAGGAAAGGTATGTTGAATTTTATATCGGTTATTGGTTAGTTGACACATGCTAGTCACTGTCTAGAAAATTCGTCATGGTAGATATTTTTGTATTTTCGTTTCAAAAAAATAAGAAAAACTATGTTGTTTGTACATTTTATGACACACATTGTATAAAATATTATTTTTAAAACTTTTCATGAAACTATATGAATACAGGAGAGCGCTCAAGATTCAAGCCATTTAAAAGTCTTCCCAACAGACGACTGCTATGGCACGGTTCTCGTGTCACAAATTATGCTGGAATTTTATCACAAGGGTTGAGAATCGCTCCACCTGAAGCACCTGTGGTAAGTTGTTCCCAGATTCAGAAAACTATCCGAGAATATGAGTGATTAAACAGTATGTATCCAACTTATTGTGAGAACTTGAGAATTATTCCAAAACTAAATTCATCAGGATAAAGGTTTGTAATTATGGCTCTGGTGTTGGTAGGGAAATTAACACTAGACTACCTACCACAGTTATTGGAATTAAAGCAGTCAATTTATTGTGCGTAAAATGTACCTTGGCTCGACTCCAATATCAGCAAAACCACGCCATGCCAGGACTTTTTAAGAAAACGAATATTCTAATGTCAAGCAAACAGTCTCATAGTCAGTAATCAGAATGCCTCATTAAAATTTATATCATGATTTAAGGTTTGATAAGTCAAAGATTGAAAACTACATTTTATTTGCAAAACAATTTTTTTTATTTCAGACCGGATATATGTTTGGAAAAGGTATATATTTTGCTGACATGGTGTCAAAAAGTGCGAACTATTGCAATTGTTCTCATTCCAATCCCACTGGTCTCCTTCTACTTGCTGAGGTTGCTCTTGGAAACATGTAAGTATTGTTTCACCTAACAGCCAGCTACACCACACAAATGTGTCAGGTTTCATAGAAAAAAAAATCTATTTTTTGCAACTCAGAAAAAAAAATAGCTTTGTATACAACTAGAAAAATTTACTAAAAATTTAATGTAGCCTAGTGCTGTTGGTGTTTTTTCAAACTCCACTTTTCTATGGATGCATATTGACAAGATTCCAAACATCTTTCACTATTTAAAAGTGTAGGTGAACCCTTTTAAATCTGTTTTTACAAAAAAAATTATTTACAAAAATTTATCAATTCATAAATGTCAGTGACCTTCAATCCAGATCACAGCGAAGTTAATTACTCTTCTTTTTAGGCATTGGTCTTGGTTGTTAGCCATCAGATATTATTTGACTGTTCACTACAAAACAGGGATGCATATTGACCAACTCGCTATTAAAAAAATATCAAAATAATTATATAAACCATAAATAATTTAAGGTATGAACTGAAAGATGCTATGAACGTGATGAAGCTACCAAAAGGGAAGCACAGTGTCAAAGGTGTTGGATCAACATCTCCTGACAGTAATCATGACTTAATTTTGGAAGACGGAACCGTTGCACATTCTGGCACTGGAGTCGACACAAATATAGACCGATCATCTCTTCTCTATAATGAATACATTGTTTACGACACTGCCCAAGTTAATCTGAAATATTTGGTCAAGACCAAGTTTAATATGCAAAGCAGATGGTGAGAGTCTAAGTGCTTTGCGAAGTAGAATTTCTGGAAGCTTTTCATGCATATTCTGCAAATACTATTTGAATGCAATTTTGTTATTATTCATCCACTGACAAGAATTCGATGAACAGCAATATTTTTCTCACTAGTTCTGTAGCCTGATATGATATTACCATGATGTAGTGAGGTAGTATCGCATAATATTTTAGTTGATTTTCAGTATGCCGTATAAGTGTATATTTGACCTGGTAACTAGCTGAACCAATGATTTATCTAAGTACTAGGAATCGTCGACACAGGAATGAATGGATTTTGTATTGTCAACTGTTAATTCTGTGAATATTTACAAACGGTGAGACTTGAGTGAGATTTTTTGTCTACGATTCGTATTTCAACGAAAGACGCCAGAGCTCAAGAGAGTCAAATTTTGATAATAAAAATAACGATCATGCAAGCCTTGTTGAAAACGTCGTTTGGTAAAATTAATGCTTTTTGTGTTTTACCAGTATGTTTTGTTACTATAGAAAGTCTGCAAAACTCTGCAGCCCTGGTTGTGCTTGCAGCTGTGCAAGATAACTTCTTTTTGCCAAAAATTTCTGTAAATAATCCACTGTCATTTCGTTCTTGGCTTATCATGTCTTATGCTAATGCTGCCAATGTAAGAGAGGTTTTCACCTTTCTTCAAAAAAACTTGATCTTTCGGAATTCAATTCATTGCAATAAATTCTTTTCCTAAGCCAATTATGGTAGTGTCGGGGAAGTTGCGTAGGGGGAGAGATGAAGTCAAGAAATTCAACTCTTTGTAGTCTTAGAAGGCACTACTGCGGTTATCAGGTTATTTCTGAAGAAGACTGCAAGCTTGAGTGTTAAAGGCACTGGCTATATGTCCTCTGTGGTGTTTCCTCTTCACCCAATGGAGCTTGCTGTGGATCTTCTCAGTGGGGGCGTGCCAAACTATTCTGCTGCCTGGGGCAAATAATTCGAGGATAATTAAATTATAGATGTTATTTATACATGGGAATGAACAAATTTAAAGGTCAAGCAAAATGTTTGTTTCTATTATTATTTAAATCATCCTCCAGCTTGGATTTGCTGCCCGCTCACCCTATATAGCGTGGCTCTCCCTACTGGGGTCCAGGACCCGGGTGGGTCACGGTAAAATATTTCTACACTAAATTATTATGAATTAAAATGGAGTCAGTGCTAAGACCCACCCTCACCAAAATAAAGAAACAATTTGATCTTCAGCACAAAAATATGCTAGCACATCGGTCTCTCCAAAGGTATTATCAATTTTTTCCGTTATTAATCAATTCTACTTTTAGTTCCTGGGGGTCGCAAAAAAATTTGGCTGTAGCAAGAGGTTATGATGAAAAAAAAAACGGAATAACACTGTTGTATCGAATATTTATCGACACAAGTATATAGTCAGCCTACACTTGACAACATATACCAAAACAAACAATTACAAGTGCGGCACCAAAATAAAGCAATAATCGGGCACTACGCAAACAATATTGCTTCCTCATTGAAAATTCAAATTGCATCTTGCTTTCGCTACAGCGGCTACACACACAGATAAATTACTTGACTACTTTGAAATCCATTGTATAGTAAATGACTGGAATATTTATTGTGTTGTAATTGAGAAGAATATAAAATTGTGTACAGGAAAATAAATAGAAAAGAATATACAAGAGGCGAAAAAAATTAAATGGCAACTACATTAGTACATAAGAAATGGAAAAACTCTATGAAGCTTTGTAACACACTAGCGCAAAAAAATTAATTGGAGAAAAATTGAGACAAAATCAACTTATTGAGTCAAAATCTTCTTCACCAATTCTTCGATATCTTAATCGATGTGGAATCAAAGTGTCTTTTTCGAAGGCGAGAGATTGTAAAAGTTCTTCATTCTTGTGATAATATCTGACCTTGGCAATTGAAAAAGATGTTGCAACAAGCCAGCCAAGACTTGATCCCCATAGACCGAACTAGAAAACAAGAGAAAAATAAATTTGACTGGATTTGGGACTTCATGAAACTACTTACACAGGAGAGCTGAAAATACAATAAACACCTCTCTTCTATGCACCACAGTACTATCTCACAATACACTATCTCATTCTCATGCTTTGTATTATTAAAAATTGCATGGTACTAATAACAGTAATTTTTTGCGTGAAAATATTGAAATCTTTTACAAGCTTGCAATACTTATGATAACAATTGCTATAAGTATTTAAATTATAAACAATTATTTGCCATTGCATTTAACCAAACTAGCTACAAGGTATAAGAAAGAAACGAACCTCAGCTATTTCAAGATGACTGCTAAAACTTGCAGAATCAACATTATATTTATCATCAAAATTTCCCAGATCGGTTTTCCAGCATCTGTATATATATAAAAACAAAACATTAGTAAATGTGACCGTTTTGAAGATAACCCTTTTGGAGATGACCCTTTTGAAGATGTGACCCTTTTTAAGTCTTCTTATACTGTTAAAATAATGTAATACATGGCCATAATGAATGCAGAGGGGGGGGCGGAGAGCCAAATACAGCAACAAGAATGAACTTGAATTGTTTAAAAATTGCTTCTTTTCTGTATCTAATATAGTGATGAGGATTGGGGTTGATAAAGGAAATGTTGGTTAATTTGGTTTCTTCTGAAATTGCCACCCACCTCACCCAGAGTTAACTAAATTGGCAATGTCGTATAAGTAAAAAATAACAATTTTGGTTCAACCCTTCCAGCAATAGTAACTCCCTACATATCAGAAGCTGCTTGTTTGCAGTTGAAGTGGGGAACCACCCCATAAAAAATATACATATATATATATATATCAAATCTATTACAACATAATCCTTTGGTACTTTAAACCTATTCTATAACTAGAGGATCCCATTAAAAATTATCACATTCACAAGCCAAACTTTTTTTTATAAATTTTTTTAAAAATTTTCCCCATCTTTGTGCTCTCTATCATATATTTTGCAATTACTGGTAATAGTATTTGAAAATGTTTGGAAGTAAATTCAGACATAAATTCTTTCTCGGAAACCATTGTATGATTGTTATAGAAAATACGGCATTAATAAAATGGATAAGATGAATAAAATTTATATCACTTTCATTGCCTATTCATTGAATGGTGTTTCCGCAGAATTTTGAAACTAAATTATTGCTATTTTGTTATTCAAATAATCATCATAAATCAATGCCTTATGTAGACTGGAAAAAACATATAGTGAACTATGTCTATGTGACAATTTTTAACTAATCAATTTAACAACCAATGTAATCAATCAGTATTAAAAAATAGTCTTTACGTTTACAAGATTAATATATGATAACAGAAAACCTGACCTTCGATCAATTTTAAAATGTAAGTTTAACTTTTGAATAGTTTAACCATTCGTAGTAACAAGGAAGGTTATTTACATTTTACGAAATACTTAAGTAACCTACTCAATAAATGTGTTTCTGGAACATCAAATATTTTCAAATTTTTACAGCTTTCTATGAAATACAGAGCAAATTTGCAATCATGATATTGATGATGGGTCGTACCAAATCAATTAGGGTCGGCACAACGGTCTGGTGATTATCGACAAATGATTCCTAAACTGAACCCTGTGCTCACCAGCTCACCCAGTGTGTTATGAATCGGGTAGGCAATGCTGAAATAACTCGACTTGATAAATTATAATATTTGAAACAAATAACAGAAAATGCCAAAAAACTAGAGTAGAGTAATAAATTATAGCCAATCATTATATGTGAAAACTCTCTTCTTTAAAGATACTTTTGAAATTAACAATCATCAATTATGTTATTGTGATTATAATTATATTGTTATAATGAAAACCACCACTTACACTTTATCATTATCTGGTTTGCTCAGGATAAGGTCACACCAAGCTGAATATCCAAGAGACATTATAAATGAACAAACAAATAAACAAAATGTTATCAAGGCACAGCCAATCATGCTGATGAAGGAATAGAACGGTGAGCTGAAATATAGAAAAGCAATATTTTCAGGCAAATGAAGATGATGTATTAAGATGTACAATATAACGATAGGACAGATGGCAGTTAATAAACTAAATGCAAAACTCCTAAACTGCAAGTTAGGTAGAGTCAGGAAACTTATACATACCGTATTTGCTCGTTTTGTAGCCCAGGCCCATATTTTTTTGACCAAACTCACTAACCGGGCCCTTATTCAAACCGGCCCTTATTCAAGCACAGACGCTTGTTATTTTTAAAGTAAAATTATACACAAAAATTACGGTATCTTTGAAGACAAATATTTGAAGACATTAATCCTTTTTCCATGTCAATTTATTCACGTCAAACGCAAATTATTCACGTCTTATGAGTAATTCCCTCATATTACCCGTAGTTTATATTATTAACAAGAAACAACAAATCGAAAAAAGAAAAGTTTTGCGACGCCCTATCAATATTGAATCGACGCACAGTTTTAGAACCACAGTGTTACGTAATCAATGCTATCTGTTATGTAATTGGACGCCTAAGACGTGAGTGTTCTCTACCACTAAAATACAGCTTCTACATCGGGCGGGTATCCAAGCAACGGCCCTTGATTATTATTATGTTCTGTTCACACGGGCGGCTATTTTAACGGGCCATTAATCAAGAACGGGCGGTAAAACGAGCACACGGTACTCCTAGTTTATGTCAGACTACAACTACCAACACTGAGCCATTTAAAAAACAGTCCAGCTCTAGTTTTTGCGCACTCTTGGGGTTTCGGAATTTTGATTCCCAGCCAATAAAAGTCAAAAATTCCATTACAGCTCTCAACGAATTTTAAATTATGAGTCTGTAATCCAGGGAGTATAAAAATCTGACTCCAGCTTCAGTATCAATCAATTTAAATATTAGGAAAACGAGTATTATATTATTACTGAAACTGTCAAAATATTACAAAATCCTAATAAATTTCTAAATAACAGAGAAATTCGGGGATTCAGGATTATTTTAGTAGATTGTTCACTGCCAAACACAGATACAACAGTGATTGTTCAGCATTACGCATACCAGTAAGGAAAAAGAAATAGTACCTAACTATCGAAATATGGAAATAGCATATTAGTTGTGATGACAATATGTAAAAATAAGTTTACCCTTCAAATCCTTTGCATACAAATACAACACTCTTCCATAGTAATAAAGATGATGTAAAAAGACAAACAATTCCCATGAACATTATAAAGTTACAATCTGATGATTTTCCCCATGAAGAAATATTCAAATCATGATCGCCTGATGTTGTTTCATTCCATTCACCTGAAATTTATGTATAGAAGTTTTTAATATTGATAGCGCAAGAATGAAAAGAAAATCATAAACTATAACAGGATAGGATGTTCACATTCATCTCATGGGAGAGGAAAGTCAATAAGACATTTCAAATATCTGGCAACCATGGTCTCTTGCCCGGTTACCAGTCTATTTGGGTACAGAAATAGTCAACCAGTTATGATAGGCTGTGGTTCATCATCTGATTAAGCCATAGTTCTTCTCCCTCTGGGTAAATATGAAAATCCTATTATATTGAATTGAACATCTTTCGAATATATTTACTAGAACTAGGCTGTGCATTTTAAATCGAATGGTGAATTATTCAAATCGGTTCCGACCAAAATTTTGAATAGCTGCCGTCTTGTTTTTTTCTCTCCGCCTAAAGATGGGGTGAATATTTTTTTCTATTGAAGCCATATTTAAATACGCAATTCTGACTCTTTTCTTCCTAGTGAGTTATGGATAAAACATGTTTTTTTAGTCTGTGAACAGTCAGCAAACTGTATGAGGGGTGGGTTTGATGTTTTCAATAATTCGTGAGTTGAGAAGACCCAACACAATAAAAAGTCACCTACTCTTACATATCTCCTAGGTATTCGAGATTACATTCAAAAAAAATATTCGAGAATGCTCGGCCCTGATATTTACCTGTTGCAAATAGAACACATTTCTTGTTAAAGTCGGTCAAATTGAGTCCGCTTGGAATGACAATGAAAAAAGATAGAAATAAAGTGGAAGCGTATACAATACAAAATGCTGTTGTTGAAGGATTCATTGTGTATTCTCAATGATTAGTTAACTAATTAAATAAATAATTTCATTTTCAATAATTAAAGATCTTAATGAACTAAGAAAATCAAAAAAATAATATTAAATTGTGGAATGAAAATACAGTATTATACAATAGTTCATATCAGAGGTGTGCATCCTTTAATACAGGAGGGCCAGATACAAGTAACTGGGTGAAACCTAGGCCGCAACTTTTTTAACATAGGCTTTTTTAGTATTTGCAGGAAAAAAAAATTTTGGTTGTTGATCTTACGACATGCGTTGTTCACCTCGCACCTCGTAAGTCATATGTCTAAATTAGACTCAGGTATAGGCTTTGCAGCGCGGAGGGATTCGGATTACTCACACGTTCCAGATTAAACTAAAGTAAAAACTCGTTTTGCTGGGCGCACACTATTCAAAATTGGCACTTCTCCGCGGTGTGCACATTTTTTCCTTGCGAGTCGCATTTGGCCCGCGAGCCACAGGTTGCACACCCCTTGTTTATGTAATTAAATGATGTTGTCTGAGCACAAAGCAATGCAGCATGAGATATATTTTAATATTGTAGTGCCAATACAATACTTTCCCAGTGTAAGATCGTGTAAAATTAAATGATAGTAAGGCCCTTGCAATACATTAGCACCAAAAGTGAACACAACCATCATACAATAATAAAATATTAACTTTGTTGGGGGGCTCAACATGAAATGAAAATTTTCTGAATCTAGGAAGATGAGAACTGTTGTTGGAGTCTAAAATTTAGACAATTTTGATCAATATACCAATATATTTGATTTTTCGGCCTTTGAATAACTCTAAATGCAGAAGAAACAATATCTAACAATTGTTTTAATGTATCAAAATTATATTAGTACTTCAATGGCAGTAATGCAGCTATCGTATGATTGATTGAACATATTCTAAGAAAGTTGAAAGATTGAACCAAATTGGAAAATAAGAAACAAAGAGATCTAAGGCACATCCAAGTACGAACCATCTTTTAGGCATATGGAAACACTTCCTTGAAGCATAACACGATAGCTACTGTGTCAGCAATTTAATATGATTGTAAAATTAATTAAACCATGAATTTCTGAATATTTTGGAATTATAGGCCAGGACTACACCTTGAAAATGTCCCAATTTTTAAAAAAGTAATGGCGATTTTGACTACTCGTCCATCGTCCATCAAACTATCGTCCATCGTCTATAAAAAATCGAAAATCGTCCATCAAACTATAAAAAAGGAATATACTGTGATCGAAGAAAAAATTTTTCCAAGTTGCATTCCATGCAGACTGTGAGCAAATGAAGTACTTCATTACTAAACCTCAATTTTTCATTTTTTTTCTTTTATTTTTGAAAAGTAAATTCAAATTATCTGCATTTGCTCGAGCGAGTTGGCTAGATGAAACACATTCTTCTGTAAGAGCATGAATATGCAACATTTTTCTTTCGATAGCTTTGTCTTTGTGATTTAGTGTATCCCTTAATGACGCAATCTCTGCTTCTTCTTTTTCTAATTCCTCTTGCAGTTTCAAGACTTCTTTGTGTTCCGTTAAAGCAATATGAGCTCGTAGATCTTTTTCTGGATCACCAGATGGTCGCCAACTACAATCTACATCTCCAACACACTGGCCAAGTTCGTCCAATTTATCTTTTACAGAGCAAGTCTTAAAAAGCTCTTCTATTGATTGTTTTAACATACTGGTGTATCGATCACCAAAAGCATCTGAAATAAGCTTCAATGCCGCTGGATTTTCCCGATATAATTCAGGAAATGATTTTGCCATTCGTTTACATGAACCTGGTTTTTCTCTAAGTGATCGAACAAAATTTGAAAGACATTTATCAAGACATTCATATCTACTGGATTCCTCTTTTTCTTCTGATTCAGCATCCATTGCAACAAGCAACTGATTTGAATAATAAATACTATCAATAACCTCTGAACCTGTTAATAAGACAATAAAATTTGATTAGCGAAGTTATTACAATAATAATTTCTGAATTCTATTATATTCTAAAGTCTGAAAGTACTGAGTCTAGGATTCTAGGAGAGAAAAATCGATAAAACAGCTTAACCATATGGCGAACCACAGCCTCTCGTCCGATTACCATTCCATGTCTGGTACTGGTACCTGTATGAAATTAGTTAGTTATTTCAGTATTTGTTTTCGGAAGCATGGCAGCATGGACTTGGTGGTGGAGGAAGCCGTAAGCCCGTAACCCAGTAAGTTACCAACTAGCGGTCACGTGAACCACCCTACGGCCAGACGGCGGTGAGGAGTCCAGCAATCTTCTCGCACATAACCACCCCACCCCAGCACCCCCACAAAGCCTACATGCTGACATGGGATTCGAATTTGCGAACTCACGCAGAGTAATCAAAGGTGCGGTGGCCAGCATATTCCCAACGCTTAGCACGATGAGCCACACCACCGTGCCTAGGCCAAATCTGCAAATATAGAATTAGAATAAGGTCTGAAGGTTTCAATTTATTATTAGAGTAGACTGTTGTTCACGAGCGGCGGGCCGCAGATGGGAGCAGAGAGCAAGCACCATAATGACGAATAAGTAATATTAAGTTTTATATTCGCATGGTGGCGCTCTGACACAACTACAAAGTGATAGTGAATATAGTATTTGGGTCGCGACCCACTGGTGGGTCGCAAAAGGAATCTTAGTGGGTCGTGGAAAGATGTAGAGAACTTTGATTAATTATACTGGTTATTAGGATCGGTGGCGACTCGAATACGTAAATCTTCAAAAAAAAAAAAAAATTAAATTGAATTTATTCTAATCTGTGAAAGTTTCCTTTTTACGATCTTCTCAAAGACACAAAAATTTGCTACACAAAGAATGACCATGTGGCTTTTTTATGCATAGCAGTTTTGTAAATTAGGTCTTATTTTCAGGCCAGGTCTTATTTTCGAGGAAACACGGTAGTTTTGCGATGATTAGCCATTGCTGTGTTCTGTGTTATATCATAAAAGGTGAAATAGGTCGCAATAAGCTGTGGTAATAAATAGTGGGTCCCAACTTCAAAAAGTTTAGGAACCACTGGTCTACCTTACTTGACGCCACACGATATCTACCGAATTTAAATTGTTTTGATAAACTTTATCCAAGTACAAACAAAAGGTCTTATCAAACCTATAAAAATCTCTACTATGGTTAAATAGTATAGAAATGAAATTTCATTCTCATGTCTTATCGAGTGAGAAAGATGTAGATAAGACGGCCTAAGCATATGGCAAAGCAGCAATTCGCAACTGTATCGGGAATGAGAGAACCGTATCGCGCAAGTCCTGCCAATCACTTGTCCATATCGCGTGTGGCCTTACCATAGTTATCTAGTTATTCGTTTCAGATTCACGAACTTTGATGCCGGGGGAAGCCGTAACCAAACGAATAATTTTCACTGTGCTTTTGCGTATTCTACGAAATAATAAAAAACGAATAAATCGTGTTATTATGAAAGAACAATTGAGTCGTGCTTTTCCGTATTCTACGAAATAATAAAAAACGAATAAATCGTGTTATTATGAAAGAACAATTGAGTCGTGTCTTGTAATCCTTACGTATGAGTTCACCTTGAACTTTCGATCAATCGGCGTGTTGATAATCACCTTAATCAAAATCAAAACGTGAAATGAGAGGTATATAACAATAACATATTGTCAGTGATGATATTGTGAAGAATGATATTAGTTTTCATAAATAAAACATGACAAAGATGATTAACTAGCAGGTATATGTTGAAATAGGAGTAAAAACTGACAAATAAAATGTCGCGTAATTCTTTGTCGCCCGGCAGTACCATCCCCGATAAGCTCGCTTTCGTCATTTAACAAAAACATCGAGATAAAATTTTCAATAAATTTCTTATTGGCAGATCTTAAGGACAGATCTCTCCGTTACCAAGTTTACCATATCGACGTATATGCTCATTTTTTATTGACGTAAAGGGTATACAGTTATATAAATTTTAATTCGGTATCTTATACAACCCAAACCGCCATTAAACAGTTCTATAAATTTTAATTCGGTATCTTATACAACCCAAACCGCCATTAATTAAACAGTGTTTGATATTGGAAGGTCTATTTTGTATTTTAATCGCCCATGCTCCATCGTGTGTGGCATGTGTCATTAAAATATCACGGCGATGTGCATCGGGTCTACATTGCCAAGTACAAACCTTAGAATCGGCCTCGCATGAGATGTCGATAAAACAGTTTTACTATCAATATCTTTATCATTGCCATGCTTGAGCGAGTTTAAAATCAATTCGGGGAGCCTTTGAAATCAACCAGCACCGCCTTCCATTGTATGCGTTTGTTCCTGTCAGGTGGTGCATGGTTCCAGTTTATTCAAGATTTTATTTTGTTTCGTAATTCAAAAAGCCGAAAATAATAAACATCTGCCAGTCTTTTTGCCTGTGGGAATGTTCCGGTTAGCGAATCCGGATAAATATACAAATAGCGGAACTCCAAACACCCGCATTCCGAATAAAAGTAATTTGCAGGCAGTGTAAACAGCAAATAAAAACATTGCTACTTAAAACATTATAACCAAGATATTTGGTCTATAGCACATGTAGCTACAAAGGCATTCGTCCAAATCTTTATTATTAATGGAAGATCAACATAATATATTGCTAAACCCTTATGGTATGCCTCACGCGGCGAAGTTAATGTTTATCATTTTTGGCTGAATTGATTCTTGTTTATGTTTTTGGCCCGCATATTGAGAAAACCTTATTCACGCCTAAATTATACGAATACGATTGATCAATCCGCACAGAGTTTAATTTTGAATACTTGTGATTAACCATCCATTTCATTCAGTACATTCTAAAATGTATTACTTACGAGATGACCGTTAGTGTCCGTGACCCAATACGAAATCAATGCAATTTCATTATTACAAAATTACATAAGTAATTTTTACGGTAATATATTTTTTGTATATTATGAATACATTGGAATAATACTGCCATGTAATGAATCAGAAACCGTATCCTGATAACAGCCTAACAAAATTTTCGATCTTGTCTGAAGCTCCCACGAAGTATACAACTAAAAATCGTCCCTGTTATACAAATTGTGCCGGAAGTGCAAATATTTTACTGAAAACATGGCATTGAATTCACATTCCTTAAAACGTCCGTGGTAAGTGCTTCTATTGAGATGCGAATTCAATATCGAAACAACCAGATGGAACGTGATCAAAATAGACTCGAACACGGAAGTGGGACACGATCCACTACCTATCATGTTTCCTGCTATCCGTTTTTATCCTGTATCGTACATCAAGTCCAATACGTTTTTTGGGTGTTCATCTAGCCTTTTGCGAGTTCAAATAGCGAGGAACTCGCATAAATGTATGTAACATGCATGAGCAAACGTTAGTAACGACTTAATGTGTATGTTTACCAAGTGACCGTATCGATTCGAGTTGTCTGCTGTATTGGCCATCACAAAAACCCAATACGATGAAGTGTCACGTGGTGTGGGTGAATGGTCCCTATTCACCCTCAATAAATCACAATGTGTTATTGACATCGTGGACCCATTCATTCCAAACTTTGTCAGTGACTCGTAAAATATTTCTTTTATTCGTGAATGGGATTGTATATCACGGTTGAGTTACTTTTCAAGTGCTTCGACTTCGAATTAAGTTAGGTAAAGAACGTCGCATTTTGCTGACTGAAGGAAATAAAATGTCGGTTTTGTTTTACAGACACAAAACACCACGTTTCCTCGTTCGTTTTCTCAAATTCATTGGAATCCTATCGACGACTGATGCTGATTCAAATGCTGATCATACGTATATAAGAATCAAGATAGATTTCATAGCTAAGCTATTTTGAAACATAGGCCCACTCTAGTCGTACAAAACAAATTCTAGGTGACTCATAAAACTTTGTTCTTCTGTATATGAAACCTCGAATTGTCAGCATATTAGCTTATCCTCAATTTGGATACATTCAAATTAAAAACTTATTTGTAACTCAATCCTTCTCCAATTAGATCTAGAGTAGTTTGATAAGAAACAAAGAAATCTCCCATGGAGAAAGGAATCCTGGGGTCATATATCGCCCCCACCACTTGTAGCAAATCCTGTTGACGAACTTTTCCCTTTCCGTTTGAGATTAGTATTGCAAGGAAATGGAACTTTGAACTGTGCGATCGGGACTGTGTCGGTAAAGGTTACAATACATCAATTATTTTTTTTGTTGTTTGCACCCCATGGAAAGAGGTTGAACTATGTCACCAATTACAGGCAAAGCAACAATAATGTCAGTTTTGTTTGGTTTTATTATTTTTCTAATTCTAGAAAAATCGAGCTGTAATGAAATGGTACATAACATACCGTATTCGTCACACATGTTGCTTATCTTAGCATACACAGATGAATTTCATACTATAGTCAATGTATATATATATATCAACGAGGAGTCTTCGTTGACTTGTTCAAATAATAACTATAGCCTACGCAGATGACGATAGTATAATCGTTAAAGACCAGATTATGGCCGTGGACTCCCTAACTTATGGAGATAGGCTATATCAAGTCTAGATGAACATTCATTACAATGCAGATTAATGCCTCTTACACGTACCTAATTAGCCCTTTGTACCAAGAGGCCCAATGCCGTAAGGGCTAGCTGGCTGCCGATGGGTACAAAGTGTGATTGATTGGCGTAAAATTAGCTGTATATAGTCAGAGATATTATCATAAACAGAAGTAAATTGTTATTTTCTAAAAATCAATGTATTAGTCTTCACCATGCAGTGAATATCTGAGTCTAAAGTAGAAGTAAGCGGATTCTGCAAAGAGCAGTAATGTTTAAACACATGCCCCTAGCACGGATAACAATCCGTTCATTGTTACTGCTGCAAAATTAAATCATGCAATAAGCAAGATTCAGTCAGTTGTGAAGAATTGAATCGAGTAATTTATTCG